CCCTTGGTGTTGAACACACCCACGTTCCGAAACCTCACTTTCTGCTGAGCTACGAACAACCTTCGCAGATATGGGTTCCACACACATGTTTGCAACCGGGGGCGAGTACCGCATCTCACTCGCAAGCTGCCGCTTTGGGTTCAGCCCCATTCAGCCTGAGCCAGCGAAGCCACCCGCCGCTTTTATTTTGTTGCCGAGGCTTCTTCTTTCGGCTGGAGGAGCCTTCAGAGATCGGAGCGAGTCGACTTTCTTCGGGGAGGGGCGTGCCTTTGAAATCAAATGAGCGTGTCTTGTTTGAGGTTGGAACCCCAAAATTGGTGGTTACAAAGTCAAGTATGGAAAAACAGCAGAATGATTTCCATATGAAGACCCGCCTCCCGCCTCCCAGCCGCCATCCCAAAACAAAGGGCTTTGGGGGGTGTTCTGTTCAGGGGAGGGAGCTTGCTTTTGGGCCCCCTTTTTGTTTTGCTCCCGTTTGCCGGGGAGGAAAGGGGAATTCTGGACAAGCATCGCGAAGTCGCAACAGGGTGTGGGGCTTCCAGGATCTTTCTATCCTACTTGGATGTTCCACCCACGTCGGGCAGGTTACGAACATCCTTGCTGGCTGATAACTGGGTAGTCCCCCTCATCAGCATGCCTGTGACCTAAGTGTCCAATGGTTTACCTTAGTTTTCTTTTTGATTTTGTTTTCACAACAAAATTCGAGGGGTAGACCCATTTTTGGGAAACCGATCTTTCTGCGCTGTCTTAAGCTCATCAATGGCACAACAGACCCAAAGGGGTCGGAGATTCCAACAACATCGGCCAGGAGGTCTTGCTGCCAAAGAGGCCGCACCAGGTTCGGCCTGGGGCTCAGAAAAGGGGAATTCCAGTGGCAGGGGGCGTGTTCCTTGAGGGTCTTGGGGTGGCCGGGAAAGGAACCCACAGAGAAAGCATGCTGCAAATCTTTGGTCCGTGTTTCCCAAATGTGGAGCCATTCTTGATATCCCGGTAATTCCGCTTTTCGGGGTCAACCGGGGTTGGTTTGGAAGGCATGCAAAGGGACGCCATAAAAAATAGGGGTGCTGGCCTCATTTGAAAAACAAAACAGATGCGCCGGCGGCCCCAACATCAAGCAATTTTGCAAATAACTTGCAGCTTTCCTTTGGATGGCGGATCAAACCCAATGATCCGGTTTTCTTCTTGGGCCTCAAAACTGCGAAGCAGTTCCATGTGCAGGGCTTCATGCTGCCCAGTGGGCAAGCAACGCACAACGTTTCTGCACAAAGAGTCATGCCAACATTCGGTGAACTAGTCTTCCAGAAGCGCCGAGCAGCGCCAAGGCGCACTGCTAAAGTGCCTCCTCCGCTCCCTGCTCTCAGAATCCAATGGACCTTTCTGTTGGATGATTGTAAAGGGAGCCCAAGAGGACACCAACCAGGAGGGGTCCCTAATTATTATAAACACCAAAACTGTGAAGGCCACCATAAAGTCGCACGGCCCTTATTTTTGGTGGTTTTTCCGGGGTCAACGGGTCAAGGGGTCAACAACCCCAACGGCCCATGTCACATGTTTGCACCTGGCGGCCTGAAAGAGCTTGCTTTGATTGCCAGGCTCAGCTTCGTTTTGTTTTCTCCTCATTTTCCCATTCAACTGGCAACAAGTTGGCTTCTTGCAGAATAGACATTACCCAAACCCACCAGATTTCTACCAGTGAAACCAGCTTTTTGTGGGTTAAATGCCCAATCCATGGCTTGTTGCCCCCCGGTGAAGTGGTTTCTTCCATTTGCTTAAGGACCAGTTTAAACATCTCCTGTTGGTTTTACAGCGAATCGATCACTGCCAGATAGATATGTTCCTTTTTTTGCCAGGGTCTTCAGAGATCTTGCTTGATGTTTTCCAGACTTAAGCACCAATATCTCTTCGCCATGTTCCCAGACTTAAGCCACATAACCATGTTTTCTTATCCGCTTAACATCAAATGAGCCACAATCAAAACCCGGGTAGATGAAGGTTAGTAAGGGACAATCCCAACCATAAATAGCTGCGGATCTCCGCCTTCTTAATTCTTGAAGAGTGCTTCTGGGTCGACCATGTTTTTAAAGCCAGGTTTTGAGCAAGTGACTCAAATGGAGAGTTTGATGCTTCATGCCCTTTGCGACCGAGGCAGCCGGTGCTGAAGCCGGCGTGGTGAGGATAGGTCGAAGCCGCTTCCAGAGGCGGGACAGGCCAAGTGGACCCCAAGCTGAGGCTTTTTGGAAGAAGTTCCATGGTATAGATGTACACATGTACATGCATATATATATATATATATGTATATGTGGTACATATATATATATATAGATATATAGATATATGTGGTCACAACCCCCCCCCCCTTCCAGGGCCTACCTTTCCTCTCTTCTAGTTGAAGGTGTCAACTCTACTCTGTGTGCCTCGTTCTTGCAGATGCCTGAAAGCACTGTAAAATACAGTGTTTGTGTTGGGTTTTAACCTTCTGCACATGTTTGTTGTTTTAAAGCTTGAAAGGCAACAAAGCGAAAACGGAATCCGTTTTCTGATTCGAGTCTGGCTTTGTTTGAGAACACTGTTTTTTACAATGGTTTTGAGTACACCAGGGAACACACATTGAAAAGATGAGGTTTTGCAGCTTTGCGCTCTGAAACCTGCACAGACCCAAAAGCACAAAATCTCCTGACAATGAAAGCTCTGAGACCTGTACTATAAGATTTGCTTGCAAAGGCCAAATGAAATCTTTCCAGATAAAGCTCTATTCAAACTTAAGTCATAGTTGGGAAGGGATTCCTAATTTATTTGTTTATGTTCAAAAGCCAATTGAATTCTGTCTGTATTCAAGTATTGTGAAACTCTACTTAAATGTCATTTGTCCTTATTTGGAAAGGAATTCCTATTCAAATTCTGATTAAATATATAAGTTATGGTGAATTATGAATTGTGGTGAACTATGTCCTTGCTGACTTCTATTCAACATTCCAATTCAATTCGGAGTTAACTCTTTTTTGGAAAGGAACTCATATTTGGACATGTTGGAGGTCTCCCGGCTCCAAATTATAAGGCAGATGCTGCGAATGATAGCAAAAAATCACCCATAACCCGTAGGTTTCGAGTGAAGAATGTGTCCAGCCAAGTTGAGAGTTGTTCTCCAGTGTTTTTTGCTTCGCAAAGCCTCGAAGCAGCCACCCTAAAAAAATGGCACGTGACGAAAGGTTTGCGCCTTATAAAAGTGTGAGGAGATGGCCATTATTAGCTTGACTCCCAACACCCACTCGTCATAGGGCGCCAGGCTAATCCCTGACTAGAAAACGAGGCATGTACAACCCTAAACAAGGCAGGTTTCTGGAGTAGCGGGTTACATCACAAACTCCTGAGGGAAACACGAATCTCAAAGACTGAACAGAGAGATGAGCCCTGGCGCACTCGCGTTGAGGCGGCATTCCATGGAGATGCGATGCATGCGCTGCACCCGCGGAAAAGGGAATTCACACCCCAGCAGTCGATAGGAAAAACACTTTCTGGGTTGGGTTAACCATACCCACTCCATTGTTTTGTTTTTTACAGCCGGGGGGTTCATGATGAACAACTCCTTGATGCCTTGATAGTTTCGCCTGGGGAAACCATTTAATATCCTAAAGTGGGGAAAATTTGGAGGGTTCGGATTCCGCTGACCAGCCAGATGGCCTCCAAGCTCAGCGGAGCCCTAGAGACCAGTACCACGTCTTTCTGCATATGTCTCAGGTGGGTTCCGAGCTCAAGCTGGATCCGAGCCATAGGCCATAGGCCCTTCCGGGTGAACCATCACAAAAGTAGACATTCCCGAAACCCCGGTGGATTCCCCGCGCCTTCCTGAAGTTGGCTGAAGCTTTGCCGGGCATTTGCTGCGTCCAGTCTTTTTTTCCAACAGGCTTCGATGATGCCACGCATGAGTGGCAGAGGAAACAGACGCTCAGTATTGGACCCCTTCTTAGGTTGGAGGAACCTTCCCTTTTGGGGAGACCCCACTCTCCCTAACCCGGCTGATAGATCCATCAACACCATGCCGGAAAGGACTCAAAAGATACGAGCCCTCCATTTTGGCTGCGGGAAAATTGGCTGCCTATGCTCGGACGAACAACCACACCATGCCCAAAATCCGCTTTGTTGTTTTGTTTACGGGTGGTAGGATGTCAACCCCCAGGAAATTTGCCGGGTACGCAAGGAGTCCGGAAGAGCGGGAATCAGGAGTGGAGTGTGGGTGGTGTGAGGATTTTCAAACTCTCAAACCATGTTGGACAAGGAGTAACGAGATTCTTGGAATGTCTTTTGGGTCTCGGAAGGTTTCCCCTTAAACCCACTCTTACTAAAATGGACGTGACCATCCAGGTGACTTCTAAAGCCATTCGTTCTTCCAAACAAGGTGGCTTAAATAGCAGGCAGCCCTTTATTGGTGGTCTGGATTGGTTTGAGGGTTGGGAAGCCGAACCAGCCTGGTTCTTGTTCGGGGTACACCGGTACACCAATCCAAATCACGAGGTAAGGTGGGTGGCTCAAAGGAAAGCCCTGGGCTCGCGTCGCGAGGTTCGACTCGCCGTTCCGGCTTAGCTGGGCGAACAGCGCCGGCAAAGCAGGTGTTCGAACCGGAACCACATCGAGGGCCAACACTCGAGCAATTTCACTGTCTCAGGATATATGGAAGGCATGTTTTTCAGGGTGAAGAGCTACTTTTAAGTCGGACATTGGCATCATACCCCCCAAAAACGGGTGGGTGGGTGTAGGGCGAACAACAAGCATCTTCGTCCACTTTCGCCCCTTCAGAATACCCACTTCCAAACTGACTAAAGGAGGTACTTGCCTCGGCGAAATGCTGAACAAGCGGGTCAGAATCAAGAATCCGAGGGTGAAAAAGCAACAAGAAGAAACTATTGACATGGTTTTCTATGGTCATGCCTCAATTTAGCTTTATGACACCCCAACTCCCCATTCGAATCATGGCGTTTCTTTGGTCTAGTGTGTCACCTGTTGCAGGGAGCCCTGTTAGAAAAATCCGCGCGTGCCTTGCCAAATCCGCCGAAAGTTGGCGGCGGTGGATGGCCTCGAATCGGTGGAAAGCGCCATGAAGTTGGGTAAAGCCACTGAGCTCGAGCTAGGCGCGGACCTGGGATCCGGGGTTTAGATCGGAGCCGGTTTGCGGATCGCCAAAGGAGCCTGTTTTTTTTCCCATCTTTTTTTTCCGAAGCTGGCGGACGAGCCTCACGTGCCACATGTTTGGGGAAGAAGCGGAAAAAGGACAACCACTCATTTTGGGTTTTGGGGGTCCCCTAAAGAAGACACACCACACACAAATATTGTGTCATAGTAAGGGTAGCCCAATGGATTTTGGTTCGAGTCATGGCCCTAACCCGCAATGGCCCGCATGGTTTGCAATGACTCCCCTCATAGCTTTGTATCAGTTTGTAACATATTATGAGGGGGTTCAGCAACAAAAGACACACACACACACACATATTATGCATATATAAATATATAGATGTATACATATATGTCAAGTGGCTCGAACAACTTGAAGCAGGGCGCATCCGTGAGATCCGCTCTCAATGCCGGAAAAGGAAGCAGTTCCTAGATTTGAGGCGGACGGCACCCTTTGCAGGTCGGTTTAAAGGGAAACTCGAAGGAACACCGCAATCCATTTCTTTTTGGTGCCTATTTTCGATTGGAAAAGGGAGCTGCGGGCACTCAGCGCTGTTTGATTTCCACTTTTTTTGGTCAAAAAAGGTTCCCTTTCGCACCAAAAAAACGGGTGCCGTGTTTCTCTATGGCAAGAGGTCTTTGGGCCGCACCTTTGGGTTTGAAACGAGGTCACCAAGGGTCCTTGCGAAGGTTCCAACTGATTCTTAGGTTGCACAGGAATTTGCCCACCGAACAAAGCCCGGTGTTCGAGAACATGGTTCATTCAAGAACGAAGTCTGTGGGGTCGGGTTGCACGAGAATATAAGTTCTGGTTTGCCCAGAGAATAGGGTTTGCCCCATAGCCCTTAGGATTGAGGTTTAAAGAGCAGGGACTCCTTTAAAAGCTGAGCTCCTCGGCAGGCTTCCAGGAGCAAATACAGTCCAATGTTAATTTCGCTTCCAGAGAACGCACCCATTCTAATCAGAGGTTCCCTTTCATTTCATTTAGGGTGTGTTTTGATGCTCCACCCTAAAGTGCTAAAGTAATGCTAAGGAGGAGTTTCCTTGTTGCTCGAATCCTCCCCACTTGGTATCTCCCGCTCCCGTTTCAGGCCAGCTGGGTTCCGATGGCTGGCAATACCCTAGGGCCAACATACCCCGCAACGACTCAAGACTCAGGACTCAAGGTTTCTTCTGGTTTCCGCCAAAGGGTTCCCAAGAGGTTGTCAAAGATCAATGGCCCACACCGGTCCAGGACAGCCCATGTTCTCGCAAGAGCTCTTTCTTTGCTGAACCTTTCAACAGGCGTCCCTTCGATTCCTCCAATCTTTGGTGAAGGGATCCTGGAAGTGGAATTGCGAGGGTGAACCCCTGGCTGATTCAAAACGTCGGTGGCATTGCACAGGGGAGCCGGATCGCTTTTGGGGGAACACTCCCAAACAACATCCAGATCGACAAGAATCTGTCGGAAAAGGGCATGATTGACCCCCCCCCCCCAGCAAGGCGCGAATTCATTTGTTCTTTTGATGCTTGGGGGCGAGGCCTCACCTTACTTTTTGTGGGGGGGGGGGCCACCCCCTCAAGTCTTTCGGCTAGCTTCCTCGGCTTCATCTACACCCATGCACGCTTGGGACTGTCCGCTGGATGGAGTCTCTCCTTTGGTTTCCCGTTCCCCACCCCGCCACCCCCCCCCCCTCGGTCACGAGTCAATTGCCAGGGGAAGAAGAGGAGGGCCGCCAGGTGTGACGGAAAGGGGTGTGGGTCAAAATTGAACAGGGGACCGCAGGTTTTAGTCCATGTGTCCATTTACCAGGGCTCCCCAAATGGGTACCTGTTTTGAATGTATATGATATGGATATGATATGTTGGTGCTTTGAGTGACTGAGTGTAATTTATAGGGTATGGCTTTTGAAATTAGATAAGCCATGTCCCTTTTTTGACCTCCAAAAGTGTGTTCAATTTCAATAGAGACCAGTAATTGCAAGTGTTGCATGGGGAAATCCAGCGAACCCCGTAACAAACAGCTGGCTGATTTTGATCGACAAGTGTCCCTTTTTGGGTGGGGCTTCAGACCACCTTTGGGGAGAGCACCTGCTGGTAGTAGAACCGGTTTATGAGTTCGTGGTCAACATTATGATGTCACGGGAACAGTTGGAGTTCCTCCTGTAGGAAAACACCTCAAACCGCTTTGCCCACAGATAGGGTTTCCATGACACATGGCATGAAAGGTGTTTCCCCCTACTCCAAAAACCAACTCTTTGTGGATATGTTTCGACATCTAAAGGAAGCGTTTACTATGGAAACCCGGTTTTCGACATCGAAACGGCTGGGGAGTTTGTGTGTGTGTGTGTGAGTCACAGTAGGGGACCGGTGTCGTTTACATTTGGAGAACCTGGCGCATCCACACAGGGCTCCGTTTGTTTTCCCTTCAAACATCACCCCAGTAAAAGCAAACCTCGCCTTGAATTGGCAGCACAAGGTGACGTTTAAAGCCCCATCATGTAAAATATACCCCTACATCAAATGCCCCTGCCTTTTTAGGATACCTCCTGTTTTGGTCAGAGGTACACTCCAAGTTTGGTTGATTTTAGGGAACCCAGATGAGGCTATCTTCAAGGGCGCCAAGAGTTTAAGTGATTGATAGAGCATGCAGAAGCACCTTTGGGACACATCTCTGCACCAGTCCATCTTTGTCATTGGGATGGCAATGCAAGGGGCAACACGAAAACTGTCTTCCCCCTATAACTGTGACCATATTTGATGTTCACGTATGACGTACCCCACAACCCCGATCAACGTATTGTGGCGCTTCCCAGACTTAAAGCTAAAGCGCGAGCACTTGGAGCAAGTTGGAGTCAAGACCATCTGATCAGCGCCTAAAGCCCCCCCCTCGCAGTTCTAGGTCCAACATGGGTTTTGGGCTCAACCCACATTCTACAGCCAATCGGACAGAATTTCAGAGCACCCATCCCACCCCCTTTGGAGTATGTCACTTTCCACGTTCTGCACTTTTGCCTTCCAAGCAATGGGACCCAGGTCCAAGTAGAACCCCTGGTTAACGTTTACAAGGGGGGTGCCCCCTCTAAGGGACACCCTATTAATAGGACGGATGTATTGATCTGGGGTCAACACTGGTAAAACAGAAGTTTCGGACTACTCCACTTAGCTTAGGCCCCCCCCCCCCGCCATTTTTCCGGCCTGATCTTCGGTCTGCTTTGCGGGAAGCTAAGAATGTAGCCTGTTTGGAGGGGGGAAGTTCTGCTGTGAAACCCAGGGCAAGCATGGCTTCGAAACACATCTTCAAAGCAAAGGAGTGCCACATCCCCAACAAGAAGTGGTGATCAATTTTGCTCCCATGTAAGCGGCATTCGTGTGCTTGCAATCTGTTTTACTCGCACCCCGGGCTTTGTTGGATGAGGGTTGCCGGGGCACCGACTCGCGGAGACTTCAACAACTCGGTCGGGAGTCAAGATGGGCCAATGGGGTGCTCCGAGACTTCAGATGGGCAAAACCTGAGAATCTCCGAAACAGATGATCCAAGCGGGCGTGGCTCAAAAATAGCAAATGGAAAGGTAGACCAACACCTGCGTAATCCCAGCTGTTGTATTTTGAGCCACACCCAAGTGATGATATCAAAAGGTTTAGTCCCTTCCAAGAAAAATCCCAAGTTTTCCAAAATTCTAGCGATCGAACGGGAGCTATCAATGTCTTGCTTGCTTTGCTTTGCTTGGCTTTGCTTTGCTTTGCTTTGCGTTGCTTTGCTTTGCTTTGCTTTGCTTGCTTGCTTGCTTGCTTGCTTTGCAAACAGAACATGCACAGCTTGGGACCTTTTTTTTCTGCCAAGCCACAGGGCTTCAATCTGAAAAACCTCAAAATGAGTTCCCCTGAGCTTCAAGCATGCCCATCCTGCGGGGGAGGGAAACAAGATACCCTCTAAAGCAGGAACGCCATGTACCACAGCCATGTACCCCGGGTTTCGCCGTCTCTTTTTTTTCCGGAGAAAAAACAGACACGGCGAAACTCGTGGAAAACACAAGACACTTCAAGGGGCGTTGCAAGGAGGAGACGCAGCCGGATCAGAAGCTCGAGCAGGTGCGCAGCGTTTTGGTTTCCCGGATGTCCTGGGGTAGCCTTGCAGTGGTTTTGAGAGACCAAAAGGACGACCCCGCGTTTGAGGTCCATTTAGACACCCGAATTGCCACGGTCCACAACAGGTCCGAGGAAGGGGGGCCGCCTGAGAACATTGCTGCTTTTGATTCGGCAGATTGGAGTGGGTCCGATTGCTACAGCCGGATCCATAGCAACAACAGCTTTTTGGTTACCGTACCCAGCGGCTTTTGGACATGTGGAAAAAGCAGTTGGGGGGTGCTGGAGGGGATGAGTTGTTTTTGCATAGCCAGCTGGTTGGTCGGAACAAAACGGCGCCGGGTTCCGAGAAACGGCCCAAACACCTGGATTCTTCCACAACAGATTTCCGGGCCTGTTTGGGGTTTGCCCCCAGGGAAACCGGGGTAAATATCGGTTTGCCTTTCTTTACCCTCGGGGTTGAGGGGAAGCCAAAGATCAACGCATGAGGGTCAAGACAAGCTGATCTTAGGCCTGGCTCCTGCTCATTGTGTGCTTACCCAAAGAGCGAACCCTGAAAGCACGACCTCCCCCACATCGGCGCACATTTTGCCTAGAATTTGGGGCTTTGCATGGAGCGTGTATCGACCCTTCGGTGTAATTCCTCTCGATCGAGCGACTCTGTGTATTCCCAAATTGCCGACTTTCAAGCCTGAGCAGATGTGCCCCCAGAATGGGAGGGGGCGGTTATCACACCGGCATCGATGTGATTCCTGAAAGGTGTGCCGTACAGGAAATTTGCAGGACGTTTTAAAGCTCCTCTTCTGGCCATGGAGCCACGGCCCCAGGCGTTCACCCCAACCCCAGGCTTTTCCCAGCAGAGATGACCTGAAAGGGGACTTGATCGGAGGTTCATCCCACTTTGTGCATTTCGATGCTGGCCTGTGCTGGCAACCTCTGAGTCCTCTTAGTATTAGCCAGGATGGATGGACACATACATGGTTTAAACTCACTCTTCACACCATTTGGGGGTTCCTTGCCGATACCCAATGTATGCATATGTATGCTAAATGCCAAATGCCAACTACCCAGATATATTTATACGCACATGTGTACGGATACACAACATATCCGGTCTCATATAACATGGGATGTGCCTGGATGTGCCTGCATTTCGCCTACTTCCCTGCCGGAGAGGGCCCACAAATTGAGAAATCTCCACAGGGCAGCACCCCTTGAATCAACTCGGTAAGGGTTGCAAATTTCCGCGTTCGCAATCGCACCACCAAAGAGACTCCCTTTAAGTCGGACTAACAGGATAATGTTTAGCGGACATACAGTTGGAAAGGATTTGCACTTTGGACTTACTGTTTGGGGCAAAAAGGAGGCCCTTATTCAAAGTGTCGAGTCGCTCGACGGGGTCGCTTTGTTTCCGCAGCATAGGGGTCAAGAGTCTTGTAGAGTGTATAGGGTGCCAGGGTTACAGATTTGCCCCGGGCAGGGGCAGACCCTGGTTACCCGTATTCCAGATACCTGGTTTTGGGCACATTGGGACAAACCAACAACCCCCAGAACGCCTCCCTTTTTTTCAGTCAGAGGTTGACATACCCGAATTGCAAACCGGGGTATCACGGAGCCCGGATTCTCCGCTGGGAGCCCCTGGATCGTTTCAACGCGACCTGGACGCCATGAGTGGTGAGAGACCTCGGCCCCAACCGCTGCTCATCGCCGACGATGCGGACTCCGGACGAATGAACAGTAGTGGAACGGATTCCTCAGGCACCGCGGGCGGTTTTTGTTGGTTTCCTTGATGGATTGGAGAATGAGGGTGTCCAAGCAACTGGCAACTGCAAGGCAAGTCTGTGTTGTTTGCGTTTTCAGGTGGAAAGGGCTGTTTTTTGTGCTTTAGTCAGGTTGAAGCACGTGGCACAATTGTTGGATGTCGAAGGGTATGGCTGCAGGAGAATCCGTGTGGGGTTCCTTCGGGACCATGCACGGAATCCCGTACCGAGCAACAGGTTCCTCATTTTCCAGCGCTTAATCCCCTGCAAACTAACAAAAGGGGGCAGAATCCCCCAAAAAGGAGTTTCCTCTACACATGTCAATCACTGTAGGATAATATTTTTGATGCACCTGCCTTTTTTTGGCACCCAAGAGAAGCAACTGGGCATGTATGATTTTGGCGAGGTCTTCCATGTCCCGTTTTGAGGGGTTCAAAAAGCTCAGAGTTTGGGGAGCAAAGCGCGGTCATGAAACCTCACAAAGAGGGTTGACAGTCAGCTTCTATTCTGTTTGCTTTTCCCCGGTCGAAATGGTGACTTTTGACTGGCAACAACAACGCAAGGGAGCTACGGACAATGCTGGGGTGTCTTGCTTAGGTGGTCTCTTCTCGGCCTTGCGGGGTTGGGTTAGTGGTGGCGTCTGTTTTTTGCTAGCAATCTTTAAGCTTCAAACTTGCGTTGGCAAGCATACTCTGCATTTTGAAGAACATACCAAAGTCCAGGGCATATTCGCGTGGTCCGATTGTCGTCGAGCAAAGCAACTGGAAGTTTCAGAAGGTGCAGCCCTCAATCGAGACGACACTCCACTGGATATCCTTGAAGCTTTACACACCCAGAAATGGTTTTGTCTCTGTCTAGAAGAGCTCCCCGAAAGAATGGTTTCACTTGAGTACCATCCAAACAAGGGTAATTACCGACTTCTGATGAAACCTGCCACACACACACACACTTTTCATAAAACGAAGGTGCCAACCTTCGCTCGATGGGCGCCAACTCCCGAAACGACGGACATCTCATCCACTTGGATGCTCAACCAACCTAGCAAGTAGGCTATGAGCATGGTTATACTGGGGGGAATCGGGTTAGTCCCCCCTGAAAAAAACCCGGTTAGCACTTACCCTCTTTCCACTGCAAGCTTACGGAAGTGAGTTCTGGCTTCCCCAAAAGGAAAGCTTTCGTCTTCCACCCGATCATCAGCTTCCACGACTGCTGGGTAGGTACCCTCCCACCAGTGAACACGGGACAAAAAACAGGGGGAGGGGGGGTGCTAGAAGCCCATTTTCCCGTTCAGGGACCGGGTCCCTGTCAGGTTCCGCGTTACTTGCTTGGCAGCTCGCGCAGCGGGTTTTTCTTTCCCATTCTTTGGAGGCCTGAGCGCCTGGCCTTTGGCGCTGTTCCTGCAGAGCGTGGAGCACGATCCCGCGCTCTTCAAGCAGTGGATCCGCGCGCAGCGCCAGCAGGACGCGCATGCCATGGACAAGCAGGACCTGCGCCTGTGGAAGTCCAGGCGGGGGCGTCGGAGGGTTTGAAAAAATCGGAACACCTGCGAGGAGGGACCGTGGGGGTTAGCTGGAGGGTAAGGATGGAATTTTCAAGTGAACAAAGCATGAATGACTGAAGCGCGATTTTTTCTCCGGTCAAGAAGATATGGAAGTGATTCATGGGACGATTTTGCGCGCAGAAATGGAGCATTGTCGTGTGGCTGTGATGCTTATGTGCATGAGTTCTAGTTGGGTTGCCATGAAAAAGGACAGGGCCTCTAGCATGATGGGCTGTGACCAACGGGGTGTTGGCAAGGTCCGATGTTTTGTGCAGGGCAGGAAAGTCCAAGCCAACCATTTCTAGTCCTCTCGCTTTCCCATCACGCCAACCAACCTAAGCAAAGGTGTTCCTGTCTAGCAAACCTTGAATTTTGTCAATCCGGCCAAGATACTCAGGGAGCGCACCTCCCTCTTTGGGGTTAACGTGTTTTTCTCCCTTTGTTCCTTTTTGCTCAGAAAAATGATTGGTGGTTTGGGGGTTTGCACTCTGGATCTTGTAGAGGGTAAAATAGGAAAGTGTCGGAGCACCTGCAAACCACCAATCCAGGGAAGCTGAAATTTGCGAACAGTTCCGTGAGGCCAGTGAGGCTAATGGGCAGAAGAGGACCTCGGCACGCTCGATCGGTCCAAGTGAGCCTCTGAGAACCCGGGAAGCAAGCCCGAAATGTGGCTTGCTCTCGCAAGATGCCGCATCTATGCAGGGTTGCTTCTCTTCACTTGGTGGCTCCCAGCCATCCCCTTAGCCTTTTAGCTTTTTAGTGTTTAGTGGTCAACTAGGTCCCCCAGTAGTGCCCTTTTACCTTTTCTTGGAGAGGGTCCCCCTACTAAAATAGGCTACAGAAAAACGGGTACCCCTTATTGTACCCTCTCTACTCTACTGGACCTAGTCAAAACGGCCCCGAAGAATTGAAGCACTGCAAGTGGAGCTGTGAACCTCGCTGTCCATCGGCAACCAGTCGTTGAGGATAGCCATGCAGCTTGCCACCGATGGCTTCAGCCCCGCTGGGTTGATCTCGGACCCTAAGGGTACTGCTTCAACGTCCGGCTGTTCGGGTACTCTGTTGGAAAGCAACCGCGTCTTCGAAAGCCAAATGCCAGCATAAAAAAAAAGGAGTCCGGGGTTGGCATCAAGCCCTTCAACAAGTGGGTATCTGTGTTCCTTATGAAGGTTCTTGGGTTCAATTCGTTCGGGTTGGTGAATACTGCACTCGCTGTTGAGACAAGAGCTTCAACACGGCCCACGCTGCTGTCCTGGAAGTGAAAGGAAGTGGCGCAAGCGCTTTGCGGCCGCTCTCACTGAATTGGACTGGTCGGGGCTGCTTTCCCTGTTACCACCGCCCCTCAAAGTCTTTGCCAGAAGTTGTTCCGATTATTCCAAGTCTTTTGACACTTCAGGCACCTGACAATCCCATTCGTGGGATGCGTATTGCAATTCCAAGCAAGACATACTTTTGAGGATTCCAAAAAAGCAACCACAACAAACACTTAGGGTCCGGTATTTCATGGCACGTGTAGTCCGTTTGCTTTCGCGGATTTGCGCTCATTTCTTTTGCAGCGGAATCCTCCGGTTTGGCAAAGAGAGAAGGAGGTCCGAAGCATTTTCGAAGGTTCAAGGCACCCTCGGCATGCAAACCAAAGAATCCTAGGCTACAACCCCTCTCCAACCCAAAGCGATTGAATCTCCAATCCTGGAGGATTCCGGCGAGCCGTTTTACCATCTCCGTCGGCAAAGGATCCAGCGGTTTGTCGTGAAGAACCTACTTTGAAGATCAGATTCGATCGGACACGCATGGCAAGAATTCGTCCATGAGAAGTGGCCATGCGCTCATATTTAAGATTGCTGGATGAAATCCTGCACCACTTGATCTGTGGTTTATCCGAGTCGGGTTTTATCCATTCGCTGGGTTGGGATTTCGTACAAGATCGCTGATGCTCAGCGGGCGCTGCTGATGTCAGAGCACAACCTGCGAAGGCTGCCAACTGAGTTGTGTGCCTTGACCATACCCTGGAGTTCTCCCCGCCCCCCCAAAAAAAACATGCACACAACACAGACCCCGGACCTCGACGTGGAGAACCCTCTCACCCACCAATTCAAGTGCCCTTGAACCGGCTGCTTTTGAGGCCCCCTAACAAACATTGAAACATTGACAGCCGACCCGAAGGGTAGGTCAGGCGTTTCACTTGATCTGCGCATCTGCTTTTTGTGGATTTGCGATCATCACTTTTGCAACGAAATCCTCAAGTTTCGTGCAAAGAGTCTCACTCGTTAGATACTGCCAATACTTGCATGGGTCCATCGACCTCTTGTACAGGGCAATCTCCATCGGTGAAAAGGATGCAGGGCTGTCTGGCACTTTTTTGCTGGGCAGTCGGGGAGCCGACGAGCTTGGAGTCGAGCTCGGAGTTTAACTCAGGTCTGAAGGAACACGTGACGAGTTTTGCTGTGGGCATGGCAACCCAACCCAAAAGGCGAGTATGGCCGGACTACTATGATCTGTAGTTGGTGGGTATCCAGCACCCGGTTTGTGACAGACCTCCGTTTTCAGAGGACGCTTTGAAGACGAAGACGAACACTCATTGGTTGATCAGACCCTGGGCAGAGAAACTTCTGCATCTCGTGAGGATCGAGCACGAGTTTCCGCGCTTTGCTCAGTTCCTTGCTGCAGGTGAGTTCATTTCACTGCATGCGCTGTACAGACCCTGCCGTGGAAATGTCCCGTGGCTCCAAACACGAGCGTTTCAAGCGCAAGCGGGTGCTTTTTTTTTTAAAATAATAATAATAATATTAGTTGATATTATTATTATTATTATTGTTATTATTATTATTATTATTATTATTATTATTATTATTATTATTATTATTATTATTATTATTATTACTACTATTACTATTACTATTATTATTATCATCATCATCATTATTATTATTATTATTATTATTATTATTATTATTATTATTATTATTATTATTATCATCATCATCATCATCATCATCATCATCATTATTATTATTATTATTATTATTATTATTATTATTGTTATTATTATTATTATTGTTAATTATTATTATTATTATTATTATTATTATTATTATTAAGGTACGTACCCAAAAAGGATTGTGCAAAAGGGATTGCCGAGCCTTGGACTTCCGTTTGTTCCTTGTTCCTTGTTCCGGGGGGTAGACTTGATTCAGCAAGCGGCTAAGGCCGGGGATGTGACCTGGTGCTATGGTTCATACTTTTGGACTGTGTGCCTCTTCCAGGGATGCCAGTGATCAGCAGAGTACGGGGTTCTAATATTCTGGTAAGGGCTTTCAACGTCAGGCATCAGGGTTCTTCCCTCACACCTCAAGGAGCAACCCGACGCTTCTGGGTTTCAACGATTGACAGTGTTCAGGGTTGAGAATACCTTGGATTTGAGGAGCAGCCCGCCCCCTTTTTTGATTGGTGGTCTCTGCCATGCTTAGCATGGTTTCTTTTTAGAGCCATGTTCTCATCTTCTCCTTCCCCCTTTTTTGCTGCTTCCCACTGTCTCTTTCAGGCCCCAAACCGCATCTCTTTTCTTCTTCTTTTTTGCGGTCTCAGTGCTTGTTCGGGCTTCCGGTCCTTTCCCAGCCAGATCACCATGGCCAGGGCGGCTGCTTCTTTTCCTTCCCTCCGGCACTTCCAAAAATTGGCGCCTCCGCTCCTCTCTCAGCTCCCCTTCTCAGCTCGGCACAGATGCCTTGACCTCCCCAGATCGGCAGCGCGATGAAGGCCGCCTGCCCCCCCCCCCCCCGAATTCGCCTGTCAGCGCCGCCTTCGACCTCTGGAGTGTCGTTTTGAGAAGGGACGCCAACATGAAGCCACTTTTGCGGGTTCTTTCAGACAAACTTGGTTCACCACTTGGGCCTCTCGCGCTGCGAGGCTGTGGCTCTTCCTTTCGGTCTTTCTCTCTCTCTCTCTCTCTCTCTTCTGGCTCAGGCAGCTAGCCCAGCCCTGCCCCCAACCTTGGGTGAAACGCTCACCCTCGTTCTCTCCAGATAGCCGATAGCCTAGCACTCCCCAGAGTGCGCGAACCACATCCAGCCACCTTCCCCCAGGCAGGGCGGTGACCAGGAACACACGTCCCGATCTTCGGGCCCCATGGCTTCGGGCTTGCCGCTCTGTCAAATCTCGGCTCTGAAGTGCACTCGCCCACCCAGACCGCCTCAAGCGGAGTTGCCAATCCGCGCGCACCCATGGCGTCCTTTTTTTAGGGGACCCACCAGAAGGGTGGTTTTCCCTCTTGGTTTCCTCAAAACAAAACAAAAGACAACAAGAAAACAACCACAAAAAACGGGTAATTACCACCGGAAAGGTTGCATCGCCTAGCTCGCAGCGGACCTGGTTGCTTTGAGTGCCCCAAAAAAGTTGTCTTTTCGAGGAGGATGGTTTTGCACCCATTTGTGCGGGGTTCCACATCCCATGAAGAGACGTCCGCTTATGTACATGGCCAAGGGTTGAACACCTACAGTAGGGGTCGGGGCCTTATGGCGCCAATTGCCACAATGATTCTCGAAATATTGCGAGGACCGGGCGGAACCTTCAATTTCCTTTGTTTTCCCTCAATCTCCTTTTCTCTGCTTGTTATGTTTATTTTGCACCAGTTGGGATTGAACCACTCTTTGATCATCACCCAACTTGGGTGTGTTGGGGATTCGGTCTATCCACAGTCTGCAGGCCGACCTCCCGATGCAGAAGGTGGCCGTGTCCGTTCTCTTCTACGCTGCCTGCTCCTCCACCTTGCTGCTGATCAACAAGGCCGGTGGCTGTTCCGGGCTCGAGGAGTGGTCCTTCTGGGGAACATCTCAAGATGTTCGCCTATTGTCATGGGGGCTGGGGGGGAGGGGGAGGGGGAGGGAGCCCAAATAAGCCCTAAATGAGGCCTTAAATAAGGGAGTTTTTGGGCTCCCCCCCTCCCCTCCCTCGGACGCTTGCACAGCTTTTGGCAATGTGTTATGGTGTGGTCTTTGCCCCTTTCTTCTGGGGGCTGATTCCCCGCTCTTTTCAACTCTCATCTTGTCAAACACTAGCTGTGTCCCGGAGACTCGGGTGTTTTCTGAGTGGGGATCCCTGACGAACGGGTGGATAATCCCCGGGGAGGATTGCCATGAATCGGGAATACCTTCCCAAATGGTTGGTGGAAGGCCCCTAAATTTGATGGGCAACATGTCGTCTGCCCAATTCAATTACAAGATCTCCACCTCAGACGAAAGTTCGGCTCGGGCTCCGTTGGGACTTCGCCCTTTTTGCGGTGAGGTGGCGATGCACTTTGTGCCGGATGCGTCCTTCATCCTCTTCTGCCAGTTCCTTGTGTCATCCCTGACGGCGGGATGGGAGGGCATGGGCGGAACAGGGCGGCTTACCTCAACTCAGAGTGCAACAAAGGGTTCCTGGTGCCGAACGAGTGGTGTCGACAGTGCCGCAAAGGGAACTTGTCTTTGACACCTTTGGTCGCAATGAGTTTAGTTTGGAGGCAGCAAGCTCAAGCTTTAGCCCGTGCACTCAAGTGGGTACGTTTTTGGTGGGCACTTCTGGGGTATCGCCTTCGGGTTTGCGTGTGTGCCCACACTGGGGTTATAGTGAGTAATCAGCCAGCACCTGGACCCCCGATTGTCGCCCAGCCACTTGGGAAGTCCGCAAATGTCTGCTAACTGTACATTGATTGCATATGCGAACCAATTGTTATCCACCATAAGAAGCAAGACATGCTACATAATAAATTAATTTTATACTTTTCAAACTCTATTTAAAATGGTGGGTTCAAGTAAGAATGGAAAAATGGCATAGAGCAGGTGGGTCGGCTCTGGTGGGTCAGCACTGGTCCCCCTGAATTTCGGGGTTTTCTTAGGTGCATAGGGCTGGCTACGGCTTAACCCAGTTTTCGCGAGGTGCGCTCCATCAAGTGTGCCGCGCCGGACGCTGACATCGAGCTGATCCGCGCTTCGGCGCGTAAAAAGCTCATGCGAGCAAAGCGAGCATGTTTGTTTTATGGGTATCTTTTTAGGTTTAGGTTTTATTAGGTGGTTTTAGGTGTGGTTTTGTTTTATGGCTTGACAGTGAAACCAACAGCACAACCACTTTGCATTTCTTTTTCCCGAAAGCATGGCGAAGGGTTCTTCCGCTGGGTTCACTTGAATTGTTCTCATGAGAGTCATTACAAGGTGTCATTGCAAGGAATCATCATCATGAAAGTCAATGCAAGGAGTCATTGCAAGGAGTCATTGCAAGGAGTCATTGCAAGGAGTCATTGCAAGGAGTCATTGCAAGGAGTCATTGCAAGGAGTCATTGCAAGGAGTCATTGCAAGGAGTCATTGCAAGGAGTCATTGCAAGGAGTCATTGCAAGGAGTCATTGCAAGGAGTCATTGCAAGGAGTCATTGCAAGGAGTCATTGCAAGGAGTCATTGCAAGGAGTCATTGCAAGGAGTCATGAGAGTCATTGCGAGCTGCAAGGAGCCAAGCGCATGGAGTCAAGTGCAAGTTGCAAGTGCAAGGAGTCAAGTGCAAGTTGCAAGTGCAAGGAGTCAAGTGCAAGTTGCAAGTGCATGGAGTCAAGTGCAAGTTGCAAGTGCAAGGAGTCAAGTGCAAGTCGCAAGTGCAAGGAGTCAAGTGCAATTGACATGCGAGGAGTTAAAATCTCTTCTTAGGGCGGCGGGGTAGCGCCGACGACACTACCCCTCTGCGGGGATCGGCGTGGTCGAGGTGCAAAAACTCGAGGTTTTTTGCGATTTTGTTTGGGCTCGCCCCTCTGCGGGGATCCGCGTGGTCGAGGTACAAAAACCCATGGTTTTGTTGCGATTTCTAAAGTTCCCGCACGACCCTCTGCGGGGATCGGCGTTGTCGAGGTGCAAAAACTCGAGGTTTTTTGCAATTTTTAACATGCTCGCGCGACCCTCTGCAGGGATCGGCGTGGTCGAACTGGTCCTGAAAGTTGTCTCGTGGTTCGCGCGCCTGCTCCCGGGACCGGCGGGTCGCAGGTTCGATTCCTCCCTGGTCCGCGGGCGGGCGTCGCAAGATGCAACTTGCGTAAAGCAACTTGCGCAGAGCAACTTGCGCAGAGCAAGTTGCACAGAGCAACTTGCGCAGACCAACTTGCACCGTCCAGTTTGCGCAGAGCGCCTTGCCTAGAGCAACTTGCGCAGAGCAACTTACGCAGAGCAACTTGCACAGAGCAACTTGCACAGAGCAGCTTGCACAGAGCAACTTGCAGGGAGCAACTTGCACGGAGCAATTTGCACAGAGCAACTTGCAGGGAGCCACTTACAGGGACCAACTTGCACGGAGCAACTTGCGCGGAGCAACTTGCGCCGAGCAACTTGCGCAGTGCAACTTGCGTAGAGCAACTTGCGCAGACCAACTTGCACGGACCAGTTTGCGCAGAGCACCTTGCCTGGTGCTGTCTCGCGCTTGCTTCACGAATGCTTCGTGTAGGGAAAAAGAACGCATCCGGCAGCGTTGGGCCGACCTCGCTTGCGATGTTATGCTTTCGGGCCAACCGTGGTCTAGGTTTTTTGGCGGTCGCGGGGGGTGGTCGCATACTTTCACGCATGCCACAATCATTGTAGTAGTTTACCGGGCTTCCCTTGTTCCTGACCTGCAATATTTTCAGGTCCAGGGAGTTGTTCGGGAGAGGCAAACTCGGGCCCACATTCCTACACATCCCTACCCTGGATTGCTCCTGGTTTGCCTGTTCTGTTCTGTTTTGACATGCGCCGGAGCGTCCTACGCTTGCATGACTCGGACACCAACTTTTCTTGCTGGTTCTCAGCAGGGGATGAGTTGGAAAGACCCCGAGAAAACCATCCATCCTACGGTTTCCTTTCTTCGAGAATCCCCAAAACCGGTTCATTCCCAAAACCGGACTGCTCGTTCCCTACCACCGGCAAGTTTTGTTGATGTTGATTTTGTTTTTCTGGGTGTTGGCGGAACCTTGTACCGAGAGGCTCCAACTACCCTTTTCGCGAGTATTGGGTTTGCGTATGGGAAACACCTGGTTTCCCCATGGAAAATACCTCCTTTGTTTGGTCGGGATACCCAACAACATTGGTCCAGAATGCTGATCCCTGAAATCAGGGGTCCATTTTTCCCGGTGACTCCTTTCTTCCAGGGAGACCTCCCCGAAAATAAATGAAAACCGCCGAGGTTGGGAGAAGGCCCGGCCCTTCTTTCTGGCCTGCCTGATCTTCTTCCTTTGCCTGCTCGCCAGGGCCTGAGTCAGTGAGAGCGCTGAGAACACGAGGACCCCAAATCCCCCTCCTTGAGCTTCGGTGAACCATTGGGTCGACCGTTTTTTTTCCTTTTTTTTTTTCTCGTGGGGAGAAGTTTCAGAAGCCAAAAAATTGAGAGTTCCCCCAAAACCTTGCGAGTCTGTGGCAGTTTAAGCCATCCCCCGATTCTTGGTTGGAAATTCAAGCCCACCCCCCCCCCCCCCCCTGCCCGGTGTGGATACTGCACCTCTGGGCCTCGCTGACTCGAGGCGAATACCGCGGCGCTGAAGTCGGTGAACGTGGAGACAGTGATCGTCGCCCGCTGGGGGCCTCTAGACTGTGGCGACTGGGGCGATTTGGGGCTCACGGTGATTTCGTGAGTCCAGTGCACCGGGCCATTTCCAGCGTTTGGTTCTTTTTGCGACCCAGCCGCTCGATCGGAAGTTTGACTTCTTTTGCAGGCGCTTCAAGAATCCCCAAAGCAAGCAAGGGTGTCCTTCCTCTTTCCCTGTAAAGTCCAGCAACAAGGGGTTCATTTGGAGCAATGACAAGAAGTCAGTAGAAAGAAGAAGGAGTACTAAGTAGTAGTAAGTAGTAAAAGTAGTAAGTAGTAGCAAATGACTTCAATGATTGAAATCTGACCGGCAGGCTCCTGCGCTCCCATTGCGGCCGAGAGCTCAGCTCGCGCTTCCGGACGGCTCGGGCCCGGGGGTTCCTCAGCACAAGCTGCTGGTCCTTTGAGAAAACGCCGAAGGCAACACCGAACAGCCAGCTGACTCGGGTGTTTCTGAAACGTCAAAGTCTAAGATAGTGGGCCGCCAAATGCTTTTTGTGGATGGCGCTGGTTTAGATGGAGGTTAGTCCAATTTAGCAGGACCACCTATGAAAGGGAGTCCATGTTGGCCTTTTCGGAGCCGGCCGGCCCGGCTCAGATGTTTCTGGCAGGTCTCAGTGCTGGAGCACTACACGCTGGGCAGAGCCCTGCCCAGTGCGAAGGGCACGTGTGCGCTCATGGCCCGGTGACCAAAACTTTTGTTGGATTGGATACGGATGGACGAAATCCTCTTAGGCACCACCGTTCAGAAACTCTAGGAAGGATTCCCCCCAGGAAAATGCCAAGCAATGGCTTCCCCACGATTTCAAAGTCGTGCAGGATTTCGTCCATCGCTAGGGGCGGGTTGGGATCTCGTTTGAAATTATGTTGATGTTGGCCCAGCATCTGGGGGTGGCCCCTTTTTGAGGGAGTCCTTCAAATTGGGGGAACACCCCGCCCACAACATCCACCCAGGTTGATTGGGTCAACATTACAATTCAGGGTTCACTAATAAGGTAGGTGCGTTTTTTGTTGAAGCGGTACAAGCTGAGGTCAAGACAGAGAGAGACTGAAATCCTTGCTACCCCAGTCAACAAGAAACACTGGAATCCCCCTTTCACATGGAGGATTGAAAGTCTTTTCCCAAAGGGTTCGGAGGGACGACCTCACCGAGAAGTTTGAGGCTTGCTTTTTGAGAGTATTTTGAGAAGCAAGGATTTCTACAGAAAATATCTCCAACACCCGAGCAAATACTCAGTGTTATTTTTGAGCATTATGATTTTGAACGAAGACTAAAACAGAGCATATCTACCATGGAGAACCAGGTTCTCAACCTCTTCATCTTTAGGAACCCATCAAGTAGGACTCCCCTTAAGCCCCAATCCGCATGTTTTCCCAGGAGTCCCCTTTTTTTGCACCCCAAACCAGGGCTCCCTTGAACAGGGGATCCCTGGTTTGACGCAGCCCATGGGATTTTGTCAGGGGATCTCTTCCACAAGCCGCGCGCTGGCGCGCGGAAATGGAGCCGCTCAGGGCATCGCCGGGGGCGCGGTGGTCTACGTGGTGTCGGACGAGGGCTTTCGGATCGAGGGCTACACCTGGCTGTTGCTCTACTTCGCTTGGAGCCTCGGGTTGGGGGGGGGTTGGGATTGGGTGCCGGCCTGTTCTGGGTCGATTTTTAAGCGACTGGATGTGTTTTTGCGAAGCCAAAGAGGGGAACCTTGCTTCAAGTTCAGGTGTGATTTTGTCATCTGCGTTCTTTGGTGGATATTCAATGGTCGAACCGGGGTGGTTGAAAGAGTTTTAAAAACATGACTCCTGGTCTAACTACTTGAAGACCCCCGCAATTGGATGGATGAAGCCTGCTTGCAAGCAAATGTCTCGAGAAGATGCCAAGCTTCAAAAAGGTTCTCCTTCAAAACGAATTAAGAGAATTATTGGAGCCAATCAACGGTCGAGCTGTTTGGAGTCCCAACCGGGCATATCGGCCCTTTGATTCTCATTTTGGGTGGACGGTTTCAATACCACTTGCACTCCCCAGTTTCAATATTCGGAAGGGAGCACGAGATGCGCCATGCAAAGCCTGGAAGTTGATGAGCCATGTGTGCGAGCCATGCGAGGGGATCTCGATTTCTTTTTGATTCTGCGAGTACCGAGTGTGGGCCAAACCCCCTAGGTGCCTTTCCTCGGTGCCCGTGAATTTGGGTGGCGAGGATCTCCACCAACCACTTCCGCGCCCAAAACAAAAAAACACCAGTTCAATTTGGTGCATGGATGGAGGATTTTGTCCCCTTTGGCAACATGGATCACTGATGACATTTGCAAACTGCTCACTGAAGGCGGGTCTGTCACGAGCTCGGGCTGTTGCAGGAACCTCCCTGGAACTGCCATGCTCTGCGATTACACTCCTTTGGTTGTGTGACTTCCCTGAAAGGTTCTGTCTTTCTTTGGCTATGATTATTGGAGGACGCCAAGAGGCAAGTAGCCATTCTTCAGGTTCCCCTATTTTAAGACAGCCATGTCCAAGCTTTGCCCTAACTAGCGAACTTAACTGCTCTCGAAGCCCAAGCAAAATACCGGCTGGTTTGCTTCCTTGCCAGACAGGCCTGGGTTCCCACGGTGGAACCGAAGCAAAGCTTCGTCTGGGCGAGGACAAAAATTGGCGAAGCCGCACACCCGCTGTTTGTCTCCCATGAACCCTCTCAGGTTCGTGTCTTGAGACCGAAACGGTCAGAAAAAGGCCACGTTTCGGGGCAGGTTACAGACCTAGATGCCACGGCTTTTTAAATCAGGGATGGCCATCGGCCACTCTATCAGGAACTTTGACAATCATTGTAAATCGAATGTTTCCTGAGAAAAGCCAATCCCACAGATTCGGAGTTTTGACCATCATATGGGTTTGGCGCTCCTAAACTGACCCCTTTGGTTCCCCTTTGTATAGGAGACTCACTCATTTTCCAGGGGGCAAGCACGAATTGTCCCATGTCCTAACCCCTTTCGTTTCCCCAGGTATACAACCCTTTCTACTTCTCCCTAGTAGTCGTTTTGGGGCAGCCTTCTGAGACTTTGACTGGTTGCCTGCTTGGTTACTCCTATGTAAACTTTTGTCGCAATCTTAGCAGAAACGAAAGCCGCGCCGAACCGGCCATGAACCACACTTTGGCACATCGACATCCTCAGAGGACGAAAGAGCTGCCCATTCCTTCGGTGGTTGCTCCCATGGGTTTGGCACGACCCCTTTGGTTATCCTCCGAATGCGAGTCACCAAATATCCCCGCCAACATCAGGCTCACTCGTGTTCTCATGTTCAGCAAAAACAAGCGTTGCCCTCAGCCCTAAAGCACAGGACATGTTTCAATCCATGTCTTAGGCCGGTATTTTTGACTGAGGTCTTCATCGTCACGGAGATGGTCTTCGTGAAGTTCGTGGTGGAGACTGTGCCCATGTCCACCTGGACGCGTGTCTACTACAACAACACCATGCCGTTTGGACCACAACCCGAAGGGGGGATACGACTCTTATATGGAACAACCCACAACCCACAACAACCCACAACCCTTATATGGAAATGTGCACATAGCACACAACCTCATATGGACACGGGTATGGCTCAAGATGAAAGAGCTGGGGTTAGGCGGGGTTAGTCTTTGGTTCCATTTGCCAAGGTGCCGTTTTGGTTCCACTTTTTTGAGCCACAGCCAAATGTGTCAGCATGGGGAGACCCTGGTTTCCCTGTTTAAAAAGCACCCCCGAAAGTCACCCCTCAACAGAAAGACACACACACACATATCAGGGAAGCAATGCAGTCCGGAGCAGAGGACCCATATCCCACTATCCTCACCCTTGTTTTTGCCGGAGTCGTCGTAGACGGCCCCGTGTAAAACGCTCATTTTGCAACTTCTTCCAGTTGCCGCGCGTTCCGAGGGTCGGGGGGACGGTTCTTTTTTTTTGGGGGGGGTGTTACCGTTAACGAATTAGTATTAGCCTTTTTGTTTTGGTAACTTTTCAATAGAGACCCTCAAACATGGCCAGGCATTTGATCAGCTACTTGCCCCAAGTACCAACACATATCCTTTTTAGTCAGGGTAGGAAGTTGCTCCTCCATGATGGTGTAGGTCGATAATATGGCCCCCTGTGAAAAGAAGGCCAACATGGGTTGATATTTGTGCGAGTGTGTTTGTCTGTGTGTGTGTGTGTGAGTGTGTTCTTTTAGGATCTGCCCCGCTATTTTGACACATACTCATTTAAACAAGATGCCTTTTGGATCGGCAGAACTAGCCAACCGATCGTCACTTGGGTCGCAGTTACTGTAGGTTTGGGTAGAACAAAGGTGAACACCTTCCTTTACCAGGCCACGTGTCTAGCCTTGTGCCCTGTTTTCTGCAGCAACCTGGAAGAACTATTGCCCCTCAGGTCGATGAGAACGGACTAATTACTCAGGAAATGCATGAAGAATATTGATGAGAACGAATTTTGGGGATCACCTAAGATGAGCTCGAGGATGGTGAAGGTTTGCTTGGGGATTCCTTATTAGTTTGTGAATTCTAAGTCCGCCGCCTTCAGAAGGCGGACATTCGCCTTGCAGTTCAATGTTCGCTATGGGCCAAAGTCAAACATGCTATGGGGTCGGGCAGCAACAGCTGAGGTGATGAGAGCGGTTTCTCCTCAAGATTAGCACGACAACAGGCTAGAGGATTTTAAGGGAACCCCCTGTTCGGGTTCCATGTTATGAATGTAATGCTCAGGGCTAACAAGCCGCTGGTGGGCTAATAGGGAGGGTGTAATCTACTTAAGAGGATATGTTTGACAACCAAGGGTTTGACAACATGGACACGCGTGTAACCAAAGGGCAAACTCACTTGTTCTTTTTGGCTTGAACAGCCTTCCTAATCTTAAGTTGCTTGTGACATTGCACCCTAGAAATGATTCGTACAATTCCCTTTCTACCCTTGAACATCGTTTAAACGCCCCTACTCAACATAATTACCCGCGAAGTATTTGGCCCTGCAAGCTGGACATTCAAAGCGAAGGCACAGCTAAGCATGCTGAGTTTCGGGTTGCAAAAGAAGAGCATGGTTTGGAAAGAAACACATGTTTTCCAATGAGCACATGTTTTTAGTAAACCGGCTTTCTAGCCCCTCCGATGCGCGGCGCAGTGCGCCTAGCGTGGACCCAAGTCCATGGCCGATTTCACGCTGAAGATCGGCCAGGAAGCTGTTGAAGCCATGCGGACAGCTCATGGCTTCCAGCGACTCAAGCAAGTCCGGGCGAAGAGATCCCTGGCGCCTGCAAATGTCTTGGGCTGTAAACGGACAAAGTTGATATGGGCTCGTTGTTATTTGAGGGTACCAACATGTTTTTGGGTGGTTTTAAAGGGAAACCCAAAGGGAAAAGGAGACCATATGTTGGAGGGGAGCCCCAACTCTACCATCCTTGGGGTGTTTACAACCCCATCATCTTTTTGGGTGTTGTTTTTAAACGAAGCCAAAGGACAAATCCACGTTTTTGCTTGAAAAAACAGGACACCAAAAGGACAAGGACACCTGTTTGGAGGGTCTTGGAGACCATTTTTCCAAACATAATCAGTGCATGTATCTGTTTTTTAGTGGGGGGGGGGTGTTTCCCAGCTTTTTAGGCCATTTTGGTTTCCTTCGGAGGTGGGACCTCGCGCCGAGGTCCCTGCCCCTGGTGGTCCTCTCCTCCAGCTTCATGGGCTTCGGCGCCTTTCTGGAGGCAAGGAGAGGACATTTGGCCGTGGTCAAAGCTACTAGGATCCCATTTTGGGGGATTGGTGAATTCACCGCCCATGTTACTCGAAATGTTTGTGGGGATTGGTTGATGTTATTTTGGGGGATTGGTGAATTCACCGCCCATGTTACTCGAAATGTTTGTGGGGATTGGTTGATGTTATTTGGGGTTGGTGAATTCACCGCCCATGTTACTCGAAATGTTATTTTGGGGGATTGGTGAATTCACCGCCCATGTTACTCGAAATGTTTGTGGGGATTGGTTGATGTTATTTTGGGGGATTGGTGAATTCACCGCCCATGTTACTCGAAATGTTTGTGGGGATTGGTTGATGTTATTTTGGGGGATTGGTGAATTCACCGCCCATGTTACTCGAAATGTTTGTGGGGATTGGTTGATGTTATTTCGGGGGTAGGTGAATTCACCGCCCATGTTACTCGAAATGTTTGTGGGGATTGGTTGATGTTATTTTGGGGGATTGGTGAATTCACCGCCCATGTTACTCGAAATGTTTGTGGGGATTGGTTGATGTTATTTCGGGGGTAGGTGAATTCACCGCCCATGTTACTCGAAATGTTTGTGGGGATTGGTTGATGTTATTTTGGGGGATTGGTGAATTCACCGCCCATGTTACTCGAAATGTTTGTGGGGATTGGTTGATGTTATTTCGGGGGTAGGTGAATTCACCGCCCATGTTACTCGAAATGTTTGTGGGGATTGGTTGATGTTATTTTGGGGGATTGGTGAATTCACCGCCCATGTTACTCGAAATGTTTGTGGGGATTGGTTGATGTTATTTTGGGGGATTGGTGAATTCACCGCCCATGTTACTCGAAATGTTTGTGGGGATTGGTTGATGTTATTTTGGGGGATTGGTGAATTCACCGCCCATGTTACTCGAAATGTTTGTGGGGATTGGTTGATGTTATTTTGGGGGAGGTGAATTCACCGCCCATGTTACTCGAAATGTTTGTGGGGATTGGTTGATGTTATTTTGGGGGATTGGTGAATTCACCGCCCATGTTACTCGAAATGTTTGTGGGGATTGGTTGATGTTATTTTGGGGGATTGGTGAATTCACCGCCCATGTTACTCGAAATGTTTGTGGGGATTGGTTGATGTTATTTTGGGGGATTGGTGAATTCACCGCCATGTTACTCGAATGTTTGTGGGGATTGGTTGATGTTATTTTGGGGGATTGGTGAATTCACCGCCCATGTTACTCATTGGTGAATTCACCGCCCATGTTACTCGAAATGTTTGTGGGGATTGGTTGAATGTTGGTGAATTGGGGATGTGGTTGATGTTATTTTGGGGGATGGTGAATTCACCGCCCATGTTACTCGAAATGTTTGTGGGGATTGGTTGATGTTATTTTGGGGGATTGGTGAATTCACCGCCCATGTTACTCGAAATGTTTGTGGGGATTGGTTGATGTTATTTTGGGGGATTGGTGAATTCACCGCCCATGTTACTCGAAATGTTTGTGGGGATTGGTTGATGTTATTTTGGGGGATTGGTGAATTCACCGCCCATGTTACTCGAAATGTTTGTGGGGATTGGTTGATGTTATTTTGGGGGATTGGTGAATTCACCGCCCATGTTACTCGAAATGTTTGTGGGGATTGGTTGATGTTATTTCGGGGGTGGTGAATTCACCGCCCATGTTACTCGAAATGTTTGTGGGGATTGGTTGATGTTATTTTGGGGGATTGGTGAATTCACCGCCCATGTTACTCGAAATGTTTGTGGGGATTGGTTGATGTTATTTTGGGGGATTGGTGAATTCACCGCCCATGTTACTCGAAATGTTTGTGGGGATTGGTTGATGTTATTTTGGGGGATTGGTGAATTCACCGCCCATGTTACTCGAAAATGGGGGGATTGGTGAATTCACCGCCCATGTTACTCGAAATGTTTGTGGGGATTGGTTGATGTTATTTTGGGGGATTGGTGAATTCACCGCCCATGTTACTCGAAATGTTTGTGGGGATTGGTTGATGTTATTTTGGGGGATTGGTGAATTCACCGCCCATGTTACTCGAAATGTTTGTGGGGATTGGTTGATGTTATTTTGGGGGATTGGTGAATTCACCGCCCATGTTACTCGAAATGTTTGTGGGGATTGGTTGATGTTATTTCGGGGGTAGGTGAATTCACCACCCATGTTACTCGAAATGTTTGTGGGGATTGGATTGAATCGGATGTTCACTGGGGGTACGGGATTTTTGGATTTTGACCCATGGCCATTTTTTCCGCTGCGGTGCTTCGGTGGGTAAGGAGAAAATTCTAGGGCTGCCTTCCAATTCCATTCTTTCCAGGGATCCGAATCTTTTCAGGAAACCATCAGAACTTCAGGGGAAACAGCTGGTTTTTGAAAAGAAGGATGGTTGAAAATAATGGAAAATCAACCTCAGGGCTCCGCAGGTTTCCCCCACCCCGCCTGGTGGTGTGACGTGGCAACTTTCAAACAGTTCCGCAGGTGTTTGGTTTCCCCCTTCTGAAGTTGAAATGTCGTAGTCACAGCTAGGGCTCTAAATGCATTTGTTGGTGTGGAATGACTGGCAGAATGACGTTCATGGCTACGCACAATCTTAGTGGGCCTACCCGATATCCCTCTCGCAAAAATAGGGGGCACACCCAATTGAAACAACAAACGTAATTGTTTGTCCATGAACCTTTCGTATGAACCCCCAATGAAGCGTCTGAACCCCCAATGAAGCGTCAGTTGTGGAACTCAGCCCCCAACGCATTCAAAATGGCTATGAATCCATTGGACCTTTTCCTCTCAGTGTTTGCCTTGCGCCATATTCCTGAAAGGATCCTCTCAACCAGGGTGATGTTCAAAACGGGGAAACGAGGGAACCCTGTGATTGGGTTGGGGCCAACAGAAGCCGATCGCATGGGGCAGGTTCTTTAGTTGTGAAACCCAGCGTGGTTGGTGGAGAACCCATATTCCCAGGAAGCAGTTTTTACAACCTGCGGGGAAAAAAAAAAAACATGCTGCTTGGGGTTCCTTTGGTGGTAGTTGTTGGAACAAGAACCTTCAGTTGATGAAGCCCCACACGTTTGTTCCAACAAACCTCAACGCCCTTTGGAGGGGGGAGCTCACATGGAGCTCGTCCTTCACCTCGCCCGTCCAACGGGGCAGTTTGTGGCATCCAGCAGCCAAAACAGAGCACGAACAATTCTTTGGAACCTGCGGGAAGATGGTGTTAACTTCGGAGCAGTAGGACCCGAGGACCCTACTACTCAGAATGTAATCTGGAGGATCTTGCTAGTCAGAGGAAGCTCTAAAAACGGATGTACTAGAAGGGCACCACCACCCCTGATTTGGTAATCCGAAGCTAAGATTATCTGCTTTCCTAGATGGCCAAGTTACTCTTGTCCAGACACTTTGCCATAAATTTAGTCGCTGTTGCGGGAAAAAAGCAGCAGGCGATCCAGGTTGTTCCAAAAAGGGTTCCGCAATGTTCCGTGTTTTTTGACTACCAGGGTAGGATAAGTGGTCAGGTAACCCTTTGGTGGTGGTTTGGATTGGCTTGGGGATTGAACGCCTGGATTTTGTTGAACGTGGAAAACCATCACGAACCTCCAACCCACCAATCCCAATCACCATTTTCAGAGAGGCTGCAACCTCCATTTGGCATCACCTCCGAGCAATCCAAATGTTCAAAACCAATGGTACCCTTTTGGGATAGTTGCACCACCCATTTTAGTCTATTTTAGTGGGGATTGGGATGTTCACTGGGGGTACGATTTGGATTTTGACCTATGGCCAAATCACCGCTCGGGGAAGCGATCCGAGGGTTTGGGCTAGTGGCTGCAAACAAGAATCTGTCAGGTGAGCTGGGACTTCCAGCACGTCGGGGTGGTGGCTCTCTCCTGCATCGTGGGCGCTTCGGCAAAAAAAAAGAGACACGAGCTGCCCAAATATGGCGAAACTTGAGGAATTAATTTGATGCCTCACCGTAGGGGTCCTTCTTTGGGTGATGCACACATGCTCACTTTAACCGGGTTTCCGGTTTGAGGATTTGAGCTTTTCTCTTGTAGAAGGTATATGGGGAAAAACATCCCTAAGGTCCAAACCAATCCAAACCGCCAATTCTGAATTGCTTGTTGAACCCTCACCCGTCCACAGGTTTGGTGACCTTTTCAATGTCCTAAAGCTTACTCTGCCGCAAATCAGCTCATGAACCCGAAAAGGTGGTCCCCCAAAACGAGGCTCCTTTGGGTTCCCTGCTACACCAGGAATTCTGAATCTTTGATTTTCAGGATCAAGGATTTGGGCAAGCCAGCATCTGTCTTTCCCAGAGTGGATCGGGCTTCCCCCAAGAAAAGGAATCCAACGGCGCCCTTCTTTGCCTTATGGAAAGCCACCGAAAGTTTTCCTGGCGGCGAGGGGGGGGGGGGTCGTCCTTGAACTCCACATGGGTGTGGCTCAAAATTAAACAGCAGGGGTTACGCAGGTTTTAGTCTTTGGTTCCATTTACCAAGGTGCCATTTTGGCACATCTTTCTGAGCCACAGCCACGTGTCGGAAATGCACCGGGCTCTGCGATCCTCTAAGGGGTGGCCATCTCCTACTCGGGGTGCGGAGCCTGGACGGCCGGAGGGCATGCGCCAAATGGGCCTTTTGCCCGGAAATTTGATGCGGGTGTGTCGTTTTGAGGGTATCCCCTAAAAAATGGTGGTTTTCCCCATGGTTTCCCATTAAACCATACAAACAGGGGTATCCTCAATAAAAGACATGTGGCAGTGGGTCAAAAATATGTACCCAAAATGGGAACCCTGGCAAATGAAAACATGGATTAAACCTGTGGTCCCATGTTGGTTTAATTTCGACCCACAGCCATGTAGAGGGAGATTCGGAGATTCTGAGCTTGCATCCATGAGGGGAAAGTAAAGCACTTTCCATGGGTGCAGCAGGAGGTCTGGTGTTATGTGCCACCGTGGCCGGAATGTCAGAAAACCGCATGGGACATGCGCGAATTCTTGGCCGCCAGCGGCTGAAATCCTGCCTAAATAGAGCATTCGAGCCCACTTTTGAGAGCAGAAGGGATGGCCTACATTGGTATCACAGAAGGGTTAAGTCTTGTCCACAACCATGGAGTAGTGAACATGATTACTCTGGGTTTGTTTTGTTTTTGTTTGTTTGTTTCGATATTCGGAGATGTCTGGGGCTGGGCCGTGGTTGATTCTTACTCTGAGGGTGTCCTAAATTTGTCCACCAGGAGTTCTCCCGATTGGAGGGTGTTGAAGAGGTGAAGCCGAAAGGATATTTTCGCGTGGGGCCCCTGTGTATTCAAACATCCATTGAAATAGTCTCGGGGACCCACCAAAATGGCTTGGTTTCCTTTTGTTTCCCTTGAAACCAACCCAAGACACACCCACAAGGATCTAAGTGAAACCCCAAAACATCCCCAAATTGCATGGACGCCACTTGCCAGTGACCCAGCGAACTACCCGGGCTCCTTTAGTTTACTCGAAATCCGTGAGGGCTAGTATGGTTACGGGCTTTATATGTCTTAAGGGAGCATACGGCTTGTTGCACGGGTTTGCTAACTTGCCAACCTGGTAAGAGGCGTACAAAAGCTAAAGTCAGGGCTAACCGGCGGGCCTGCCTCCTTTCGGCCATCTAAGCATTCGCACCTTGCAGGGATATTGCTTCTCGGAAGGGAAACCACTCGTTGACTTACCACAGTGTCAAAACAAGGAGACCCTTCCTTTGCTCAAACCGCCTTCACATCGCCTTCAAATCGCCACCTGTGCCCCTAGGTTCAACCTTCGGAAGCTGGTCTCTGCCACCTCCTTCACCGTCATAGGCGGCGTTTCTCGGCGCGCGGGCTTGGGACTCTCCCCGTCTCCAGATCTCCTTGGTGCTCAGCAGGGAAGGAGAGCTTTCAGGGAAGCCCTGGGAAGGTTCATTCCCAACACCCTGGGTCATTCCCTACTGAGCACCATGTGGGAATGTCCCCCTTTATCTATGGGCGGTTTGCTTTTGGCCTGACAAATACCCTGCAACAGATCACGCATATGTTCAAAGCGCAGGGCTTGAAAATGGTACATACCTCCATGCCCCAAAAGCAGGGGTGCTTTCTTTGAAGGGGAACCAGCCGCAGAATCTCCAGATACCCAAGCCTTTGGCAGGGTCGAGCCTCAAAACTGGGCAGGGAACTGGTGAAGGGGTTCGCCAGACCCCTTGTCAAGGAGGTGGGGGATTTTAAAGTGCCCCAACTTGTCGGAAAACCTGAGCCTGGCATTTTTGGACATAGTTTGATGCACAGGCTTTTGGCAGAAAGCTGAGAGCAATCTGGCTAGCAAAAAAGATACTCTCTATCACTCTTCTTCCCGGTTTCTATAATTGCCTTGCATGAAGGCAAGTCCAGAGGAATGTTTGTTGACTCGTCCAAGCACCAAGTTTTTACTGTGGATGGACAGAATCCTGCACCACTTCGAACACATGAGAACCCTTGTTTGTTGGATTTTGTTGGTATTTACAGGGGAATCCGCATTCCAGGACTTAGTGCAGGATTTCGTGAAGCAAACAGCGGCTGTCGAGCCACAGAGCTCGAAGCTCGGCTCGCCGGGAGTCGAAACGGGGGCAACTTCTGAGGTTCGGTGGGATCAAAGCAGTGAATTTATGGCCATGGGGCATGACCCATGGCTGCATTTTGGGGTAGATGAACATCCATTTGCCATTTTGATGTTCACCAGGGGGTACAACCAGGGGTGCAGGGTTTTGACCCACAGCCATATCCTCTTGGGGCAAGAAGTAGTGTTGACTGTGCTTCACATCTCTTCGTCAGACATGTAGGTCATTTTTCAGATTCCTTGCGCTTCTTGCCGTTGGGGTGTCGAACTTTGGTCCAGAACACGTGGGCCATTCTGCAATACACCGAGCCATGGGATCCTAAACAAATGCGGGGGGGGGGGGGATTTATGTCTTGGCGGGTTCCACCCAAGAAAATCCCCTCCAAAGGCAAGACCCTAGCTGTGGCCGAAGCCAAAAACAGGTCGGAAGCCAAGGGCAGCCCAAAAGCCTGGCTATTTTTCTGGAGATTCTTGGGGTTTTGGGAATGAACCGTGGGACTTTCTCTTGAGGAAAGCAGTTGGAAGGTTGTGGGTTCGCCAGGTGTGCTTTGCAAGCTTCTGACGGTCCTGCTCAACGACATGGCCGCGAGCTCGAAGAACAGGGGACCTCTCGACTCGCCCAAAGCCGAAGCTGAGGTCGGGGTTTTCTTGGGTCGGAGGCGTATGGGGAGGGTTGGACAAAGATCCCAGGTAACCTGGGGTTGAGGAATATAGAGTTGGGTTGGTGTGGCACAATTCCATCCCATTTTGAGCACTTATCCCTTTTGCTTCGCAAAGGTGCCATCTAGTCTCACCCAGGGGCTAAATGGCCATGAGTCTTAAGAAGGAACACCCTGGAAAATGGTTGGTGGACCTGATGTCCATCAAAGGGTCCTCAACTAAAATTCATACCCGAACTAGACAGATATATGTTTTTTTTCATGATCGTGACGTAGATACGTTTATTCTACTTGTTTAGGCCCTAGCACCAGAGGGTTCCCTGTTCTTCACTCCTTCCTGGAGACCAGATGGTTCTGGTTTTCCTTGTAGTAGTGGTGTCGCACTACGGATTGCGGACTAGGAACATCGGGAGCCTTTTTTGCGGGCTTGCAAGCAGCCATGCGGGTTAACCACCCAACCCCGATAAAACCAAGGGTGGCGCTGCCATAGGTAAACTAGCATTTGGGGTGAAAAAGCAAACCGCAAATCTATAGAAGACACCCTGGCAACTAACAGGAAACCCACCAGCAGGACCCCAAAAGAGATGGGTCCCCCGAAGGATTTCCCCCTTTGACGCACCACCTCAAAACACCCCAGAATTGGGTCAGACAGAAGCTGGGATCGGTGTGTTTGGGCTGGCGTAAACAGCCTTTGGGAGGAACACAAGGAGGTATTTGCCGCGTTCTTCAAACTGTACTCTTGGCGTCTATGGTATGCAAACCATACCCATACCTCGTGGTCATAACCCATACCTGAACTCTGGAATTTACGCCTGATGCTCTGGGGAACCCACAGCTGGACTCCACAGCTCCCCTTTGACAAGTGCTAAAAGAGTGCCCAAGTGCGACAATTATTGGAATCCACACTGCAGTCTCTTGCTGGTTTTCAGGGAAAGAGGACATGACCCGGACGCGGCGGAAGCGGAAAGGGGCGCTTCAGCGGGGCCGCCGAGGCTGCGCGTGTGCGCGCCACAACAGCTTCACTTGCAGGAGCTGTGCGCCTACCGGGCGAGAAGGGGATGTTCCGCCGGAACACCAATCCCTGCTGGAACAGATGAGTGCGGATCAACTGGCTGCCAGGCCTCGACTTGGCCAGGGCGTCCGAGGGAGGAAGAGCCGGAGCCATTCTGCGGGCTTGCTCAAAGACACACCCGGTGCATGAGATTCACCCGATTTTTCTGCAAGCCATGCCACTTCTGCGGGGCCCATGGCAACTGTTGCCCTGGTTCTTTAAAATACTCCCTGAGCGTATATGTTGGTATTCAAGCCATACAACTTCCATACCCTACGGCCTTTCACCCCTCCATGCAAGTCCCATGGCGCCTGGCCCGGAGAAATCTGACACATTCACTTTCTTTTCGTTTGCAAACTCGATATTTGTGTGTCTTTCTTTAGGGGGGACACCCGCCCCAAACTGAGGAATAGAGAAATCTTGGTTTTCCTCCGAGCTTCCCTTTAACCACCAAGAAATCGGGGTGCCCTCAAAAGAAGACAGACCCATAGTTGTGCACCCATGGGTGGGGTATGGCCACAGGTCTGGAGCAAGCACTCCAACTTCATGGGCCACCTGGGGCTGTTGCTCTGCATCGCCGCCGGCCCGGGGGCCCTTTTGGGGAAGCGTGGAGACGCCGGTGAGGATCCAAGGCCCAGGTTTCGCAAGGATCTGGACAGAAGCCCTTCAAAACCGGCCACAGACGTGCCCCACCCTCGAAAATGATGCTCAGACGTGCCGCCTAGTTCCACTAGCTCGAGAGTATTGCTTCAACTTCCCCTGTTGGTTTTTCAAGAAGATTGTTTTTATCACTGCTGGACATTTTGTTTTTTCCAGGGGCGCAAAAACAAACGGCCATCCAGAGATCCAGGGAAGTGGGCTCTACTTGAAGTGTTGTGGATTTACTGGAGGTGCAGTTGAGCCTTGAGGGGGTTGGCCTGGACTTCTCATGAAACAGTGGACAGGTTGCACCGTGCACCCTCAGGCGGATGCGCGGTCTTGCAAACCAGACTGGGGTGACTAAGGAATTCGAGGCAAACAACTGCTACTTTATTTGTGGAAAGACGAGATCACTTGAACCGAAGTCCAGAAAACGTGTCCACTTCCTGGGTGGTGGACTAGATGATCTTGGCTGATGGGACTTGAGCCCGTCCCCTCGTTACCACGAGAATCTAGAACCCCTGCTGTTTGGGTTGCCTACCAAGCCAGTCTTGGGAATACAGTTGCTGAGGCTTTTAGCTTTTTCAGCTTGAGTCGGACTTGTCATATATCATCCCCCATCAAAAACCAGGGGAAACCCCTCCAGTTTCATGTTTGGAACCTCCAAAAGTTGCGGGTTTCAATGGATACCATTCGCAAATTGAGCAACTTTCGGATCAAGTCCGACCACCTCTCTGGGCGAACCTCTCAGCTTGCCTTGCCGAGGCTTCGCTTATGAGCAAACCAAGGCGCGGAAAACGAGAGAGGCGTAGTGCTAAGACTGGCGTTGGGGTTGTTCCGAGTTGGTCGTTTTCAAGGATGGTCTTCAAGTGGCCAGATAGATTCTACTTGAGTTGAAGCTTAAGGGACCTCAATTGTGAGCTGCGCATATATTTTCTTTGTTGTTATGTGTGACGTGCGGGGGGTGGGGGGGTGAGGGGTTGAGGGGGGGCAGGATGCCCAGCCAGTTGAAATATCGACCCCAGATAAGTCAACCCGTCGGAGCACCTGTTCCCCCCAAAGTGATCACATTTCCTACAAGACGCGCTGCGCGCCCCCCCTTGTGCATCAACCCGGAGTTTCATAATCAACTGGGTTCACTGTACTCAAGTAAAAGACATTGCCTCACTCCTTTTGGGTTTCGAGCCGAAGTCCAAGTCCCCTCATTTACTGTGGTTGGCTTTGGGTCAGACAGTATCAGTCACGCTGCTTGCCAAAAGCCACTAAAGGTAATGACTTGCCACTCTTTTTTGCTTCATCCGCTGCCATTTGGGTTTGCCAACAATTAGAATTCCGTCGCTTGCAAGATACAAACCCACTCACCCAAGCATCCATTCAGAGCCCACTGGGACACGCTTCATGGTTCTTACTGGCCTCTTGTCACCTTCTGCTGCAACGGCCTTCTTGATATGGCTGTGGGTCAAAACCAATGGTACCATTTTGGGGTAGGTGAATTCACCACCCATTTTAGAACCTATTTTAGTGGGGATTGGGATGTTCTCTGGGGGTACGGGACTTTGACCCATGGCCATATGGCTCCAGATACTAAATTGTGACTGGGGGGAGGATGGGATCCTCCCTTGACTCAAAATGGCGGGAGCTACATCTGAAAACATGGGTTTTCCAAAAGACTCTTCAGAAGAGGGTGGTTGGAGTACGGGATCTTGTTGATCTGGTTGCGGACACCCTTCTGCATCGGGCAAGAGGGACTATGAGGGTCGAGGTAGTCCGTCCAACTCTCAGCCAACCCCTTAGCTATGGAAAGGGTTCACCTACCACAGATTTGGTCAAAAAACTAAGAGAACAGCTGCAGGAAGCTCCACAGGAAATCCTTCTTTGTGGTGTTCGGCTGGTTTCCTGTAGACATCCCGGCTGCCTATTCCAAGCCCTCCAAATCAGGGCAAATCGGAGGAGGAAAACCGGGCACTCGAATCCAAAGATTCCGGGTGTCAGGGCTGGGCGATTCAACCCCTCGTGAAAAACATGCACCGCCACTCTCGTTCAAACAATCACATGCTGTTGGTTTCCCTTAAGTTGGGGGCCCGGGCTTTAGGTTGAGTGGGGAAGTCCTTGTTTGTGCCCAAAACGCCGGGTTCTTCAACTAGCTCTCACGAATCATCCCCCTGTTCGGGTCCGACTACCGGCCTTTCGAAATTCCTGAAGGAAGCATCGCTGGGTCTGTGGCTTGGAAGACACTCGGGCCCCCCGAACCGGGAGGCTGCGGTTCGTGGCCTGGTTTGTTTGACTTTGACGCATGCCCAAATATTCCGAGAGAAAACACCTGTGGTTGTTCCAAATCCCAAATCCCACTGTCCCGAATGAGACATTGGTTGACCCCTGATCACACAGGGTGGTATTTTTTCTGCATGGGGTATTTGGAGATTGCTCGGCCAGGCCAAGTAGTGGATTGATCGATCCAAGAGCTTGGATCGGGCACACACGTGCGGCGCTCAGGTCCGGGGAACTCACAACCCGACACCTCAAAAACAAGAAGTCCACACCTGGGCGGGTCGATGTCTTTCACTCATGGGGCACCTTCAGCGGTGTTTCCATGGGACAATGCACCTCAGGACATGTTCACGGGTCCCGGGTCGCTAGTACAAACCATACACCTTTATGGTCATTGGTAGCGCACGAAAGGTGACAACATTTTTTTGGCAGAGGGGTCGTTACACCGAGTTGTTTGTTTGTCTTACAAGGGAGACTGAAGCTCCAAGATCAAGCTATTGAACTCCAAAGGTCCAGCATAGGTTTATTTGGGAATGGTCTCAGCCCATGGCACAGTTGGACAATGAACCGAGCCACGCGAAACCTTCAAACACCACAGTGTTTTGCTTTTTCTGGTGCTCAGCGCGTTCCCAGTGGGCATCTAGGAAGAGGCAAACAAGAAACCCCGTCTTGTAGGGTGGATGTTGGGGTCCGTCCTTTTTTTGGGTTGGACAAGATGGTGGCTTTTTAATGCCACCAAACAAGGGGCAGCCTCAAAGAAAGACACCCCCGTTTGGCAAGCTCGTTCTTTCTCCCCAACTGCCACTTAGGTTCTTCCCTGAGAGTTGAAGCGAGTGGTTCTGAAGGAGAAATGGGAAACCACCCAACCTTCAAACCACCAATCCAACTCACCAAGGAAGCCTAGGTCCCCCAGTGCCCTTTTACCCTTTTTTTGGGGAGGGTTCCCCCCCTTATTCTGATCTCTCTGCTGGAAGGCCTGGAAGTTTTCAGCCACTGGGGTCGATTGGGCCACAGCTCGCGGCTCGCCCAGGTTCTGCATGGCTTGAAGTAATTCAGCGCCGCTCGGTAGGGGGCATCCTCAGCCGGCGGAGGAAAAAACGGGCGGAGCCGGCCGCGCTTTGGAAAACGAAGGAAGCTCCCTACAGGCGTCCCCGAGGTGTCCTCAAAAGGGAAGGTGTTGTTGGGGCTTTGTGCGAGAATTGTATTTAAGACGATCTCACCAGGGATCTTCAGGGTTTTGGGATGTGGGGATGTGTGTGATTCTCCCTTGGAACACGGACGCCGGCTTTCCCGTCCAAACCAATCAGCAGAGATATGACCTCAGGTTTCCCTGCGGATGCTCGGATTCCCGTTTTTTTGGGATCGACATACCTGTCTGACTGCAGATTCCGCGAGGTGCCCTTGCAAAGGCCCAGCAACCACATGTGTGAGGTGAAGTGTTATGCCTGGTTTTGAGCTTCCCCTTTTTGGGTTGTTTTTGTAAGGGAAACCAAAAGGGCAACCACCCATTTGGGAGGTTCCCTGTTTTGAGACCACAGAACTCAGACCTCCAGTGCCCTTCGTTTCATTTGCACTGAGCTTCCCTTTGAACTCAAAGGGTGCCCGATGAATAGTTCATGGCCAATGGAGCTCTGGGAGAAAGAACTCCTCCTTTCCCAAGGGATGTATTCACCAGGAAAACCGTTGGTGTGCCAAACAAACACCGGCTGGGTATTTGGAAGGGCCGGCCAACCCGACGGAGGCTTTCCGTTTTTCGCCCCAGTCCAGGGCTCTGGGAAATGACCACCTCCGTGATCCAACAAAAGGCTTCCCCAAGACCAGCTTCCTATATAAAGGGGGCGATTCCCAAAAACCACAGAAGTTGGATAACCCGCGAGTGATCCCGCAACCCTGATCTGTATACTGTATACTTTTGGTAGGCTGTCGCTTGGCTGGAGACCACCAGGCTGGATCCCGAGTCTTTTCGAGCCCGAACCGGGAGAATCACTGAAACCAGTGCCCTACAACCCCGTGGCGAGCTTCCTGTAGAAGTTGTCGTAGGTTTCTTGGATTCCTCCCAAGATTGCTCAGCAATTGAAAGAGTGAAGGGAACAATCGGAAAGAAAGGGGCCAAACACCAGTGGCCAAATGTTCCAAATGGGAACCACACTTCTTTGGGGTCAACATGTGGATCAAAAAGTGTTTCTTTTTCCCGGGGTGGGGCAGGAGTGAGAGACAAGTTTTTTTGTTCCTTTTCCGGCTCAGACGAGGCTTGACTGGCCCCTGTGCGATGGCTCGAGGTCCGTGGAGGTGGAGGAAAAATCGGGGTTTGCTGGGCTTTTCCAACCCCTTGAAAAACACTCGCAGTGGAAGCTCAGCCAGCTGCCACGCAGCTTGGATCAGCCTCGTCACTTTTCTGGTCTTCAGCCACGAAAACCCGGTGTTTTTCAACCAAGCCATCTTGCACCACCAAAGGTCAGCAAAGGTCAGCATTGGACATGAGTGTCAGACAATACGTTGTGAAGGAAGGGGTTTGCGACGCAAAGGCAAAGGATGCGAAGCCGAAGCATCTGAGCCGGCGGATCTGCTTGCTTCAACTCCCGCGCTTCAGGCGAACAGTTTGGACCAAACTACGAGATTGAGGGCTTAAGCTTTAGACATGTTGATTCTGAGATGACATTTTGAGGACGAGATTGGTTGATCCTCAGTTTGAGGACATCTCCAGGATATGTTGCTCAGATAGTTTCCGGCCAGCACGTGAGCAGTGGTCGCTCCAGGTAGGTTTCGTTTTGGTTTCAGCAGGGTACCCTTCAGAAACACCACCCCCCCCATATGAGATTCAGTCGATCTTTGTTCACCATGGCTCATACAGCAAGGGCCTTCTCCCCGGTTTGACTTTGCTTCTTTTTTTCGGAAGCAACGAGGCCCGATCTTTTCTCGGATGCACACGGCGCCATGCCGAGAGTGCTGCAGATGCTGTCCAGTGCGCGGGCAGGCAAAACACGACATCCATCCGTATTTTTTCCAAAGGACACGTGGGGTATCCACCCTCGGTATGTGATGTTGCCTGTTCTTGAGAGTGCCGTTTTGGGGTGACCAAAGGGACACCACACCTCACACCAGAAGTCGAGTTGCGCTCGAAGCCCGAATCGTCAAACAAGGGTAGTCCTTGGCAGATTTCTAAGGGCCTATTTCCCTTCCCTCTCGAACAGGGACGCACGAATGAGCTTCCTTTGGCACGTTTGGGAGATGAAATTCTGAAAGGAGGCCTGGGAGCTTCCATGTGCGTGTGTACATGACACACACACACACATGTGTGTATATACATATATACACACATGTATATTTTTGTGTTTGGCATGTGAATCCTTTTGCCTCCGGGACCTCGACATGTCTTTTTGGGATAGAACCACAACTTGGGTCAAACCCGGCTTGAGGTTAGAAACCGTTTCCGGCGAGAACAAACAGACAGGAAGGGCATTTATTGCCAAACTCTAGCCACCCGGCAACGCCTTTGTGGTTGCCTTGATTCTTCGCTTCTCACCAGAAAGTCGAAACTTTGTGGCGGTCGTCCAAGTCTGGCCCAGCATTTTGGTGGTCGACCTACATGCAGCCATGGTGATGCTGGCGTTTGAAGGAGTTTCGAGTGAACTCGAGCCCCGGAAGATGGAACCTGGAACAGGATCCGGTCCTAGGTGGGGAGTCTGGGCAGTGTCTAAAGGCCAAAATGCTTGACGCCAGCATCCACATGGCCATATTGTGTTAAACACCCAGCCATGGAGGAGCCATTCGGAGAGGCCATTTTTTGAAAGTAGAAGCATAGTGATGGAGGCGCCGCTGATTTTAGTCTGCGGACTCTGATGCTCTGGTTCCATGTGTTCCACCCGTCTCAAACGCCCGCTCCTTTGTGAGAAGAAAGGATCGGCGGATGCCTTTTCTTTGCCGCGTACTGTTTTTATCTCGGACAAAAGTCGGGTCAGGTTTCCATTTCCGGGTACCGCAACGACTCAAACCCGGCTCCTTTGTGGAAACCCACGACTGGTTTACGTCTACCTTGTGGGCAGTCAACGATTAGAAGTTTGAGCGAGGTTTTTCCGCTGGAAGCCGCCAGGGCGTCCCTGTGTGCTGCGGTTTCAGGAGGAGGAGAAGCAAGGACCCCTTTGCGGGGCCCGCGGGGCCTGGGGCTGCGGGGTCCGGTTGATCAAAAGGTCCGATGCACGTGGGATGATCATTGGAGGAAACCACTATAAAGATTCGATATGTTCCACCAAATGAAAAAAGCTACCCATGCTCATGAATATTGATCAACCCCCAGGCGTGTTGCTCCCCTACCCTTGCGAGGTTGAACTGTTTTGACAAAATCCACGGACGCAGAAAGTGGCCTTATCATCTTTTTAACCCACCATGTGCGAAGTGATTTTCCCCTCAAAGACGCCTATGTACCCCTAGCCCCCTTTCCCATGTTCTCTATTGGTAGCTTGAAATATTTGTCTCCCGCCGTTTGAGAGCAGTGCCCGCTAGCTGCGTGAAACAAGCAATTCTCATGCACAAGCACTGGTGTGGTGGAGCCCCAAAGGCAGCATTAAACAACTGCCGGCTTGTGGACACGAAAAAGAGCTACACAACTTGGGCGTGTCGAGCAATATTTGTTTACTGCTTCGCCAGTGCCTACCCATAGTCCTTGCTACACCACGCGCACCCGTGCAAAAACAAACGGCAAGCAGTGGCAACCAGCCAGGCCAACTTGAGAAGCATCTTCGGGCGAGTTGGGATATGGCTGTGGCTCAAAAACATGTTGGCGGATGGAACAAAGACAAACACCTGCGTAACCCTGGCTGTTTAATTTTGAGCCACAACCATATCCTTCGTGACGTTTAAGCAAAGTTGCCGCTGGATCTAGCTCCGGTCCGTCTGCCGTGCGCCCCTAAAAAGCCTACGCTAGGCGGGCTAGGACCCTGCCGCGCGCATGCATGTCCTCCAGCTCCTTGCAAGTCAGGCCGCCCATGTCATGCAACTATAGGCATTCCACGCAAACCATCTGGGGGCCTTGGCTCGGGAGAGGTGACAGGATCTGAGGACCTGCATCAGGTATGTCCAGCTGCTTGACGACGCTTCCTTTGGCTATGGCTGGGGTCTTCCGATTAGCGAATCGCAGCTGCTCGGACTCCACTCTGGAGAAGTCCCCGTCGAAGACCGGCATTGGCGAGAATGTGGAAGATCCTCATCTCGCATTCAGGCTCCCAGTTGTCAATTGGCGAGAATGCTGGATGAAGGAACTGACAACTGCGAACCTCATCGTGCCCTCTTGCCATGTTTTTTTCTCCATTGGCCACAAATGCTCTGGAAGTCGACGTTGGAGATGTGGAGAAATCTCCCGAAAGTGCGTCAACGCCCTGTCCATGCTCAGCACACTCGCTGCGTCAGGACCTCGGATGTTACAAGCGAGTCTGGAAGAGCCGCGTAACGAGACAGTTGCACGCGAAATGTCCTCAATGTGTTTGACAAGCCTTGCATCTCAGCCCAGCACTCACCTTGTCACGCAGACTCGCTCGCAGGCTGCAGTTCTGACTCCAAAACTGCACCAATGCGGGGTGGCACTTTGTGCCGAGCAACACCAGCCTTCCTGCGCGGGTGGCTCGATCTGACCATTGCGCATGGTATCTCGAGACCTAGCTTTGGAACCAACCTAAACCCTCCTTTTTTGTAGGTTTCCAGGGACCTGTGTTTTGCAGGTCGAAACCCCATACTTCCAAGAGGGGCTGAATTGGACCTGCAAAAACAGGGGGGGGCAGGGGGGCGGGGGGGGGGAGTAATCCTGATGGCTCATGTGGAACCAGCCAACAAACAACATGTGGGTGTGACTTTTTGAGGGTATCCTTTTCTTTCTTTTATATATATATATACATATTAAGGGAAGGAGAACAACATTTTTATTTTACACACACACACTCATGCTTTTCTTAGTGGGATTTTCCCATAAGCTATGGGGCAGGGGAAGATGTGGCTGTCATGGACTACTCGGACGTGAGCGACTTCTGGTTCGATTGGGAGAAGTTGGAGCGGGCCGAGGCGGGTCGGTTCCTGACACACACACCCACTCCAGTGCCCTTTTCCACTTGGGCGTGTGCTTTTTTGGAGTTGGTACCCATTACCAAAAGGAAACCACTGTGGCCATTGCCACCTACCGATATGGCTGTGGTTGTCAAAACCAATGGTACCATTTTGGTTGGTAGGTGAATTCACCACCCATTTTAGTCGAAATTGTAGGGGGGATTGGTTGATGTTCACTGGGGGTACGCATGGCCGTATCCATCTTTTAGAGGTTTCGGCTCTGGCGGAGATCCACCGGAGGCCTCGGAAGAGGCCCAAAGTTGCAGCGCGACTTTGGGGTATGCCGACTGATGTCAGCGCCTGACCACAAAGGGGTTCCTAAAAAAATATACAGACGAAAGCAGGCGTTTGGAGTAGGGCATATTTGCCCCGGGGAGGTTTTTGGTGGCAGAAGATGCACTCAAAGAACACCATGGTTTACAGCAGCCCACTAGTTGTTCCATCATATCGTAGACACTGTGTGTTGTTGCAAGTTTTTGGTGGCCGTGTTCGGATGGTGGGTCCCAAGCACTGACAGCAACTATCACAAACGACATGGGGACCATTGCAAGAATCATGTGCAATGTTACCTTCCTTTAACATAAACAACAGCAACAGCTTTGAAGAAGCAATTCCCAACACCCCTGAAGGGTGTTTCAAGGGCCCTCTGATGCCGACGGGACCCGAAGCGACGGTCTGATCATTCATATTCCAAGTAGTTCATGGTTTCAACCATGTCATTGTGTTGATTACTCCAGTTTGTTCTTCCACTTACGCATTTATTGGATTCTTCCTGCAGCTTCAATCAACTCACTGATTCAAACACTTTCCTATGTCCGCGACTTCCAGAAATCTAGTCCCAGGAAAGCATGAAGCTCTAAGGCATCGAGTATTTGGGTCAACTCATCAAAGTGTTCGATGTGGCACCCCCAAAAGGGACCAAAACACGCGCCGCTTCGCGCGACTTCGCGAGGCCCAGGCACGCTCGCGCTCCGCGCCGCCCCGGAGGCCGATGGGACGTTGGGGGCCGATTCGGGCGAGAACAGCTCAAGGGAAGGGGATCCCTGGAACGTTTTTTTTTTTTGGTATGCCCTTGTTTAAGATTAAGAGCTTTGAGGGCACGGGGGAACTCGACTTTAAAATCAGCTGTCTTTCAAGTTTGAAAATCAACTGCCCAACAAGACATGAGTGGCGATCCTTTTTCTTTTGCGGGATCCTGTTGTCTTTGTTGGACTGGGCTTTTTACCTGAACATATATTTGTTGGTATTCCAGCCCTCCCCTAGTGAGTCAGGCGAAGATTCAACTGTTTAGCCTCCCTGGGCGGTGGGTTTCAGTTTCAGGTGAGTTTCCTTTCGGGTGATGTTGAAAGGGGAAAGATAGAATCCCTACCTGCCTACACCCACTACCCACTTTTTGTTTTTTAGTTGGCAAGCTTTGAAAAGCCTGGTTTGAACCCAGCGTACACACACCTACCCCCTGCCCCCAGCATGTTTGCCGGCTAGAAGACAGTTTTCCGAATCCAGCTTTTGCCAGACTCCTGCCTGGAATCCAGCCTGGGCTATCAATCGATGGTGAAAGAAGTAGATGGCACCACGTTCCCCTCGGCTTAGTCATGCCCTTGACTTATCTTGTGCCATCTGACAAAACCGCGCTGTTTGAGATGTTTGCTCAGCTTTGGGGAACGCAACTTCAACATGGCGGAAAGACAAGCCATCTTTTTCGGCACTCAACTGTTGGCTTGTGGGAAATGCGTTTGGACCTCAAAATCATGGCTGGGCTTTGGTGTCACAGGACTTTTTGGAACAACTCTGGCCTTTCCGAAGTAAACCTGCAGAAAGGTGATCGGGCTTTTGCTCAGGGTTGGAGCAACAAACCCCTAATATGTTTCTCGTGGTTTTCACCGTGTGGTTGCCATCCTGCGCTTCCTTTTGGGGTGATGTTGAAAGGGGGACATCTGGGTGTCTCAAATCAGGTCCCAAAGTGGCTCGTTTCCTTTTGGTTTCCCTGCAAACCCCCACCCCCCCACCCCACCCCCCCACAAATAATGATAATAATAATAATACATAAACAAAATAAAAAAATAAATCAAAGTGCAAACCACACCCCAAAAATTGTGCCCTCAAAAAATGACAAGCCACCCAGTTTCGGGAGAAAGGTTTAGGTGCGATCTCCTCGATCGCATCGCAGGTCGCAGCCGGCCTCTTGGCAGGCCGGTGAGCTCGCCTCAGTGGGATGCTGGGTTTGGGTGGCTCGTCGTCTTTGGATTTGGTACCCTTTTGAGCGAGAACCCAAGTGACACCACCATGTTTTTGGGGGGTCCCTGTTTTAAGGCACACCAAATGGGACTTTTTGTTTTTTCTGGAGTTGGCAGCCTTTTGGGGGTTGGCTCAAAGGGCGACTTTGTGGGTCTCCCTTTTTGGCACATAGCCAAGTAAGGTTAGAGAACCAGTTTCTGTGAGCGGCCAAGGGAGCCTCTTAAAGTAGTCACGGGGGGGAATCCTACTTTGGTATCACCGAACTTTTTTTTTCTCCTGCAAACATGTGTGCCGTGGTCAACAGACATTTCACCATGGTGCAGCTTCCCTCAACGGGAAAAGACCAAAACACCCTTTAACCTGGTTGGTAGGTTTGGTCATCAACCGCTCACTAGGGGCTTCGGGAGCAACCCTGGCTTTCCACCAAGCCCGCTAACGGGTATCTGAAGCGGGGCTTTCTCAGCGAAACCCGCTCGCCAGGCTAGCAGACAGGAGGGGTTCAGAGAGAGCCTTCCAGTTTTGGGTCGTCGGCGTCAGGGGAGGTATGGTCGCGACGGTAACCAAGAGAGACAAAATCGGACCTGTACCCCTAAGAAGGGATTGAATGGACTCCTCGAACCACAACTTCCAAGAAGGTTCCAAGAACCTTTCCTGAAAAGGCCTTTAGCCGGGAAGATCAGCGACTCCGGACTAATCGAAGGAGGTATCCGCAGAATTTATGAATCCCCCACTCCAACGGGCAAACAGCGACGGGGTTCGCGAGGTTCCTTTCATAGTGCTTCTAGACATTTCAGATGTCTTAATGTTTGAAGCGCTTTGACAGGCTATGCTGCTTGGGTGTGTCGTTCTTGAGGCACAGTACCCTTCTTAGCGGAAATCAACACCACACAAGTATAAAGGTTTGTCGTTTTGCGTTGAATCCGATGTTCTTCTCTTCTTGCAAATGACCCCCCCCCCCCTCCCATTCCCGCATCCTCCCACCCCATGTTGCTCTCACTTTTTGTGCAGCCGAAGGTTCAGGTCGCCCAGGCCCACCAAATCCAACCGACAAATGCCCGCCAGATGCCAAACAACATGCCCACCAGATGCCACGCAACTTTAGAGCCTCCGGCTCAGTCCGCCGACATTGTCCTCTCCCTTTTCTCCTTCTTCCTCTCTCCCTTGTCTCTGTCGTGTGTTCTGTCGTCCTCTCTCCCTCCCTCTGCTCCCCATCCTCCCTATCCCTGTCTCTCTCTCTCTCTCTCTCTCTCTCGCTCTCTCTCTCTCTCTCACTCTCTCTCTCTCTCTCTCTCTCTCTCTCTGTTTCTCTGTCTCTTTCTGTCTCCCTGTCTCCTTCCTGTCCACGCCCCTCTACAGAAAAAGGGTACCCTAATTCGAACCTCTCTACTCTCTCACTTTCTCGCTCTTTCTCTCTGTCTCTCTCCCTCTCTCTCTCTCTCTGTCTTTCTGTGTCCCTCTTTCTCAGTCTCTCTCTTTCTCTCTCTCTCTCGCTGCATTGCAGCGTCACGTCCCCCCTGAGTTGCCTCGATGTCCGGGCACTGCCCCTTCATGACCCTGAACTGTCATCTCACTACTGGCTTTCCCCTTCATTTCCCCTTCATGTCCTTTTCACGTTTCCCATGATGTCCTGGTCATGTGCCTTTCAACTCCCTCTTCATGTCCCTGACATTTCTCGGTATGTCCGCTTCATTTTCCATGTATGTCCCGTTCTTTCGTTGCGAGTCATTTCCCTACATCTCAAGTCGTGCCGATTGGTTTCCTTGTGCTTTGTTTCCCTTTTATTCCCCCTGCACTCCCCTTGTTTTCATTTCTGTCCCTTGTGTGTCCCTTTCAGTTCCCTTTGTTTCCCTTTCATTTCCCGCTGCTTTCCTGTCATGTCGACTTCCTATTTCCTCCCCCTCATTTCCTTGCACTTCCTTGCGTTTCTCCTTTGCTCCCCAATATGTCCCGCCAAAAACACCGGTTTTTTCAGCGTTTTCGCAATGAGGACGTCCAAAAACACGGAGTTCTTCCAGATGTTCGGGAAAAGGAGGCAGGAATCCAAACCAGCAAAGAGCCGGCAGGGGGAATCGAGCCTGGGACTGGGACCCCTTTGCGACACAAGCTCCCCAAAGATTACGTTTTCTGGAACGTCATCAAATTGCCGCTCGGTCCGTGCGGTGAAGGGGGGGGGGGGGGGGACGTTGGGCGGGGGGGGGTTAGGGGGGGGGTTATCCTCTATCCTCTCTTAGGTGTCCGACACGCCGAGCAATGTCGGCGGACATGTTTATCAGATGCCCAAGACAAATGCCACTAAGAATCCCCGATGACTCGACTCGGGGGTTTTGCCGTTGCTCCGGCGATTTTTCGCGGCTTCTCCCAGGAGGCCCAGGAGGCCCAGGCCCGGGAGGCGGTGCGCAGGGAGCGGGAGGCCAAGGCGGCCCAGGCCAGGGAGGCCTGGGAGGCGGCCAAGGAGGCGGAGGCGCGGAGGCGGTCGCAGCAATGCTGCCATGCCCCCCCAGCACAACTGGGCACTAGCCATCCCGTACGCGCCCACCTTGTTTATCCACCATTCGTTTTCCCAGTTCCGTCTGGGGCGGTTTATCTCTTGACTGCTGTTGGCTTGGATGGATGGATGGCTATGGACGGCTATGGATGGCTATGGAAGAGAGAGAGAGAGAGAGAGACACAGCTCACAAAAAGATGGGCTGGAGCTGGCGCTCGTCCTTTCTCTCTCATTCTTCTTGTCCAATGCTCTGGACGTGGCCTTGCTGCCAGCATGATCTTTGCGGGTCAGTTTCGCTCGGTTTTCCGCCTCACTTGCCCTGCAACTGTGGGAATTGGGGGAGGCCTTCTCTTTGTTCCTGTTTGTCTGGCTCGGATGCTGGCCTTAGACCAGTATCTCTACCAACCGCAGCGATTCGGGAGCAAGAGTCAAGCTTTTTGGGCATGGGCAATAGCCATCAAGTTACTGGGTCCAAGTGAACCTGTCAGTGGGTTCTTAAAAACATGAACTTTTGTTCTCTTGGGGATGCCAGATGTTTGTTTGCTGGCGGCTGTTTCTACCAGGGGAGCCATCCACGGAAAGCTTGTGTTTATAGGCAACACATGTGGAGCCCCTTGTGTCTAGGTTTGCCTCAAATAGGGGAATCGCCCCGATTGAGCGGATTCTTTTTGGTCCCCAACAAGGGGCCCCTCCCAAAGACACATCCAGAACGGGGTTTTCAAGTGGTTTTCAACTCTACCCAGTTGGTTTTCAGTTCAAACATCTAGGCGTTTTGGGCTCCGCTCCAGCATTGAACGGTTGAAATCGCTGGCCCATTGGGTGATGAGCCTCATCAAGCAGCCCCTCGCTGTTCGGTGACTTCCTCATTGAAAAAATGGTCATCCTCCAAGTGGCATCTTGCCGCACTGAAAACAGCAGACATGGTTTCAACCCGGGAAAAAAACGAAAAAGAAGAAGAAAAAGAAGCAAACTGTTGGCTTCCGTTCGGAAACTAGTAGAAGGGCCCAAATAGTTGGCATAGGTTTGTAGGGGTACTTGAAAACTTGGCTAGGATTATAGGATGCTCATGTGTGTAAGCATTTAGCCCTCCAGCGGCGAAAACAGGTTTTCCCGTTCGCCGAATTCAGGCCAAGAGAGAGGCTGCAAAGGCAGAAGAAAGGAAAGGCAAGGAGATCGAGGCCGCTCGGCGCCGTTGTTTTGTAGCCTATTGAGGTTGGCTTCCATTGTTTGATTCGAGGTAGGATTCAATTCAGGGATTGGTTCCCCATGGTTCCCCAGGTTCCCCATGGTTCCCCATGGTTCCCCATGGTTCCCCATGGTTCCCCATGGTTCCCCATGGTTCCCCATGGTTCCCCATGGTTCCCCATGGTTCCCCATGGTTCCCCATGGTTCCCAAGGATTGGTTCAGCCGACCTATGGCTGTAAGTCTACCTTGTGGGAATCAACGAAATAGACCCCGTGAAGTGTCCTTTTGGGCACTTCCTTTCAAGAATTGTCAGAGCCACGAGCCCATGGAGAACCACGACCGAAGAGCCACAAGAATCTCTGGGGAATTCGTCGGAGTCCGACCGTTCCTTTCCAGGTTTTGTAGGTTCTATGTGGGGCCTCTGTTGGGAATAAAGGTTCTTTGCCCAAAAAACTCAGGTGCCAGGCACCATGTTTCAGATTTGGTCCCGATGGGCATTTTGAATCGAGAGAAAAGCGATTCGAGAGCTAACCGTTTTGGCCAAGGTCGATTCCAAACTACAGGGGTTGCTTAGTGTTTTCAATTCGAGCAGAAATATCCAGTCCACGGTCCACTCGGGAAATGGCGACCGGCGTCTTCTCTTGAATGGTCCAATGGCCCTAGGCTTCCACAAGTCGCAAGGCTTGAGGAGCCTGTATCTACCTCAGCTTGTGTTCCCAAATGCTTGATTCTGGCCCATAGCGTAATTTCAAAAGGAGATCCCGGGTATGGTCTCGCAAGACTGATTCCACCCCCCCCCCGGAAGAAAAAGAAGCAACCGGATATAAACCTACTGGACATGGGGAAGACCGAGGCTCCGCCGCTTACTTGAATACCCACGATAGCTTGGGGACTGGAACCCCTCACTAACGGGGCATTCACCTGGCCTTCCAACGCAACGACTTAAAGAACGGAGTGCTTGGAGTAAGGGTGGGGGGGGGGGAGGGCGGCAGTTTTCAAGCGGGTTTCTTGGAAGAAATCCTCAACATAGGCCCCCTGCAATGAAGAACCAACAGGTCAACAGCTACTGTAACCAGTGTGGTGTCGTAGAGGGGGCATGCAATACACCTTGTTCAAGCGCGGCCGAAAACCCATCTTCGGAAGCATCCGACTTTTACCACAAGTTACTGTCATAAAAAGGGGCGTGACACAGCCGACCACACCAACGTTCAATCAACAAATGAGGGGTTACAAGTTCCTCGGCTTCCTATGAGAGTTGGGGGCACGGCGCACATGTTTCGGCCTTCAGGAGGCGTCTGTGGATGCCGGACCTCGACGAAAGCGCCGCTCGCGCCGCGAGTCCGGAAGAGGAGCCGCGCGTCGAACTTCGAGCTCCTTTGCAAACGCAGGCAAAGGATGTGGGGGTCTAAAATTTTGAGGGTACCCCTCGTGGGATGTTGGGATTATAAAAGGACAACCAAAAGGAACACCTTGTCATTTGTTTGGGGGTCCTCTTTAGCCAGTCAGCCCGCAATCTGCCCGCGGTCGTAGCGCTTTGCAGCGACATTAGCGTGTCGAACGCAGCGAGCGATGTGCTCCAGGGCTTTCTGGTGTAGTCTTGCATCCACGAAAGTTGACCTGCTGTCAGCTTTTTTCGGGCCCCCGAGCTTTATTCAATATGGCCCGATTTCAGCACGACCCTTGTGTTTGCAGGTTCTTCACGGAAACCCGAAAAAAACCCGAATGAGTAGGCGTTTCTTTCTGGGGTTGTCTGACGGGAAACAACGGGCAACCCGCCATTTTGGGGTTAACTATCCCGGTTTTGACAAATCCCCTTATTGTCAAGCAGGGCCTTTACATGGAGCCTACAAAAGAGCCTACAAAACGAGCAGGCGTAGTACAGGACCATCAAACCCAAGAGCAAGTGGGTATCTGCCAGGAATGTCAAAATACCTGGAGGCGAAAGCTGTGTCACACGTATTTTCCCCTGGCTTTTCTGCAATTTGTCATCTCTGGCTCATGCTTGGCAGTGAACCAAAGAATTAGGACAGCATTGATTTCATGCATAAATTGTCAAAAACCCAATGTTTTTGCATACTTGCAGCTCAATTGCTCGAAAATCTGAACCAACAAGCTGCAGCCAACGATCACGGCTGAAATCCTTCTCAATGGGAAGCCGATGCCTCCAAACAAGCTATGCATGTAGCGAAACACATTAGAGTGAAGCTGGGTTGTGATATAGTCTTGCAATGATTGCCACCCTCTGTCCATACATTGAGTCCCCACTATGAAACAAGCGGGTCGTTGTGCTCTGGTCACAGAGACTCTTCTAGCAAACTCATGTTTGCTGATGGACATTGGTGGCTCTCCAGACGCTTTTTGCCAGCATTTGCAACCAACATTGGCCATGAATGAACCTGCGTGCATTGGCATGTGTGTTCGTGTGCGTGCAAACTTTCATAACTACGGTAACATCCTCCCCCCCCCCCCCCCCTCCCTGGCTCACAACACTGCAACTCGACACATCACAGCCCAAAAGCAGCAAACAGCACGAAAAGCACCAAAAGTACCAGGTTTTTTACCAGCCAGTTTCCTCAAAAAAAAGGACCCTCTGCAGATACACAGACCTTGCCTGAGTGATATCCTGGCTTTCTATGCGAGAAATGGAACATATTCGCAAAAGGGCACGCGAAACTTGGGTGGCGTCCTGGCTGTCCGAGGAGCCATGACGCGAACCCAGGCAACCAACCAACCAACCAACCAACCAACCAAGCAACCAGGCGATAAGGGAACCAGGGACCCGGCAACCAGGCAACCAGGCAACCAGGCGACCAAACCATTTTGACATTATTCTACCCGTGTGGCTTGGTACGGTGTGTGTTCTGTTCTCGGGTGCCCTTTTCCCTTGGCTTAAAGGGAAGCCAAAACGAGCACCACCTTGCCGTTTTGTTGTGCCCCTATATTTTTACCCACTCACCCCTCCTGAGAACGCAAACTTCACACGGTTTGTTTGCGTATGTGTAATGGAATGCGCCGACAGAATGTACAAATTAGCCCGGCGCACACACTCTTGAAACCTGCGAATGAAGGCCTGAAACCAATTTCTGCCCTCCTCAATCTTTTGGTCTTGTTCCTCGGCAGTGCCCAGTGAGTTGCAGCCACGCGTTTGCTGCAAAAACCATGACCTCGCCATCCGCATGGTGCTCGAAACTTCCGGGTTTTGCTTCACACGCAGAGCCGGGACACGGTGCGGCCACAGAAAGAGTGGTCTTCGACCTATAGAGCACGGCCAGCAGAACTTCGGCTTGGCGTGGCGGGTCCACAAGTACGATCCATCGACAGGTGGGAGGCTGCAAGACCTGAGGAGCCATACGTTGGAAATCACTGCGGGATTGCAGGGTACCTAGGGGACTGACTTGGGATCACTTCCCACCAGGTCCGGTGGGCTCAAGTTTTCGCCCCAGGACGCGAGTTGACGGACTCCAGCGAGAGCGAGGAGTTGACTCAGGCACCGAAAGGGTTTCTTCACACGGAACCCTTTGGGGGCAGATTTCCGCATTTCCGAGAGGGCGACTCATGTGGAACCTGCAAAACAGGGGGCTTTGGTCAACGACTTGGCTTCAACTGCTTTGTTTTTAACACCAAAGGGCTTGACGTGGAACTTCTGTACTCAGGTCTAAAACAACTGCATCTGGGCAGGCGCAAGTTGCTTTGTCGCACAAAGAATCAATTTCTGGAGGGACGACATTTCTATGTCTTTTCTTTTGTGTAAAAGGAAAATATAGGAAGACACAAATCAGTCGATCACCAAAATTGCTGGTGCTCAGCAGGGAATGAGAATTGGAATGAACCCTATAAACCATCCCCCGTGGTTTCCTTTAAGGGACTCCCTGGGTTCATTCCCACATTCCCTACCTATCGCACCCGCAAGAAAAGCAGAAGCCACCGCCGGGACCTTGGAGCGCACGGAATTTCCGATTTATGAGGCCGAGAGCTTCCTGGCGTACCTGGAGCGGAAGCCCCCCATGCGCCCCAGGCCGAGATGAGACGGGTGTCTTTTTGGTTTTTGCTGGTCAGAAGATGTCTGGAATTCACAGATGGCGGGGGAGGGCACATGTTCTTGTTGTGCCAGCGCAGTTAACAACGCCCATGTGGCAGCATGTAATAGGAGAACGCCCACCTGGTCCCGGTGCCAGACTCAATTAGGTGTTTGGCCCCTTGGCCCGTTTGGGTTTTTTCATGTTCCCTTTGAACCAGCCACACGGGTACGTCTTTGTGTTAAGGGTACCCTGTTTGGAGTGCTTTGAAAGGGAAAACAACGGAACAACTGTGGTTGCCCTTGACATTTCCTTTTGGTCTCCGTGGCTTAAGGGTTCACCTCAGCATCAGAAAGGGTCCTCCACAGGAGGTTTCGGGGATCTCCCTGGGAGTGAGACAAGGGAAAGCAAAGGAACAACATTTGGGTACGGGTCAAAATTAAACTACCAGGGGACCGCAGGATTTAGTCCAAGTTTTTATGTGCCAGGATTCCATTTTGGGTACATGTTTTTGACCCACAGGCATTTGTTCGCCAAGTCGCGGTGCCTTTGCAGGTGCGATGTGGGGTCCGCCTGGGACTTCCCCTTGGCGAAGAGCGAAAAGCGAGAACTGCTGCTGCAGCACATCGCCCACGGCGAGCAGCGCCTCGAAGGAAATGAAATGGGTTGGACCTCCGCTAGGTCCCCCAGCGCCCTTTTACCCTTTCTTCCCCTACTAAAATCGACTAGAGAACAAAGGGTATCAGTCCAACCTCTCTACTGGAAGGCCTCGTCCCAACATGGCTTCGGTGGGTGGTTTTCCCACCAAACCCATCCCAACAAGGGGTAGCCTTAACAAAAAGACGAGGCAGCCAAAGAGATGAAAGGCAACTGAGAGGAAAGCCACCGCCCAGTTGTGTGGCACTTTTCTTTTGGTACTCCGTCTTTGGGGCTGGTTTAAAGGAACACCAAAAGGATGGTCGGACTCCCTATTTTGACACGCAGATGAGACTATCAAGCAGGAATCTGCCCACTATCGGTAGCCCTTCTCCTTTTGGTTTGTAAGCGGGGTTCCCTTGGTTACTATATGCAGGCAAATAGAAACTGGGTATGAGATTCTGGACATTGCAGGGTGGGGAACCCTTCTAAGAAGTATAAACAACAGTTGCTGTTTGTTCCCCCATGGGCGACTCATACAAGTATGCGTCAAAGCTGACAGCCAAACTCGTAGCGTGTCAAAGCGTACTCATATCCCATTTAGCTGGGTTGTCCAAGCCCTGTGCTTCATTCTTTGCCATTTGGTTTCCTTTGGTGTTTCTCTTCAAAAGCCACCCATGCTCCTAGGGGTTCGGCCCAATAAGAGAAAGATTCTGGACCGAATGGGAGGGCCGGGCTAGAATTATCAGTAGCAAGGTGGGCTCGAGAATTGCGAAAGCTGTTGCCCTGATCCTGTTCAAACCGGTTTCGCCATGTGACTCACTTCCAACATCGTGGACTTTTACCCTTTTGGGGGTTTTGGACAGCTTCAAGTAATCAACAGAAGCAATAGACTCTTCTGGCCACTCCACTCAGGAAGTGAGTGATGTAAACAGCAGAAGTTGTGGACAAATGTTCGTTTTGGGGGTGCAAATTGGTTGGTTTTGCGGTGTTGCCCGGTTGAAGCCCTTCTTGGCACACACCGAGTAAACGGGCCACCTGCTTTTTCCGGCGTGTGCCGAGGATGGCAGAAGAGCATGCGACCGAGGTGGGGAGCTGGTTCGAACCTGAGTCTGTATGGTTGAACAAAGACAACTCTCTGGTTGAACAAAGACAACTCTCTGAATCAAAAATCCAGGCGCTGTCAAACCCGAGGCTTGCGGATCCAAGGAGAAAAAGAACCGTTCGCTGCGCAGGCGGCGGCGGAGCTGGTGCGGGCGCGGAGGGAGGAGCGCCGCTCGCGGCAGTCCTTCGAATCCGCCAAGGCGGCGCTCACGAGGCGCGGCCGCGCGAGCGCTTCGCTGGGCGCGCGCTTGAAAAGCCCCGTTTGGCGTGCGCCCGGGCTGCGATAAAAAAAGAAACTTGTGACTCAACTTATGAGACCTTTTTTGGTAGCAACATAGATGGCGATGTCTGGTTGATCTGGTTGTTTTCATGATCCAGAGCTGTCTACTTTCCCAAGAGGACAGCCAGTGGGCTGCGAGCCATTCCTTTTACCTTTTTTGCTGTTTGGAGGGGTTCCCGACTTACCAAAAAATAGGACACCTGGGCTTCTTCCAACTGTTGTTTTGGAGGAGGTTCTCATTAAACTCAGCTAGGCCAAAAAGGGGGTGCATTTTCTTTTCCAGCCACTGGGGGGGGGGGGGTGTCTGGGAAAGCAGGGTTAAAACGACAATTTAGAGCGTGGATGTTTCGAGTAGATGCTAAGTTGGTTGTAGATGGCCAAACTTTCTGGCTTCTTGAGATTCTGACGCAAAGAAACAAGTTCCACCCCCTCCAAATACTCTCCCCTTCTTTAGGCTGGTATATCTTGAAAACATTTGTCTGAGCACAGAGCCCGTTCCGAAACCCGAACTCACCAGCTGCCCAGCGCGCGATGTGCGGGGGTGCGTGTACAGTGGAAAAGGCGGCTTTTGCCACGGAACAAGATCGCTGGGCTGTCTGATCCGCTGATCCGCTGATCCGATGATCCGATGATGGATCAACTGTTTTACCGCTCTTTGCATTTTGTTTTGGTTCTTTTCATTTTTGGTAGCGGGACTGCAAAACAAGCAAAGTTTCATCGCTGCGGTGGAGAGGGGCCTGATTCATTTTTTTGTCGGCTGGGCGAGAGGTGCTTTGCAAGGGAGATTCTGACCGGTGCAATTTGAAGCAGCATTTGCAATGACTGAGAGACCAAGGAATCACGCAGATTCCGGAAGCATCAAGCTCGCACATTCAGAGGGGTGCAGAAGATGTAGATACCAGGGTAATCTGCAACCCTTGTCAACTTGTTTCTGCTGGCTTTTCAGTTGGACATATGTGACAGGTTTTTGGGGGCACGAAACCATATTTCCAAGGGGTCTTGATGTGGAACCTACAGCAACAATGGGTTTAGGATGCCATGGTTCCCTGTTTTTTTCAGGTTGGTGATGTTAATTGTCTATGTCCGGGTGAACACCCAGTCGGCTGGGTCTGGTTTCAGCGGGAACCCCCCTATGTTTATGTTAATCCACACCAGGTACTCGCAAAGTGGTTTCTCTTGGTTTCACCAACAAAAACACTCCACAAGTTTTGGCACCCGCCAAAAAAGGGCGACATTTTCACATGGTCGTTGTACTAGCCCGTTCCCTTTCTTGTGCGCCCTGTAAAACCCCCCGGCCGCCCCCCCCCAAATTCCCCGCCAGCCCAGCCTCCCATGTGGGGGTGTCACCTTCAGGATGCGGAAGAAGGGCCGGCGCCGCAGCTTGGGCCCGTTCACCTGAAGGCGCCGTGGGTCCAACGACGTCTGGACGTCACACGTGACGTTTGGAGGAGGGGGGTGTGTGTGACGTCCAGGGGGAGGAAGGGGTTTCGGTTTCCTTTCATAAGTTTCCCTGGTCGGTTGACTTATAATTTATGGTTTAAGCCCGAATGCGATGCTTGTGAGAAGCTCGTGCTTTTTGTTTGGGACTCCCCGGAAATAAACATGACAAAGCCACAGAGAGGATGTTTCCCCCCCCCACATGGGCAAAGGCCCTAAAGCCTCTGCTTTTGTCCCGTGCGCTAAATCGCGCAGGGGTTACCACCAGAAACCAAGGCGACGTGGGTTCTCCTTCTAGAGTACCGGGGCCGAAAGGTGTGCCTTGGGCAACCTGGCTTGACACATGTCAGGGGTTTGACCTTGCCCGCCCTGCTACGTGATTCGCGCCAGAATTTCAATAGGGGGCCCTTTGGTGAGCATCATCATGGAGGTTTATGGAGGGGGCTCCCTGTGCAAGTCATGGGCAGTTTCTAGATGTGTCAGTGTCGCTCTATTCTTTCGAAGATATCCATTTCGTGGCTGCTTCAAAGGAAACCCAAGGGTAAACTCCAGCCATGTTTGGATGTATGGCTTTGCTTTCAAAAACATGGTGATCCGAAGAAACAAAAAAGAACATATGTCCGTGTTTCAGGGTAAACTGAATCTGCAACGGTACCCTTACTCCCACTAACATGGCCCCTGAGGGGGTGGTACAACCCACAGGTTGCTATGCTAGTGGGTATCTGGACATCTTTTTGTGGGCCCTGAGGCTGGGCAAAGGTGAGCAAGAAGCTAGGCAGTTAGGATCCAATCAGTTCCTTAAGGTTCTTCCAGAGGCTGCAATTTGGAGGCCGATCTTGAAGCAGCGTCCTTTGCTTCAGCCACCAATGTTGGTTCATGCCCAACTCCTGAGGGACCCTAAGTCGAATGGGATCCATCAACTCCTGGTTGGCGAGTGTCTTCTCCGTGGATCCCCTTGGTATATAGGTTGCTTTCGAGCGAAGCACCCGGCCCATCCGGCAGGTCGGTTTCCTCCCGGGAAGTGCAGTACTTGAGCTTTGGTGGACTTGAATGTATGCCATGAAAACCCGGAATCCGATTTGGGCACCCGCTACGATTTAAGGCGCCCTTTTCTGCCACCGAAAAATCCAAGCATGAACACCGACTGTTGTAGCCGACAACATCCATTGCCAATACTTCTGTTCTAAGCTCCAAGCGTGCTCCACCTTGGAGTTGTAGCTTCTGGCCACCAAACACAGCTGAAACGAAGCTGGAATCCCGAGTTGAACTGTGGCCAGGGAACCAAGCCACAAAAGCCATGCCCCAAGCCTGGGCTACATCTCAACAGGTGCTGCGTCACTTTGTACCTTTTTTGGTTGGGTTTTCTAGGCAGACCACATGAAACCACTTTTTGGTTGATCTGCCAAACCCGTACCCACTTGGACTTCCGGCCAGCGTCAGGCCATGTTGCCCTGAACGCCGAATCGGATCGCGATGCACATTTTAGATTGTTTTGGAACCCAAACCGAATCGCAGACGCTTTTCAGACGTGGCTCTTTTCAACATGGCAGTTCCCACCCAAAGTTTAGATCTAGAGCTCAGGTCTGCCACTGAAAGCTTAGCTTACAAGAAAATCTGAGCCATCAGAAGACTCTTTTACTTCGGTACTTGAGGTTGCTATGGATGGTCATGGACCTCTTGCTAGGGATTTCGACAATGCTGATTCTTGTCAGGGGAAGCGCCACCATGGCCTCAGAGTTTTGACCATGAAAGATAATGTCTTTGTTTTAAAGGGTATATCTGGGTGAATTATAGCGATCTCACAAGACCTCACCCCAAATGGTGGTTTATGTGGGGAATATCCCCCCAACCACCTTATTTCAGGTTGGTGAACGATTATAATTCACCTAGGCATATTCTGTTTGGACGAGACACAACAGGTTTCCCATTGCGAACACCTGCTCCTTCTTTTCTTCAAAGGTTGACATCATACCCCAAGGAGGACATTTGGAGTGTTACCTTGAAATCTTATTCCTGTCTTGGTCCTTGGTTTTGCACACCGGCTGTTTGAGTTGCGAGACATGGATAGTCCTGAAGCAGAGGGGCCATGGGGTCAAGCTGCGGGTTTGGGTTCGATGGCACGCCGGGTTTTTTGGCGGCTGAGTGCAACCCGGGGAAACATTTTCTCGATGCCTGCGGAACTGGAGGTCTCACAGCCACTTCAGAAGGAATCTGCGGTCTCAGCACATTTTGCGCCTATTTTGATGTTGACTAAATTATGAATCAGAGAAAAACATATTTTTCTTGTACCCCAGAGCTGGGTCAAGGAAGTCAACACGATTTTTGCTTTCCGGTGGGCTTTTTGAGCAAGCGCCTTCAAAAGGTACTTCCGAAACCGCTTGCCTTGCAAAGGAACCCTCCAAATCACTGCAGCTGGTAAAGTTTTTGTTTGGCCCTGCAAAAGGGACAGCAACAACACAGGGCCCTTTTAAGTTTACTGGAGCAAATTAGAAATATGTGTAGCCCTTTGAAAGGGTTTGCGCCGACTCTGGCACATTTGCCAAATTGTGCCCCTCAACCAAATGAAGCCCATCATTTTTTTGTGGGATACTTTTCTAAAGCCCTAGCTCACCTCTCAATGGACTCCCATGGCAAAAAAGAGGCCACCCGTTTTTGCCCATGTTTTTTTTTTTGGGGGGGGGGGAGGAATTTCCAGGCAAGGAGAAGGCAATTGAGCGCCCAGGCCAGCCCCTTTGGTCCGCTTTAGTAAAGTGGCTCTCTATTTGTGTTCCCGAAACTTCATGACTATGCAAGTAGAACTAAACGTCTTGATGGGTTTGGGCGCTGCTTGCGTGATGTTGAAAGAGCCCTTTATTTTGGTACTGATTTTCATGACGTTTAGACAAGCACCGTGTTTTGTTGAGACCACAGCCCACAGGAGAATTTGACAATGGCACCCGGTTCTTCTCAAGGAACATGTCTCTGGGTTGGCAGCCGGAATTCGATTGCTCAATGCGCCCCCCTCTGTGCGACGAAAAAAGTGGGCTCGCCATGGAGTCGCGGGACGAACTCTTGCGGGCCGAGAGCTTTTGGACTTTTCCAGGGGTTGATTCCTTGTCCATTCTTTGCAACCATGGTTCTTTTCAAAAACCGGATCTGTTTCCCCTGGCTTGATGGTTTCCTGAAAAGATTCGGATCCCTGGAAAGAATGGAAATGGAAGGTACCCCAGCTTTTGGAGTGACCGTTTTCCTCGGCGAAAAGCTTAGTGATTTGTCCAAGTACTATTTGGCACCCATAGTATCATACTATGTGCCAGACTGAATCCACCTAATGGCCCTTTTAAAACCCTTGTGGCTTTCCTGCAATTCCAATTTCAGCAGCAACAAAAGAGCTTCTTCCCCTTTACCCTTTTTGTTTTGCTTTTTTGTTTGTTCCCCTTTTCCCTCCTTTTTTTCCAAGTTTTCCCCCTTCCCCCCCCCTTTTCCCCTTTTTCCACAGTTTTCCCCTTTTTCCCCAGTTTTCCCCTTTTCCCCAGTTTTCCCTTTTCCTGTTGTGTCGCCTTTTGTCCATGTTTCGTTCTGTCTTACTTCCAGCTTGGGCGCGCGAGTTTCCCCCATGTGCTGAGTGTGGCTTTATTTTGCCAAGCGGACTAAACTTGGCGGTTCCCAGCGGTCCCCTTAGCTTTTTAAGTGTCTAGGGTGTAGTGGGGGCTTTCCTTTTGACCCGCTAGTTCAACTTTTCGCAGGGGATCGCCCAGTAAAGGAGAAGCTACAAAGGGAACTCCGTACGCAACCTTGCCATGTGGCATCCCCCGTCCCCTGCCGCAGATTCGTTTCTTAGTGGGAGGAAGGGTAGGGGTACCCAGTTCCGCCCGACCAGGTGGTTGGGAGGCGTGGTTTCTTTTGTGCCCAAGTGATGGATGCTCGCCTCTCCCTTGGTGAGTCGGGGAATGCCAAGCATGCCCTCAGTCCACGCATTTGGAGTTTGGCTGGGGCGGCACATCTGTGAAATGATAACGCAGGTGTCCTAAGGTAAGCTCAATGAGGGGAAAAGCTTGCCTGATTTTGATTTTCGGCACGAATACAAACTGTGAAAACATGGCCAATCGATCCTTTAGGTCGGAGACATATTCAGCTAGAGGTGTCAGAAAAGTTACCACAGGGATAACTGGCTTGTGGCAGCCAAGCGTTCATAGCGACGTTGCTTTTTGATCCAGATCCCCTTTGGTTTTAGCAACTCCCTCAATTTCCGCAAAAGTGTGCCAAAAGGCAACCCTGGCTTGGTAGGACCGTTTCGTCACACGAGTGCTGCTCAACTCCGCTGACCGGCGGTCTCTTATGGGGTCGCACTACAGTCTACGGATTTGGGATCTGCAATCCGTTTTGCCCCCAGTTGTTTTTGAGCGGTTGGGACGCCTCATCTTTCTTTGGGTTGTTGCGGCACATGCTCAAAACCCCGCAGCCGAGTTTTAAGTTCAAATCCCATGGGTCGGGTCGCGCTTTTTGAGCCCGGGATGCATGTGGCTATTCGCAAGCAGCACGGAGAAGCACGCGTCCCAAGCAAATGGGCATGTTTTTTGGAGGGCACCGCCTCTGAGGCTGCAAAGGCAAAGCAAAAGGCACACCGCCATTGTGGGATCCCCTTATTCTGCGCATGCAAATCATCGATCTTTTAAGGCCTTTTGGTTTTGCCTCGGCGTACCAAAAAGGTTCCCAAGAGCGACATTCCGGTGGCTTGGCGCACGGGCCCCTGCCCAATAGTCTTCCAACAGGGGCCTGTGCGACAAGCCACGGTGTGGAGCATATCGCAGGCTGGGATTTTGGATGGCTGGGCCTGGCGTTGGCATGCAAGTGCTCTAGTTGCGTGCTTCGGGTTTTCATGAAACAGCCTTCGAGACCCGACGCATCACGGAAGCTAGCAGTAGGACACTGGAACAGTTCGTAAGCCTTCGCCGTTTCATGGTATGTCCTTTCGCCGCCACTTGGGCGCTTTGCTGCGCAAGAATGTCCTTCTCAAGCGCCGCTCTTCCGAACTGTGCCCATGATCCTGAAAATGGGGTAACCATTGTGCCACGCCCAAGTTTCACTGCTTGTTGTTCAAGCCAAGCTGGGTGGCTCACACCTTCGCGGGGTTTAGCTGAGCCAACTCCAACCACTGGGTTTCCCCAAACATCCGCCTCAAACGCAGGGTTCGGGTTCCATAATGCCTTTGTTGGAGCTTTTGAGGATGTCAGTGCCTGAGAAGAGAAGGACATAGAGCTGTGATTGTTCATGGGGAAACACCTCCCAAGTGGTGCGTGAACATGAATCCCCAATGAAGTGATATCCACCAAAGGGTCCCCTATAAAATTCACACCCATATGCAAGGTGGAACGGCTAGTCTATCAGAAGCAATACAAATAGCAGGTAGGTGAGGTGGGGGACATGTTTTGTTTGGGTCGCATCCCCCAAAAGAGTCCCCTTTTGGAATGACCATTCTTCTGCACAGATACGTTTGAACAAATGAATACCAAAGCTACCGAAAAGTGCAGGTGTCCTCTTGCTATGGCTGCCTTTTCTGAGGTTGTGCCCTTGGGTGTGCAGGGACACCAGAAGAAAACACCGCCAATTGGTTTTTTGCGCGTGCGCTTCTCCCCTTCCACGGTTCTCCCATGCCGGTTCGAATGACCGAGTCCGGGTGTTGGCAATGCACCGATTTTGGGGATTGCCTTAAAGGAAACTCGGGGATGGTCTTCTCATTCCCTGCTTATCGAAGCAGCAATTAAAGAATGGTCGCTGGGAAAGGGTGTTTTTTTAACCCTTAAGGCCTTATTAAGGGCGTATCCTCGGCTTATCCCAGGCTTATCCAGGGATAGCTCCCTGCCCGCCATATCCCCGCTTGGGGCTGGTGAAAAAGACCCTGGAAGACCATGTTGACTCGATTCAGGTCCATGGACGTGTTTTTCGGGGAGACCCTTGAGGGTTTTCCAATAGAAACGAAGTAAGCCATCGGCAACATCAAGTCATACAACACAAACACCCAACAAACAATCTACTAAAAGTCAACATACAAAATACACACACACACACACCCAACAAATACTCCATTAAACCCGGGTGTCCTCATTTGACCCCACAGGGCTTATCCCAGGCTCCCGCCCAGGCGCCCCGCCAAGCGGGGTCCGAAAGACCGCTGGAGCCGAGGCCGGAGCCCTTGCTCCCTTTGCGCGGAGCTCTTCCTGGCGATGGCGGCCATTGCCCTGCTGGCCCTTGCGCGGTTCCTCACCTCCGACCTCCAGGCGGGTCTTGGCGCGCGAGGGATTTCTCCCGTCAGCAGCCACGTGCTGTGTGTCGCGTTTTTGAGGCCCCCAATTTGCGAACCTGCTGGGGTCCTCGGGCATGGTTCCTCTGGAAAGAAATCAAGCGATGTCAGGTGTGTCTCATTTGGCGCCCAAGCTTCCGTTGGCTGAAGATGTGTTTGTATGAACCCTGACCCCTCACCCTGGGAATGAACCACTTCTATGATATCTTCGGGAATCTCCCCCTTACGCGGGGTTAGTCTGAAGCCCTTTCCGTATCAGAGAAGTGGTCATGTCCCACAGCCCCGAGCTGAAATCCATTTCAGGGCTGGCCTGTGACAGCTGTCCTTTACATGGGATGACCGTTGGGGAAACCACTAAGATTGCATTTACATGGGAAAAGTTACCCAAGGTCACGTCCAGGAATACCTCCATTTGCTTAAGTCCCCTTTGCCCAAGCGGAGAAACCACCTCTGTCTCCACGCGTGGCTTGTGCCGGATCCATCGGGTTGTGACCCTGGAAAGAAATAGTAAATATTTCCAGTAGGGATGGCTTCCCTTCAAACCAACAGGGGGGAAAGAGACGACGTATTCTTCATCAAATAGACGAACATGATCAGCCCCCAGATGGCTGCGGGTCAAAGTTAAACCGTCCGGAAAAAAAAAAAAACGCGGAGTTGAGTCCATGTCTCTCCCCTTACCAGGATTCCATTTTGGGTTCCTATGTTTGACCCACGGCCGCATGTCTTTGAGGATACCCCTGTTTGTATGGTAAAATACTGGTTTGGAGATATAATCAGACACAACAGTTTGACCCACAGCCACATACCCTTCGTCCTTTGCATCGCACTTCTTCGCGAGGCCCGGGAGTTCGAGGCCAAGCACCATGTGCAGCAGACCATGCCCGTGCGCCTGCCGGAGCGCCAAAAGCAAAAAACGTCTCCAGACGGGTGGGTCTCGTTGGGTCCAGGAGCCCCCCGGAGATGGTCTTCCTTCTCCTTCAAGGCCACAAACAGGGGGGGTCCCCTGAACAAAAATGTGGCCCTCCTTTTGGTTTTCTCCAAAAAACACGCGTCACCCCCGGAGAAATCCCGGTGCGACTCACCCAAACGACCATGGTAACGGTGGATGCCAACTCAGTATTGCAAGCAAACCCATACGAAAACACCACAAAGCCATGGAACGCATGGAACATGTCTGTATATAATTATGTATGTATATATATATATACACGTAATTCTTCAAACAACATATTTGTATATATGTATATTTATAATATGGCCAATTGGAGAGTTTCCGAATGTTCCCTTGTACTATTCTCCACATCGGCTTCCGTCGTTTCCTCTCCTTTGGCTGGATTCCGTAACTTGGGCCTTTGCCACAAGGACGGGGATTCTGAGGGGTTTGACCCTTAACCTGCCACTTTGGCGACTTTGATGACATGTTGAACGCCCCAGCCTCATTCTAAGGCTGGGGGGGCCAGTAAGACATCGTTAAGCTCCAGAAAGGCCCATCAAAACTTAGTATCCAAGTGGTTCTACCCAACCGGCGCGGCTTTTCTCGGCACGGCGCCCGGTTTTGGAGCCCGTGGGCATGAGCCCAGAGCCCTTCGCCCCAAGCCCCAACTCGCAGTCCGCGGTCCTTCCGCGGTCCCTGCCAGGACTGCGCGGAGTTTCTGCCGGACTGCGCGGTGGAGCTGGTGAGCTCTCGCCCCAAAAGCCCCAGCTGCGTGAAAGGCGGGCCGTTGCATCCCAGTCGACTCTTGGTGTCGCCCACCTGAAAGGGACCGGAGTCTGTACAGGTTCTCAAGGTTTGTGCTGTCCCACCAACCCCACCTGTCGCCCAGTTCTTTCTAGATTTGGATGGGGTTGTTTGGTGGCGCCCTCTACATACCTGTTGTTTGACGGCTTGCCCACTAAACATAGTGCCCCCCTAACAGGGTCCTTTTTTCTATCACAGAACAACTGGGTGCCCATCTTCATTTACGCTCCATCCCAAACGCCGACCAAGATTGCTCTCTGTGCCTCTCGCGCCCCTCGCGCCCTTTTCGGGCGCCTCGGTCGAAAGGGATCTTCGAAGCCGCGTCTCTCGACGTAGGCTTGACCTACGGCTGCGAGTCCGACGCCTTGGAGACGGGCCGCATGGGGGTCTGGACGGTGATGGGCTGCTGGGGCACCTTCCGCCTCAAGGGCCAAGAAGGCGCGCGCGGTGTCGAGGTCGAGGTCCTTTGGGACGTGGCTTTTTGCTGTTGGTTGGGTTTTTCCGGCCCACCCCCCTTCACTGCTCTCTGGGAATGTGGCTTTGGTGGGTCTTTTAGGTTGTCTTTAGCTGTGTTTGGCTTTCTTTTGTTATGCTCCGTTCTTTGTTTGGGGGGGGTGGGGGATGTGCAAAAAGAGAACGAGCTTGTTTGCTACCAGACCAAGCCTCTTGGTTTAAGGTTTAAAGGGTCTATGTCGATGTCGGCTACGAAAGGTGGATTCCGATGCACGAATTTAGAAGTCGTAATTACCTCAACAGTGGTTTGTAGATATGACTTTCCACCCACATGATTTCAACATGTTTCTTTTTCCCCCGAGGGTTTCACTTTTTGGTGTGTAGGGGCAACAGCACAACCGTTGTGAGGGTACCCCCAATTTCAAGACACACCCATGCAGGTATGTGCCGCGACTTCGTTTCTGCCCCGCCCGCCCACTCTGGGCCACATGTTTTTCTTGCTTAACACTGGATCACTGTGTCGCTGGCTCCCTGTGGGCGTCAGCTGCCAGTCAAATGTCGGAAGCAAATTTAAGACCAACCCTAGCCTAACTCTAAACCAACCCCTAAACCCATCCTGAACCAACCCTTAAACCCACCCTGAACCCACCCTGAACCCACTCCAAACCAACCCTAAACTATCCCACACTAAGCATACCCTAAAATACCCTAAGCCAATTATAATGAACCCACCGCACACACGCCCTAAACTCGCCCAAAACCCACGCCACACCCACCCTAAACCAACCCTAAACTACCCAATGCCAAATTACTACTTCCTGTGTACCAGGACTTTGGTCGCTTTTTGGTTTGGACCACGTTAGGCACACCAATTTGGACTCATCCACACAGAACGAGTGGATAAGTAAGACCCGATCTCTGGGAAGAAATTATACTTGTTTGTTTGTCCTGATGCATTTTTGTTTTTTCAAGTCGAATCTCAAGTGAAACACCTACATAGAACTTTTTTGTTTTTCCGTATTTACTCTAAGTCCCCTAGTAGTGACATTTTACCCTTTTTGGGGAGAGTTCCCCTAGTAACATATACCACAGAAAAAAAAGCGTACCCTTATTCTATCCTCTCGACTGGAGGACCTAGTACTAGAGCCCGGGGGTTGCCTTTTGGCCGAGGTGAGCACGTGGTCACGTGCACCAGCGGGCAAAATGGCAAGCCGGTCTCCTGCCCAGTGCCGGACCCCTCCTGCGAAAACACGCCGGAGGAGGGCCCAGCGATCGCGAACGGAGCGAACGGAGGGTTCATCCTCGGACCTTTGGGTTTTTCTTCCAGTGGTGTCAAGCTTTTCTTGGAGAGGTGAAATCTCTTTCTGGAGGGGTTGGGGGCCTCTTTGAATTTTGTGTTGGCCTTTTTTCAACTTTTTTTTTTTGGAGGGGGTTGGGGCTTTATTTTGTCTGAGAAAAAGTTTGAGCTGTTCCAGCTAGTTAGTAGCTTATAACTGATAATAAGTGCACTAACCAACCCAGTTACACCGCTTGCTCTGGTTACAACCTACCCAAGTTGGTTGAACATCCAAGTTGAGCCTCGGACTTGTGGCGGGTGTTGCCCGTTTTTCCATGGTCCATGTTTTTGGGAAGGGGGGGCTTTCTGTCTTCCCCCTCTTCAGAGATGTTGATCCCCGGACCTCCCCAGACTGACTTGATGGATCAAGTCGCAGACCGGTGGGGTGGGGGTTGCAACTCCAGAGGAGGAGCGGGGGAGTCTCCTCCAAAACATTGTTTGTCGCATTTTGCGGCAAACTAGTTGAAAGAGCCTGAACATCTTGTTTTCTGCATATCTCAAATGCGGGCCAAGCGACAAATAGATTTGTCTAGTTCATAACGAGCTCACTGGTTCGAGGGTAAAGAGCCATGATGTAAATTGTCCACTTGGGGATCCACTTCTTATTTCAGGCTTTGGACATAATAGTAAACTGGGTTGCTTCAAGCGCCCCGGAGCCAAAAAGGTCGATCACCTTTTGTGGCTTCAGTGGCGATTCAATGAGCCACTCAATTCTTGGCCCCTCAAAGGGGGCCAATCCCAATAGCAGCCAATTACAGGCCAAACACCGGCTCCTTTTGGAGCCTTGTTGAGGGCTCCAATTCCTCTTTTCGAGGGGTTGATTTCCCATGCTTTTCAGCCATCGTTTTTTTTTTTTTAGCCATTTCTGCAGGGTTTTTGGCGCTTTTCTAGAAACAAGGATCTCTGGAAAGAATGGGGAAGTTACCCCTAGATCTTTGGGGGGACCCTTCTCTCCAGTCCGAGCGAGTGCCGTGCGGCTGGTCGAGCATCTCCGGCCGAGCCTGCCTGAGGAAAGGCCGGAAAGCCCGTCTGGGGGGAAGGGAAATGGGAAGGAAGCCCAGGAGGGGGGCCCCCCTTGAAAAATCAAGTACCCCATAAAAGGGTGCACCTTCTTTCTTGTCCATGGACATCCATGGGTCCGGGAAGCCCTTCTGTGCTTTCCTCACTTGGAATCGCTTGGAATCCAAGTGTTTTGGTGTTCACCCATGGGTGTGTGTGTTCTTTCTTCACCTCCGGTGTCCCTGTTCTTGTTGGAGGGGTCGTCCGTCTGTCAACAGGAGCCGCGTAGGTGCTGACAACACAACATGTTCAAGACGGCAACAAGAGACACATGCGAAAAGAGAGACCGCCAGAAAAAGCAAAGGACGGGTTGCTTTTGCGTTGTTTGACGTGGAAGCGAGACCGGAGGAGCAAGACCGGAAGAGCGGACGAGATTGGGCAGGGATGGCCGCGTGAGAGGCAAACCCCAACATTTTTCGCTCTCAAGCCAAGCCATGCCCTAGGGTTGAAACCACCATTAAAACCAAGGGGGTTAGTATAACCACCGTTGCTTACCTAAGGATGTTCATCCTCCAAATCGGGTCCTTGCCATTCTTTTGCTGGGGTTCTTTGCACACCAGGATGACCCATCAGCGAGTCTGACCGCGAGGCTGCTGCTTCGAGCCCACCCGCTTTGGGCCCAAGTGTTTCCAGAAGGGCCGGCGCCTGTCGGGGCCCCGGTTTGGAACCCCAGCCCTGGGGTCTTCGGACTTGGTTCCTCTGGAAGCACATGTTGCACCAATTTGGGTGTGGCTCAAGATTGAAGAGCCAGGGTTACACAGGTTTGAGTCAGTGTTTTCATTTGCGAGGGTGCCAGTTTGAGAGCCACGGCCATTTGCTTGAAGCCCGAGCAAAAGGAAAGCGGGGGTTACTGTGCTCTTCAGAAACCAGGTGGGCCCGGGTGTAGAGAATGATCCGAATGGGAATTGTACGGCTATGTACGGCCGGGGTGGGGGGGAAGCGTTTTTCCAACTGGCGTCATTATTATTGACGGTTTCTGGGGGGTTATCAAAGTCAGAAAATGGAATCGGCTGTTTCCCTTCAGCCCACCACTTGGGGGGTGACTTTGATCATGGTAGAATCATGGGGCCAGTCCAAGAACCTCACAGTTCGGGATTGCTTCCAGATCGCCAGTTCTTTTCCGGCAGCTGTGATTGCGGCACCGTGGAACAAATTTTTGTTCACCAGACATGTCCAAAGCCGGCAGAAAATATATGTGAACGTCTAAGTTCATCAACCAAGCCAGGTCAAAAACCGAGTGCTCACCCCGAAAAAACAAGGCCGGCTTTCCGGAACCCGGATCCTCGAAGTGGAAGACCGGCCCATTTTCTTCGGCTTCCTGTGGCCCTCTTGCTGTAGGCTCCAGGCGGGTTTTTTTCCGAGGGCGCCCCGCTTTAAAAGGGGTTTTTTTGAAGTGGAACACGACGTGGGAAGCCGCCAACCATGGTCTTTTTTTTCCTGGCCCAAATGGAAGACGGAGCCATCTTGTGTTTTGGCCTTGCTGCATTGCTACGCCGGGTTTCGGTTTAACCTTTGCCGGGAGATCGGAAGGGGTCCCGTGCGGCACAGGCCCCTTGGATGTTCAACAGAACAGATGAGTAGGTTGTTTTGCCTGTGAGATTCCCCTCGCCATTCTTAGCCATGGGAACAACTAGTCTTCGCCATGGCAAGAACATGTTGCAGCCTACCTATGGGTTGGCTGGGAGGTGCGATGTGAGCTCTGTATCGACAAGCATGCTCCGAGAGTCGTCACCCGTAGGTGGGTTTCCATGACTGGAGCAAGGCGGATTTGGCTCATCTGAATTCCCCCCGGGAGGGCCCTACGAGCGCGTCTTCAAATTGCAGGGTTTGGGCTCCGGTTTTGATCTCCCACGGTTTCTGGGCGGAACCTCTGCCCTCTTAGGCGCCTCGGGATGGGCAGTTCCAGCCCGCTCATGAGCGCTTCCTCGCTGATGAGCCTGCTCCGGTCCGGCCAGGCTAGGGGAAATTCTGCCACGCAGGGGTTGATCATGTGGCCATGGCTCAAAATCCAAATCGTACCCCCGGTGAACATCCCAATCCCCACTAAAATTTCGACTAAAATGGGTGGTGCACCTACCCCAAAATGGTACCATTGGTTTTGACCCGCAGCCATATTGCCTTCGACCATGGGACACTTTTTCCATATTGTTGACATATAATCTTTTTAGTGGCTTTCCTCCCAATGGTCACAAAGGACCTTTTTGATCAACCCCAAGTGAGCAGTGCCCAAAACCCCAAGGGGTCATTCTAGTTGGTGGGTTCTACCGGGTTTAATGCGGATAGTAAGGCCCATAGAATAGAACCAACAGTCAACGGGTTTTGGGCGCTGCCCATTTGAGGTTGAGTGAATATATCCACTCCAAGGATCATTTGGGAGGGACAAAGATTGATTTGTCCCAGGGAAAAATCAGTTCACAGCTATACTCTTGCCCCTTTTGGGGGACGTCTTCTTTGGTTCTATGTTGATGCCGTAACTTGCAACCAAACCTGCTGATTCGCTGCAAAAAAACTCTTTAGACCAGATCTCAACTAACAAAGGGCCGAGTCTCCAAACCAGGGCCAAAACTCGAACATGGCTCTAAATCAAGATGGCTCGTCTTCTAGGTTCGCCTCCCCCAAAATGGCTTAAGTTGGGTCTTGGGTTGCCCGACAAAATCCACCCCAAAGACACCCCATGGCAACAAGCGTTGAAATTTTCATAGGCATCCATCTCGCAAGTTGGAGGACATATATGTCCCTTGTTCTTTTTTTACATCACCCTTTTGGTCCATGAAAGTTTGGTAAGTGTCTCTTGGCGGGGCGATGCTTTAAGGTGAACTATAGGGAGCCCTGTTAGACCCTTGCTCCCTGGATTCTCATTGGCGGTTTTCTGGGGTTCCCTCCAAGCATTTCCCAACCTGGATTCGGGGTCAAGGAAGATCTACCTTTGCTGGCACCCCTTTTGGTTGGCTTAAAGCCGAAACCCAAGAGAACCACGCCGCCGCCGGTTTCGCACCGGTTTTCGCCGCGGCGAAAGCCGGTCCGCGCAGGGCGGGGTGCGGCGCCTGGACGCCACCTTCGCAGTGGCCGGCGAGGGCAAGGAGCAGTTCGCGCAGCCCGGGGCCCCGGCAGCGTGTCGAGCGGAGAGCGGCCAGCGGCGGGGAGGGATGCCCTGCCCCCCGCCCTTTTTGTTTTTGAGGCGGGTAGGGCGCCTCTTTTTTTTTGTTTTGTTGGTTAGGAAACCACAGGCGAACCAGTCAAGAGTGAAAGGATTTTTTGTCTTTTCAATTGAGGTTGGCCTTATTTTGAACCCCACATATTGCAAGTATCAACCACAAAACGATGGGAATCAGGCTAACTCCGAGGGTTTTTTGCTTGGATGCGCCTTAGGCTCCTTTAGCTTCATTTTGGGGTGTCTTAGGGTTGCTTGGGGTTTCTTGGGCGCCATTTGACCTCCTGTCAAACCGGAGGAGAAGGTGGCTCACTCAGTTGCCGGAATGAGAGCAATTTGCCAAGTATGTTTTGTGGCTAGGTTCCCTCATCATTGAAGTAAAGGGCCAACACAAGTTGAAATGTGTCAGGCCTGTTTGACCTATTTATTGAGTTCTGTCCTTTTCCTGAAAGGTGGTTTTGGACATCCCTAAGACCGATACTTCAATGTGAGTTCCCCCTAAAGTTGCTTTCATTATGCCAGGCTCAACCAACAAACGGTAGTTGCAAAAAGGACAAACGTCGGTGTGTTGTGATCTGGACAAATTAATAATTGAAGAGGAACTTGCCGAGGGGGAAATGATTGTGTCTCAAAGTGGGGAAGACTGACACACTACCCTTTCAGATGAAATCAAGTCATTTGCCCCGCAGCTTGCGAATTGCCATCGGTACGTCACTTTGCACGAAAGTTGGCGTACGGGTATAGTCGTGAACGATACAATATAGTAGGTATCTTCGACAACCATGAAAAGTTGTAAGGATCCTGTTGAGGGATCGATGATATTTGCCCACAGCAGTGTTCACCACGGCACATATGGGCATGCCCTTGTTTTGAGGCTTCGCTTGTTTGAAGACGGTACCCCCGGTACGCCCTGCGGTCTTCCGTCCGGTTTGTCTATGAGTCAATCTTGGGGTTCGGGATATGGGGGACTCACTGAATTTCACGGTTTCTGTTCCAGTTTCTAGGTGCCCCCCCCCCCAACCAAGGGTCATGGAACCTCCCTCCCCCCATAGATTGATGGTGGTTTTGGTTGATTCAGTGTTGGTTCAGGGTTGGCTGAGGGTTTAGGCTGGGTTTGGAGTTCGTTTGGTGTAGACTCGGCTGGTTGGTTCACCGTGCCCTATGCCCGGGATGACGTGGGTGGGAGGTGGAGGATGCCATGTACTGGTACCACCGATTTGGCCCTTTGGTATTTCTGTAAGACTAGCAACAAGGCAACCAGCCAACCAACCAACCCACTACTCCTCGAAAAGACCCTCATGTTGAGGAGGGTACAACCTGAAGGCTATGGCATTCGGAGATGTGGCTTTAGCCAATGCCTTTGAACCCCTTGCTGAGTTGCTTACACCAACTTCAAGATGGGAGAATTATGTGCAACCATTTTGCCCCCATTTCTCCAAGTGGACATGTGACAGCTTTTGACTTAGCACGTAAAGTCACAGACCACATCCAGAAGGCCTCCGAGCCCGGTTTCTGGGGTCGGTCAGACCCAACGGGCAGCATCTCCAACTCGCCTTCAATGAATGATATTGGCAAATTTGGCCACATGTTTTTTAATGTTTGTTTTTGGCTCGGTCGTCCTGTAAACGCGCGCTTTTTTTGGTTCTTTCCCCCCTGTAATGGCCGCAAAAGCGCGCAAATCATATGGTTTTTCACAGGTTTCGTGCATGTCCGGCCACTACCACGTAAAAACGCGGGAATTATATGGAAATTCACACTCACGATAGGCACGCCCGCTCAAGTGCACCCGCGCAGCACTGCATCCATGCCAGCCTGGTAGGCACCCGTTCAAGTGCACCCGCGCAGCACTGCATCCATGCCAGCCAAATGGTAAGAACACCCGTTCAAGTGCACCCGCGCAGCACTGCATCCATGCCAGCCAAATGGTAAGAACACCCGTTCAAGTGCACCCGCGCAGCACTGCATCCATGCCAGCCAAATGGTTCAAGTGCAGCAACATCCGTTCAAGTGCACCCGCGCAGCAATCCATGCCAGCCAAATGGTAAGAACACCCGTTCAAGTGCACCCGCGCAGCACTGCATCCATGCCAGCCAAATGGTAAGAACACCCGTTCAAGTGCACCCGCGCAGCACTGCATCCATGCCAGCCAAATGGTAAGAACGCCCCCTCAAGTGCACCCGCGCAGCACTGCATCCATGCCAGCCAAATGGTAAGAACACCCGTTCAAGTGCACCCGCGCAGCACTGCATCCATGCCAGCCAAATGGTAAGAACACCCGTTCAAGTGCACCCGCGCAGCACGGAATCCATGCCAGCCAAATGGTAAGAACACCCGTTCAAGTGCATGGTTCTGGGAGCGCGACCATTTAAATAACAGGTTTTGATTTGGAGTCACCTAAGGATAGGCCGTGCTCTTGCAGTTCCACTCGGACATCCGGCCCTGTGAAAAACCATATGATTTGCGCGTTTTTGCGGCCATTCCAGGGGGGAAAGAACGAAAAAAACGCGCGTTTACAGGACGTCTGAGCGTTAGTTTTTTCCGGGTGGACTGTATAGTTTTCTTGCATTGCTCCAGAATCGAGGGTTCCAGAGTGACACAAAACATAGCTTCAAATTCTCACTTGTTTGGGGTACTGAACAGGATGTATGGATCTTAAGACAACTATGTTGTTTAACGTATACCTATGCCACTCCGCGGGTATTTGGAGATGGAGGTCCATTCTGTAGGGGATGAGGGGATCAAACCGCTTCTTCACCTTCGAAAGGTCGCGGGAACTGGTTCTATTTTGCTATTTAACATATTTTAACCCCTAAAAAACGATATTTTCGGAGTTCTCATGAACCTAGGGGACACACAAAAACGGGGTGGGTTCCCATTTGTTCGACGCGCTGACAGGTGGCTGCGCGCCTCAGACCACCCCTGGGCCCCGCGTGGCTTGGAGGGAGTTGGGCAAAGGGAGGGGTTGGTAGGTAGCTGGTGCTATGATTTCAACATACGGGTATGCGCCAAAATTAAACCACCAGGGGACCGCAGGTTTTAGTCCATGTTTCCATTTACCTGGGTTCCATTTTGGGTACATATTTTTGACCCACAGCCATAGTGTAAGCAAAGCAGCCATATTTTTTTCGAAACGTTCGGAAGACCCGCTTTGTTTTGTTTTATTTTGTTTTGCTTTGTTTAGAAACAAGACATACTCCCCACGATTAGGCCCCGATTTTGGAAAGGGGGGGGCGCACCAATTCCGAAGCCCAAGCTGAAAAGTTTCCGAGGCATCCGGCTCTTTGACACGGGCGAGGACGTGGCTCGGCCAAGTTGAGGCGGCGCCGCTCATGGGGAACAGCAGTTTCCCCCTTTGGGTTGAACCGCTCCCTCAAGAAAGAAGGGCTTGTGGGGCTGGAGCTGGTGCCGTGATTGTGCCCAAGGCAACTTTGTACATCTGCTACTTTCTAGGGCTTGGATCATTTTAGCAGAAAGTCAAGTTTGGGCTTAAGTGTCCAATCCATTGTACACCTTGGGACATAGAAACCACACTCCCAAGGGAACCCAACCTGGATGGGCTCAAGGAAAGTCGCCCGCTCTGTTGGTTTCCCCCCTTTTGGTTTGTTTAGCACCGAAACCAAGAGATAAAATCAGTTCTCCGGTTCTAAGGGTTCTCCTTTCGGCTTCCTGCCGGCTTCCTTTTTCATCCCTGACCAAGTGGCAAGGGTGAGTCCCAACTTTGGACCACGGTTTTTTTCTGCTCCGCATTCCCCACTTGTAAAGCAGGGCAGCCGAAGATCGACTGGGGCACACAGAGATACATGGCCTCCGCAGGTTGCGGCCTTCCCAGAGACAGCCTTTGATCGATCGTGGGTCTACAAATCTTGGCATGTGCAGAGCAATGGCGTCTGGGGGGATGTTTGTAGGGAAGTTGCCCCTGCTATCCCTAGATCTCCCCTACGTCCTAGGTACCTCTGGCTTGTAAGGAATCCACTACTTTCATCATCCAGTTTCGTTCTTGATGCATGGCGGTCTTTGGACCAGGAAGGGTTGCCAGTTTTCTACGCCAGTCGGCGTTTGCCTGGAGGCTTCGGGTAGATTTCACGGACCTCTCGGGTCTTGGGAGTCTCAGGTGGAGCAACATCTGCGGTCGGATTCCTACCCGCAGCGCAGCGAGAACTCCTCTGAGATGCTTTGTGGCTTTGTCCCAATGGCGGTTTGAAGCCTTGACCTTTGCTACCTTTGTCCTAATGGTAGTGCCCTTTTGCCCCTTTTTGGGGGATGAACCCCCTACTAGAATAGACTACAGAAAAAAGGGTACTCTTCTTCTAACCTCCCTACTGGAGGACCTTTGCTACCCTACAGTGCCAGCTGTGTTCGGGGTGTGATGTGAACCTCTGAAGGGGGGCATTCACGATGGAAAGGTTCACTCGACTCCCGAGCGCTTGGGGACTTGGGAAGACCAGTTTACATAGTGGGAAATATACAGTTGAGGCTCTGCTCCATTTTTTATATAAAGAGGAGTTGACTATGCCCGGTGTTCATTTAATTTCATGAAGAGCAACAAGCCCGAATGGAGTGGAAAAGACCTCCCTTCTCACTTGGGCCTTGGACCCAAGGACAATTGATCTCGATGCGCAAATTGTAATAACCCGCGGGTTTTCACCTCGCTGCTGAGGGTGTTTTTCTCTCGGGTGGACATGCACAAACAATCGACATTCTGTGCCAACGTCTTCTCCTTTTGACATTGTGAGGATCCGCAACTACAGTATACAATCGTGTTGACCTTCTGGTATCCCCTTTTCATTGCCGGACGTAGCTTACCTTTCGACAATTGTTTGGGGGTTGGATCAGTCAGGCCCAGTCCAGACGTCCGATGAAACTAGGCATCGCCTTGGGCGAAGTGGAAGCGGGTATGACTCTGGGGGGCCTTTGGACATCCGAATTCGGTGGGGAAATCACTGTCCACCACTTTTGAAGGGTTCCCCTGTCAAAATTCACCGACCCGGACGGGACGGGACCCTTCAGGCGGCGCGGTGGTCTTTGAAACGCCGCCCTGGGGGCCCAAGGCCGGGTCTCGAGATGAGGCTCCCTCAAAAGCCATGCGCCTCTCCTTCTGTCCCTTCCTTTTGTTTCTAGTGATGCGAATTCGCCGTGTCTTCTCAGATCTGTATTTTCAGGGTGCCCCCTGTGATTTTCAAAGGAAAACCCCAAAGGACGCCGCCATTTCAGGGGTCCACAGAGACCCCATGTGATGAGAATGACTGACCCAAGGTCTCTCAGAACGAACATCTCCTGGACTGATGGATTGGTCTGTCTCAAAATCCCTCCCCTAAAACGGCGAACGGGCTTTTTGATTTCCAGGTAAATAGTGTCAATAGGGGGGTTCAACCAAAACAAGACACAGTTTGTGGACCACACAAGGCAGGGTGTTCCCCAAAGGACCTCCAAAAGTAGGCACCCCTGAAATGCGAACCTCAGTTGTTCAAAGCCGACCTTTTGACCTTTCTGTTTTCCAATTTTGGTCCATATTTAGTCATGGCCCCAAAAGGTTAACCTTTTAGGTGCAGGTCCTTTGGGCAACTGAGGAACAGGGATTGAATATGTCAACATTACAGGGAGCCCTAGCCCAATGAGAAGATGAGAGCTAAAGGAGCGGGTCTTGCCGTCTTGCCTTCTCTGCCTTTGCCTTGGTGCTTGCTCTATTCTGAGTGGTTCGTAAAAGATGCAACCTGCAACTAACTCTACCCCAATTGCCATTGACTCCTACTTGATTTGCTCAGAAAGCAAACGACAAGCCACGAGCCATCGCTCTCACCGTATTCGTATCCTAAATACCTCTCTCGTGTCTAGCTTTGGGTGTTCCGTCAGGTGTCCCGTAGCTTCTTGGGGACCCGACAACATCCATGGTTCTTCCATTGGTTTACCCTTGAAGCCGTTGCCGTCCATATCTCGAGACATCAGATAGGACAAACGAAAGAATCCAAGGGTTGACTTCCATTCTCCCATCCTTCTGTTCAGAAAACATCAGAAACCACGTGACTCCCTGTCTGTTTATGTCGCGTTTGTCTTCCGGTAGACAAATCTGCAGGGGGTGGTGAACATCACACCGGAGTAGCCGGTAGAGTAGTTCCATCCAAACCTAAAAAAGCCTCGGGTGTTTTTTCCTGGGGCAGCGGGGCCTCTGGACCATCCCGTCGCCAGGCGGAGTACTCCCTGCGCTTCAATCAGAGCTTAGGCGGCGCTTTCGGCCGCAGACTGGGGGGGGGGGTCCGAGACCGTTGTCCCTTGGAACCGATCCTCCAAACGTGGATCGGTTTCAAGGGAGACAAGTGAATTGATCAACTTTCGGAAGGGAGATCCAGTGATTCCTGAAGACAGCGAGCTCACCTGTAGATGAAGATTATTTTCGAAGGATTCCGGGGTAGATGTCCAGCCCTTTTTGGTGTTTAGTGATTGCCCAGATCTGTCGAGTCCACCCTCTGAACCCGATCCCTTTTTTTGGATGGGCTTCCCTCTAAAAATTGGTCCCCAACATGGACAAGTTTTGTACCTGAGATTTGACACAAGGTTTGGGTTCAAATTTGTCCGGTGGTCGAACTGGAGCAGGGACAGCAATCACCAGGAACCAGGGAGACTGATTACAAGACCCTCGTGCCCACGGTTCGCTGGCATATTTTTTGCCCATGTGCCATGTTGGTGGGTTCTGCTTTCTTGCTTAGGTGGTTGTGGTGTGGACCCGTTAATAACCCTGTCCTATTCCCCTCCAGAAGCGATGAATCCCCAAAACGAAACACCCTCAGGTGTATCAAGCCGCGGCTCTCATTGGGGATTGTGGAGTATCGGCTTGTAATCCAACACAAACCATGTCTAGGTCCCCCAGTAGCGCCCTTTTGCCCTTTTTGGGGGGAGGGTTCCCTTAAATCGACTACAGAAAAAAGGGTGCCCTCATTCTAACCGCTCTACTGGAGGACCTAGATGCTGAACAGCGACCATCGCCACAGGAACTCACCACTTGTAGTTACCACAACACAGGGGGTCCAACTGAAGGAGCTTCTGGTAAACATCAACCCACTTCCTGAGTAGATTGGCCAAAAGAAGTACAAGCTGGTTATTTGCTATCAAAATGATCTTCCCAAAAAGTATACAGTCCAGGAGCTCACCTCCTTTGCAGACTGAAACAAGGGCTTTGTCCGTCCCTGGCAACTTCTGAACTCGGCAACAGGGTTCCAAAAGTGGCACTCTCCGAGAGTCAGCGAAGGTCCCAAAGGACTTCTCTCTAAAGAATGGCTTTGGAATTGAAAGGGGAATACCTCCCCCCAATTTAAGATTCATGCCTGACTCCGGAAGCTTGCCCCTCCAAAAGATTCGGTCATTTTCAGCGTCTTTTGCGGCTCCTCTACCCCAAGAGCCCAAAGATGCTTTTTTGGTCCACGAAATGAGGCGGGTGTCTCCAATTGGGGACCCCTGCATGGTGGTGTCCTTTGGTTTCCCATGCAAAAGGGGGTCCCCTATTTGGGTCTGTGTCTTCTTTTGAGAGGCCCTTTCTTGGGTTGACAGGAATCAAACGGGAAGCCATTTAGGGGTTTTCCGGAAAGGCACCCATTTGGAGAACCCCCAATCAAGAGGGGTGGCTTGTCCGACCGCCCGCTTCGCCCTCGCCCCGCTTGGTACCTTGGGACCGCGCAGGCTACGACCCCAACCTGCCGCAGCTGGCGTCGCTGTTCCGCAGCAAGCTCACCACCAAGGGCCTGGTGGAGCCCCCCAAGGCTGAGGAAACGGCGGTCAAAACCGTCAAAGGGTTGTGGGATCACTCGGGGTTTATCCAACCACTTCTGTGATACTTTCGGGAATCTCCCCCTGTAATTTTATGGGGGGTTAGTCCTTGGGGTTAGGCCCTTTTTGTTGTATCACAGAAGTGGTCAATTCCCACAACCCTGAAACCGGTCAAAGGGATCATTTTGGGGGAGCGAATTCACCACCCATAGTTAATCTTAGTATTGGGATGTTCACTGGGGGTACGGACCCATGTTCACCACCCATTTTAGTGGGGACCCATAGCCAAATCTTTTTCGAGATATAGTTTTTTCCTGGAGAGACTGAGAGATGTCCCTGTTGTTTCGGTGTAAGTCACTGGTGGTTTGTCCTGTGTTGCTTTGGTCTTTTTCGCTGTGCATTGCACTGGTCTTTGAGGGATTTCAGGATAGGTGTCCTTGTTGGACCTTTGGTTTTTAGACATACATGGGTGCCACTGGTGTAGATGGTTTTTATTCCATTGGGCCATCGACTTTACCAACAGGACACCCATGCCTAAATGCATTGGCAGAATTTCTGCTTTTTGTCTGCCTCACTTGAGTGCCTGGACTTGACACTTTTGTCGATCGGAAGGCTTTTGTTGGTGCTAGAGGGAACCTGTCACTGGACGTATTTCATTTCGCCTGTTTCCACACTATAGCAAAGGACCCCGGGAACCTCAAACCCCATGGTTTTCGCAGCAACGCATTCAGTTTACAAGGGATCCAACATTTACTTTCACCTCGGGCTTAAAGGGAAATTGAAAAGAGGAACAGCAACCAAAATGGGTTTTCTTGCTTTGACAAGTACTCATGTGCTGCGACCCCCGACTGAAACTGACGTAATTATTACCATGGGGAGAGTTTTGATCGCTTCTCTCCGCGGACTTCTTTGGAGGAAGATCAGAAAAAAACAAACCAGAAGTGATTGACAAGCCAATGCATACCTTTACAATTTTCAACATATGCTCTTTGAAGACGCGAGTATTTGGGGTAGCTAAACCTTTACCAGCATCTTGGGTTTGGAACCAAAGGTCAGTGGGTGAAGTTTCTTTCAGTCTCTGGCCACGTGTTTGGGTCCGACTTGCCGCGGTAGAATGTCGTTTTGCCTAACCTGAGGTTCAGTTAAAATGGTCAACAGTCTACGTTTGAGTAGGGAAGGACATCGGTTTCCTTCAACAATAGTGTATATTTAGGATAAGCTGAATGCGTGTGTCTTTTTGTGGGACCTCCTCCCAAAATAAGAGACACAAAAAGTGAATTTCCTGTTGGTTTTCGACAAACACAACCCAAAAAAGGGGTCTCAACAAATCGACATACCCAAATATAGCAGAGTCAGACCATATGTCGTTCTCTGTACCCAGATGTGGGCCAATGGACATTGGGGCAGCCTGGTGCCTTAGTGGTTCCCAGCCGTGCCCTTAGGTTTTTAGGTCTCTTTTTGGGTTTAGTGGTAGTTTCCACCAGAGCACAAGAACTGGGTATGGGTCAAAATTAAACCACCAGGAATTGGACCGCAGATTTTAGTCCTTGTTTCCAACGAGGGTTCCATTTGAGGGTTACCCTATTTTTGACCCACACCCAACCAAAAAAACAGCAAAACTGTCGCAGGGGATCTGGGAACCGTCGGGTTTCGATGCGGGTTGCTTCTGCTTCAGGGGGGGCAGCCGCAGCTCTTCGACGCCAGCGGGCTCACCTGGCGCCTCGATGTTAGGGATGTCTTTTTTTGGGGGTGGGGGGGGTGGGGGTCTCCCGTCTCAGACTGCCACTCTCCCTCGGTTGTTTGTGTTTTTCCTGCATTTCTTCTTTTTTTTTGCGTGGGTGGGGGTCTCCCGTCTCCCTCGGGTTTTTTGTTATTATTTCTTCTTTTTTTGCGGGGGGGTCTCCCTCTCAGTCGATCGGTTTGTGTTTTTCCTCTCTGTGTTTTTAAAGTTTTTTGGGGGGAGGGTGTTTGCCTCTGCGTCTTTGTCTGGATGCCCCTCTGGTAATTGTATAGCACGGCAAAAATGGGAGGCGAACAAAAAGGGGGGGTATCAAGATACAAGCTGGATTGGTTTGAAGGTAGGGGGTTGGATCTTTAGACTTTTACACTAAACCCACGAGCTAACAACTTTTTGTAGAGGGGTCAGCAGCAACCAAGAATACCAAGTATATAAGAGGGTGTATGCGAGCCACATGTGATTGGCGGTCAAGCATCCATACTTCCCAGGGTGTGAGGCTCGTCCGTGTGCCATGGACCTGGGGGAGAACGGACCGCGGGGTGCGATGACAAAGCTGAGAAGAGCTGGGCGGTGCAAAGGCAATCCATCCTTACCTTGGGTTACGAAAGTGGTTGTCTAAGAGGAATTGATTAGGATTCACCAAGCCTCAATTTAGAACAGCAGAATAGGACGTCACCGTGAGCTCGTTATGCGGTGAGCTCGTTACAAGTGTGTCTGTGTGTGATTGTGTGTCCTGTGGGTGGTTTCTTGAGCTGGTCCCTTTTCACCTTGGTTTAAAAAGGACAACAGACATTCGTTGGGTCCCGCTGTTTTAACATGCCTATGTGGGATCCGGCAGTCCTTGAGGGGCTAGCTCGAGATCTCCCAGGGGCGTTTACGAACTTTCCGTCCACACTGGGAACCGCACCTGTTTTGACCGTGGCTCATGTGGGCGTGTCTCAAGCCGGGCTCCAAAAAACGCAGTCTTGGCCCTTCAGACGACCCGTGCGCGCCCAACCGAAAGGCCATCATGGGGTAATGTTCATCAGCTGCCCTGTTAAAATGGCCCCATGCGGGTTTGATCATCAAAAGAGCCCACGGCCCATCCTCTGGCTCCGTGGGACATTGCGTTGGACTCCTGAGAGCTCTCTATGCCGATTCCTGACATGCGTCATGGAGACCTTGTCTCCAGGTCTGTCCCGTATATGTGGATAAGAATGGTTGTTGTTTTTTTGTCCATGTTTTCCATGTCCCATTTGTGCTACAGGCGAGGTGTGTTTTGTTCATTATTCGAAAATGTGCAACCGATACTTGGATCCACAAAACCAAGCCCGCTACCCGTTTCTGGCCAACAAATACGACAAAAAGGCGAGGGTTTGCGACGGACATATGGAGGTTCCTTTCGGGTGGTCCGGGGACCAAATTCAAGGGTTCGAGCAAGCCCATTCGCCACAGGTTTGGAGCAATTTATCCGTGGTTTCCGCTGGTTGGTGAATGATGATAATTCAACTGTGAATTTAGAAGTGGAAGTCCACTTGTGGGGAATGAGTATCCTCAATTTCACTTCCGAAATCCGCAACCAGTTTCCGAAAGAACCGAGATCCCTGGGAACAACACGTTTCTTCCACCCTCTACCAACTTTCCATATTCGTTCTCGGGTACATGTGGAACATCGGCGGTTTTAGGGCTGCTTGCTGTGACACACGGGAATCCTCTTTGTGGTAAAGTAGTCATGGTTGAACGAGCCATATTGGTATCACAGATTTCGGGTGATTCTCCATGTGAACAGGGAACACTGTTGGTTTCCATGTGGTTTCTCTTTAATCCAAGGTGAATGGTAAACAGGGTACCGAGCCCCACAAAAACCCAGGCGCACCTCTTGGCCGGAAAAAAAAGAGAGGAAAAAGAAGCCGCCAGGTACGCCCAGAGCGGGTTTCTGGCCCTCCAGCGCACCGTGGACACCTTCCTAGAGCGCTGTCAGGCACCAGACCAGGCGAAAGGGGGCCGAAAAAAAACGCGGTCCGTTGGAAAAGGGGACCCGTAGGTGCAAGCGGTTCCGTCCATTTCGTCCATTTTTCCCCTTGGAACCTCAAGTGGCAGTTGCAAAAGGAAAACCACCAGTCAATCGCAACTTTTGAGGAGATCCAGTGACCGTAGGTGGTTTAGGGTTGACCCCCCTCCTACCAGGGTCACAACTGGGAAAGGCTCTGGGCTGTATGACCCGTAATTTGTAGTTGTTGCCGGTTTTTGACCAAAGACTCAAACTAGATTTCCAGAGGGTTTGGGGGAGGAGCAGTCTGGCAAAAAGATACCCAAGAAGTTGGGTTGGGTGTCCTTTCGTGTTCCTGAAAGGGGCCAGCAGTAACGGGAATGCAGTTGATCCGAGACTTCTGGTGGTGCCAGTTTCTCGGTTTGATTTCCTTGGAAGCAGAACGAAGGGTTTGCCCAACACCAGACAAGAGAGAGGTTTCTTTCCTTTCTACCTTCCTCCATGGAAAATAGAGAGATGATTGCTTTTCGCTAACCTTCCATTTTTCAATTGATACCCTCAGGGAGTCTTTCAGTGGTCAAGTCAGAGATGGTTGCCTGCCCATTTTTCCAGCCCGCCAATGAATCCCTCACAGATCTCCAAGTTGCTCCACGTCTCTAAATGGGGCTCGATTCCCTGGTTTTGTTTTGCAGGCGCTTCAAGCGTACGTCGCGTCGGGGATTTTTTTGTCCCCGCGGCTTTTCCCTCAGAAAACTTGAATCACAGCAAATCACCAAGCCCCAGGACCAGACTGAAGGGTCAACATGGGGGCACGAAAATCCAGGTCAGCGTGTACACGAGTTCTGAGGGTTCAGCCCTGGCTTGTATAAGTGTCATGGGTTTGAGGCTTGACCTTGGCACAAGTTGGAAAAGGGAACCCCGTTCTGCTTGAGTCGGGCTTCCATTTAAGAACCAACAGGGAGGTAATAATTTTCGGGCAGGCAAAGCACACCACACGAGAACGACCAATGGCATGTCCATTTTTGAGGGCACCCCCTTCTTGGTGGTTGTTTGAATGAGAACCAAAAAGGAAACCACCCTTTTCATGCACTCCTGTTTGGGGGGTCCTTATGAACAGCACGGAAGGGAAGCCAAGAGCCCCAACCAGCGCCCCGGCCCATTGACCCGACGCAGGACGTGGAGCCGAAGTTCGGGAATCATTGGATGGGCGAGGCGCCACCCAAACAGCGGTTCAACATATTATGATGTAGGCGGTGGATATGACTCACCAACCACAAATCTGGACCATTTCTCGGCATATGGTTTTTAAGGTAGACCAAAATATGAGTCAGACATATGGAACAAAGACAGAGCTGCACATCTTGCTGGGTTTCGAGTACCCTTCGGCCGTTGAAGAAATCTTTGTGTTCGACTGATAGTGGTGGTGTTCCTTTGAACCAGCCCTAAAAGGGGGGTGTATCCTCAAGAGTGGGTTGTCGAGCATGGAAGATCTTCCGTTTCCATGTTCGTTGGTGGGCAAATCGCCAGTTCTTTGCATGCCACTCCTTATTCCTCCGGCTTGGGAAGACCGGAAAAACTGGGAGTTACATTTTTCACATGAATTCCTGCTGGGATTCCGCCTTTCGGAACGTGAGTTCAACCCTGTTTTTTCCAAGGGTGGAGTCTCTGGTGGAGAACAAATGGCAGTGCCTCCAGGTTTGTTTCCTCATTTGCCAGAAGCCATCCAGTCCCAAAAGGACACGTTTCCCTTTCCGTGAGTTCAATCTTGTGTTTGTTCAGAAGCGCTTTTGCGTTTTCTTGTTTCCATAGAATCCAACCTTTCAAGTGAGGGCTTGATAAGGCCGTGTGAAGCCCTTTGGAGGAAGCCATGAAAAACCTGAAAACATCCTCTGACGTTTGTTGTTAGAAGGGTAATGCTGACCCCGGATTCAAAAACCCCTTATTAATATGGGGCTGTCGCTGGGTTTAGTGGGAGCAGGGGTATATGAATCCGGGGGCATTGGATTTCTGTTGGACGTCCACTTCTTACGCCCAAAGCCCAAAGAAGCAGACTGCAAGGTCAGTGCAGTGACGAAGTCCATTTGGATTTCACCATTTGGAAGCCATGGTTGAAACCATAGCGTTTGTTGGTATTTACAGGACGAATCATCATTGCAGGAACTTTGGGGTGCAGAATGTCTTCCATCCACAGTATCTCCCTGGTGGAGATCAATCCTTCCAGGGATCTGTGTGTGATATTTATGAGCCATGTCAAGGCTCAAAATTGCCACACCAAAGAGGCCAACAAGACAGAGCAAACAACATACGGAAATTTGGGTGTGTCCTTTTTATGGCACCTGCTTTTTGTGGTTTTAAAGGGAAACCAAAGGGACATTGACTATATTTCGGGGGTCGCACAGAAAAACACCCATTTGGAGTAGGGTACAACTCTCTTCCCCAGCTTCCGCACTGCCTTTGATTGGTCAATCCGCTGGCTCGGTGTGTTCCTGGCATCCGTATCGTCCTGAAAAAGGAGTCTCTGTCTCCTGAAAGATCGGTTTGGTTCCTGTGATGCTCCTTTTTAACCACCAACTAGCAAGAATTCCGCCATTTTGATCTCCCAGCAACCCTGGAACTGGAAAACCCTTCCAGAACCCCTTCCGCCCGCAACCGCTCCACGCCACTCCGCTTGTTGGGCAACCACAGCTTTCAAAAAACAAAAGCAGATATTTGGAGTAGGTCAACAGTCTTTCGACATATTCCCCTATCCCAATGGTATCCTGGTGGTCCCCTCCCCCCAAAGAATAACAAGGACAAACCTGGTATTCCCCCCTTCCGCGCAGAAACAACCTCAGAATCCCCCCTAAAAAACCCTGGGGCGAGTATTGGAGCGTCCCCCCCCAAAACCCCCGTCTTTCCGGGGGCGAGTATTGGAGTGGCACACCTTCGCACACCTCTCGCAGGATGGGCGGCCACACCTCGTCGTGCCCTTCCCGAGCCCAAAGTGGTCCCTGGACATCTTCGCCACGGCGATCCCCCAGCTGCTGCCGGGGGCCCCCACGGGCCAACTGGGGACCGCGAGGGAGGGGATGGGGGGGTACCCGCCTGGCGGTTTTGCCAGGAGAACCTGCAGGATTTTAGGAATATCCCACAAGAAACAAGAAACCGTCCCCTGGAAATTACATAGGAAGTGAGTCGCAAAGCTGGTATTTGGCGTTTGTTGGGCTAAGTTCCTATGTGTTCCACCTGCTCTCTTCGAAAACATGCCTGGCTTTCCCAAATGGCAAATGAATCTCGACAAGTTTCAGTTGGGGATTCCCCCTATTGTGAACCAGATTGCAACCAGGAAAAAAGCTGGTTTTAGGCAACAACCCTCCCCACTACCAGGTGGCCTTTACAAGGCCTTACGCTTCAATCCTGGAAGCCCCTGGAAGCCTTTGGAAGCCTTTGGTCCACTCTTTGTGAGAAAGAGGGCAAGGCTTCGAGGCCCCAAGTTCCCCCCAGCCGTCTTTCACCAAAGGCACCTGGAAAATCGATTTTCATCGTGAAGCGGCCTCCGGTCAGGCCTGCCCTTGCGGCCTCAGTGCGGAGCTGCCTAGGCTGTTGCCATGTGGGGCATTCAGCTTGACGATCATCAGTGGAGCTTCGGTGACGGTGTGGAGTGCACGCCGCAGAACGACCCGAGCACCTTCCAGGTTTGGAAAGGTGCAGCTCAACGCTGACAAAAAGGCCGCGGCGCTGCGATAAGGCGGCTGCGGACGCAGGTCGCAGCTGACAGAGGTTCGCAGTAGTTTTGGGAAACGTCAACAGGGAATTCAATCATGTTGACCCCGGGTAAATCAACCGGATTTGTTAGGGGTTCTTCCCTCAGTGAAGGGTCCTCCTCTTTATAATCAAGCAGGGATTGATGGATTTTGATTCCAACATTACAGTTGGGTGAGTGTGCATGGCTTAATACAAGAAGCCCATTCTGGCTGAGTCTTCCCCTTCACTTGCACAAGGACATCGTGTCATCACCGTTCACCTAGGGGCTACATGGCCATTGATGGAAAGGAAGAACCCCTGGAAAACGGTTTGACATTGTCATTGTGTTTAGACTCCAGTTGTCTACGGGTTTGGCTTTTCGAGGTTTGGGGATCCCGAAGTGCACCAACACCAGCCCGCTACACCTCTCATTATGTTGTCAAGTCAGAAAATGGCTGGGTGTCGGGTGTCTCCCTTGAATCTACGCTGAATCATGATGCCAGCAGGGAACCAGGTTTTTCACCTCGTTTTACATGATGTTTTTGCGCCTGGCAGTGGCTTGTCTAGAAGCACTGGGCTTGGCGGTTCGCAGCCGTCCCCGTTTAGATTTTTAGCTTTTTAGGGTTTAGTGGTTGGGTTTTCATTTTCCCACTATCAGTGTCACTTCTTTCAGCGGATCTGCCAACTAATGGGTTTTCCATTAAACCACCAAACGTTAAACTTTTTGCAGGGGAGCAGAAAGCAACAAGGACAGCCTAGCCTAGTGGGGTCTTGGCGGTATTGGTCTCCTTTGGATGGATGGACTCGCTGAGGGCAGGCTTCCTGCTCATCTCCCTGGCCTACCCCGCACCTCGATCTCTCGATCTCTCGGTCTCTCGAGCTGCGCCTGGCGTGGAAGCGTTTTGTGCGGGAGTTTTATATGGGGTTTATATAGGGAAACGCCTCAATCCAGTGGCTTTTCGTTGGCTTCCCTTTCTCGAATCAAGACACCCCCATACAGCTCGTACTTTATACTCCATGAAGCCCGGCAGTAGAACCATGCACAAACTCGTTTGGCCCATTGAAATCGTGAGCTGCCTGTTGGAGTCACGGGGAAGCGCAGTTCAGATCCTGAGTCCAAGAGGGAAAAAAACAAGGAAGACAAGTTGCAAAGGTGGATCAATCCTGGAGTGACAGATTCGTTTTTTTTCACCAAAGTTTTTCCTCTCTGATCAGTGAGTTTCTCTTTTTGGACGGGGGTTCTCTTTGTCAAGCAGCGCAGAAAATTGCCTGTTTCTCCCATTGCCGGGCTTCTGAAGCCCTTTTGTGGTACGTATCTGTCATCTGGGGATGACGTTGGGGGCGCAAGAGGCCGAGAAAAACCATCAGAAAGGACACGCCAAGTTCCTTTGCAAAAAAAAACAGTTTGGAGGATGGTCCGTTGAACAGCTGATGGATCACAAGAGTTGAAGAACCTCTGTAAATTATAGCGATGTTACGTTTCGGAGAGCTGCGACGTCAAGGTGAAGGTACCATTTTTGGGGGTTAATTTCTTATTTTCGGTTGTGAACAAAACAATGACATGCCCAGAGGATTGACCGTGGCTCATACTGTGGATGGATGCGAAATCCATTTCGCACCACCTTTCAGAACCCTGGTTTCTGATTCGACTTCCCTGTAAATACCAGCCGAACGTTATGGTTCCTCTTCAAAGTCGCCCTACAGTAACCCTGGTTATCCATTTGCCCCTGTTCTGACTCTCGCAAGACACCACCATGGTTTCTTTATGAATATAATCAACATATTTTCGTGCTAAATCACCATTAATCAATGATCCCATTGCGCCAGGATCACCACATGCCGGCAATTCAATCATCCAACATTGGTGCGAACTGGATCTCGTCTACAGTGAGACACGGCCTGGGCGTGAGGTGAATCGCATGATCACCGGGGTCGTCATGGAGCGCGAGGCTCGCTTGAGGGAAGGCATGCGCATGATGGGCGCCTCACTCGCAGTCCGTTGGGACGGGGACTTTCTGTATCTCACTCCCTGAGTTCCTTTGAACGTTTTGGGAAGACCATTTTGGTGGCAAATCGAAAGTTTGGACTTTTTTTGGCCCATCTCGGGAAGTGAGGTATTCTCATTGGTGGTGGTACGTTTTCAACACCTCTTAGGTGCGCTCCTTTCTGTGTCCCCCAGCTGTGGGCCAAGTTTTATGACGCATAGGTAGCTTTTCCGCCCAGGTTTCCTGTTTCCCAACCCGAGCTTTCTTTTTGATCAACAGTTTCCCCCACAAAGCAAGAAACCAACTGGGGGCGACCGTTCCTTGGCCGCCATTTTGTCAGAGCAAACCCCTCTTTAGCGGCCAACCTTGTCCCCAATGACTCAGCGCCCAAGGGCTCTCCAAAAGTGAGGTCCAGGGCCAGACGGGCCCGGCGCAAATTTTGAACCAGATCTGGCCCCCTTGCTCCAAAATGAGTCACAATCAAAACCGATTCGGGTAGATGAAGGTTAGCAAGGGGCAGTCCCAGCCGGTAATATGGCGGATTTCCGCCTTTGCAATTCCTTACATGGTTCTGGGTTCAATATTTGTGTGCCAGGTTTTCATTATGACTCAATTGAGGTTCTTTGAAGCAAGCGTTCTTTGGCCCAAATTTCGGTGTTGACCCACAACCTACCGGGTTTGGCCTTCGGCACACGGAGCTCCAATCCAAGTCCAAAAGCTTTGAAGCTCAGGATTCAAGGGTAGGGCCAAGCAGTGAGTGGCTATTCGGTCGGCTCGCTCCGAAGCTCTTAGCTTAGGGCATGGATGGGTAGCGCATTTGTTGGAAGCCACCATTGCCAGCTCTGCTCTCTTAAAAAGAGAGCGTGCGCTTTGATGTCCACCACAGGCTTTGGCCAAATGATCAAAGTGGGGAATCAGGTGTGTTGGCCCATTTCTGTCAGGCTTGCGGAGCGAGCTTCACGATTTCTTAGGCAGAAACTTAGAGTTTCCACTGGCTTGCTTCAATGTTCGTTCTTTGCCTGGGTTTTAATGTGATTGTTTTGTTGCTTTTCCTTTTGTTGTCATCCTCCCTTCCGGGACCTCACTTCCAGGCTTCCGATCTTTGCACCCTGATGAACTTTTTGTTTGGTTCCTTGGACTTTGGCTCGAGTTTCGAGGTGGACATTTCACACATGGCCATGCGTCAAAAGCCCGTACCCCGAGTGAACATCCCAATCCCCACTCTAAAATAGACTACAATGGGTGGTGCACCTACCCCAAAATGGTACCATTGGTTTTGACCCACAGCCACATCCCACGAAGCGTGTAAACTTTTAGCACCTCAGGCATGGGCAGCAGTGCCTTCTACGCCTCCTGGGTCGTGACCTACGCGCCACGGACAAATTTGATTTGGGGGCGAGGGCTTTTCGCGGTTTTTGGGGCCAGTACCAGCCTTTTTGGGTGCAGGGTTGTGGGATCAAGGGGTTTTTCCCCACTTCTGTGATACAGGTTGGAATCCCCCTTTGTGTGAAAAGCATAGTCTTTGGAAGCCCTTTCTGTTGTATCACAGAAGTGGTCATTCCCCACAGCCCTGTTTGGGTGGGTTAGCGTCACACCCCAAAGTTCGCGTTTGGAGATGGCGGGAGCATACTACTTCTCTCACTGCGAGCAGTTTCTGGGCGTTTGGGACGACCATTTTAGCGGTGAAGGAGCTCCTTCTCTGCATGGGGCAGGGTTCTGAGAGACTGTGCGGAAGAGAAGGGGTGATGTGAAAATCCTCAGGCAAGACAGTGAGGTACTGCCCTCCCCTTTGAATGCTGACCCCTAAGTAGAACCCCTCCTATTCGGTTAAAGGGTGTACCACAAATCAAGATCCACGGGGAACGCCCGGTCTCAGTTCCAAAAGCTCTCGCCACTTCCTTTGGCCTCGGTGGCCACTGTTGGGGCCCGGGAACTCCGCGGAACTTTCCGGGAATGTTTTGGGGCCGGCGAAGATGTGGACGGCCGAAGCACGACGTTTGGGGCCCCCCGTTGATCTTGAGATGGACGCTTTCATCAACACAGGCAGCGCAAGATGGCGCGCCAAAGCCACGAACCCTTTAGACTTCATTTGGAAGAGTTCAGCGTTGGATCCTACCAAAAATCGGTCATGGCCCCAGAAGCTATCCGCTCCCATCATCACCGCGTACGAAGAAGAGCTGTTTGCAGTGCTTGACCATATGGTTGTGGACAATTTGGATTTAGGCCGCAGCTTTAATGGTTGTGTTGTTTTTAAGTGCATCCTTTAGCTTTCGAATCGGCAATCAGAAAGGACCTCTTAGCCCCCTGTGGCTGGTGGCAAAAGGGTAACATGCGAATTGAGTTTACTGGGTTTATGGGATCTTGTGCAAATCGATTTTATCTCAAGCTGAAGCAGACTTTGAGCTTGTTATCATTATTTTTTGTGTCTCCCAGATGTGGGCCGAGTTTTATGACCTAGCTGACCAAGTTATCTGTTGCTTTTTAGCGATCCCCAGTTGTGCAAAACCTGTTTCTGTTGACCTTCATTTCACCATTTTTTTCGGGCCCGAACAGCAGGTTGGTTGGGGGTTGAAGAAGGACAGGGCTCATGTCCTTTGCTAAGTTTCAAGACCTTTTGGGCCTAGTGCTTTAAAGGGGAAGCGCAGGAAGCGGGGCCCTGTGAAAGAGAAAAAACAGTTCCTTCGAAACCTCGACGGCATGCCAGGCGGTTTTTGGGGTTTTTCCGAGGTGCTGCTGTACCTCTTCGTGGTTTCTGGGGTGGTGCTGCTGCTTTGCAGGGGCCAAATCCTTCCACGCAGCAGCCCCTCCCTGCTCTTCATGTGGCTCATGCCCCTTTGGCAGACAGTCTCAACCAAATCTCGGCGCGGACAAAAACAAGCCTCTTCATTCTTGGACATGGCTTTGAGTTGACCATGAACAACACCTATTGGCATTTTTAGAAGGTGGTTCTATCTGATTTCATGGAGAATAGAAAAGCAACTAGATAAATCAACTTCGAGAACCATGTAGAGCCATGTAGAACCAAAGGTGAACGCGTGTTGGCCGCTGCTCGCATGGATCTGTCTTTGTGTTTTCCCAGATGTTGCTCTCAGAAAGGAATCAACAAATGCTATGAACCCACATGAGGTTCGGCCTTGCATGGAACGGACACGCGGCGGGATGTGTCATAGGGATTTGGACCCCCCCAAAATTGTGTTTGTTCTCTTGGTTCCCTTTTAGATATCCTGAACAAGGGCGCCTCAAACCATACAACCCATGAGCGCCTGAGCGTTGCTAGGGACCAGGCCATCATTCCATTTGGGTGAATTCACTGGGCGGTTCCCAGCTATACCCTTGGACTTTTGGACTTTTAGACGGATTGATGTCCAACTTTTAGCAAGAGCTCAAGGAGCCACGAATATCACCAAACTAGAAGAAGGGAAGTCATGGCAGGAACCAGATCCATCACGGGGCCCCAAATCTATTGCAAACCACAACCTTTTTGCACAATTGAAAACTGTTTGTTGCAACCACTCATTCTTGTATGTGCCAAAACAGGGAACCCTTGAGGTGAATGCGTTATGTAGCTGGTGATTTAGTGTTGTCTCGGTCGGCTGAAGTTTTTAAGCCCAAGTGGCATCCCCGTCAGCAACCCGGAAACCCTTGTCAAACCTTCCCTTCCTGCTCCGGACCTACTCTGGAGCTTATTTGGGGAGAGACCCCATTTTGAGCGGTTTGGGAAAATGCGATCCAGGATGGTTTCCACAGTGCCCCCACTCCCCCCGGGGGGTGTATGGCATAGGGGCTAACGGTCTGGGGATGTTCATTTGGGGGTAGTAAACATGTGGGGTGTGCAACAGCTGAAGCATTACCTCTTTCCTCTGGGTTTTGGGGCAAACGAAAGATTGTCAGCAGTTTGGCACCCGCGGCAACCTTCTTAGATACGAGCCCGTATCGTAAGGCCCCTTACAAATACATTTGGGCCAGTAAAAAAGTAATCTCGTCCAGCTGATTTAGAGAATCCCCCTGTAAAGCAGATGGTGTTTGCTTGGTGGTTCCCAGCCATCCCCTTGGGTTTTGATAGCTTTTGAGTGTTTGGTGGTAGCATTTCCATTTAACCCACGAGTGACAATCTGATCAGAGGACAGATCAGTTTGGACATATCCTTCGGACGCAGCAATCTGAAACGGACAGCCCAGGGACGTATCCTTTGGACGGAGGAAATCCCCGGTTTCCCTTCCCGTTCCCTTTGGTCACTCAAAAACCCGGAAACTGCATGGGAAGAAGATGGACAGTGAAAGGAAATGAATTCTCAGGGAATGAACTCCGTGGCAGTGAATGGACAGGAATTCATTCGACCTTTCCCTTCTGTGCATGGACGAAATCCTGCACCACTTTGAAACCAGGAAACCATTGTTTGTTGGTATTTGCAGGGGAATCAATCCATTCCAGGGTGTCTTAGGTGGTGCCTAGGCGGATTGCGCAACCCATCCACAGCGTCTCTCTCTGAGGTTTCGGGTTGTCGGGGACTTGGGTTGACTCGGGTTGACTCGGGTTGACTCAAGGCTCTTCGCCTTGGCTTCCATGGCCTACGGCCTGGTGATCACCACCTTCTTCAGCCGCGCCAAGACGGCGGCCACGGTGGGGTCCATCTTCTTCTATACCACCAGCCCCTCGGACCGAAGGACGGGCGGTTTCGAGCGGTTTCGTGCGGCTTCGAGCGAGGCAAACAAAGGGGGGAGAACATCCTCAAGCGCTTTGGATAAACAACACTCTCAAGAAAGGCGCCCAAGCGCAAAAGGAGGGGGTGGAAAAGCCACGCTCAGATGATGAGGGGAGATGGTGGCTGAAAGACCCCTTCTGTATTGGGTAGATTTGGAGAAGTTAGGATTAAAGGTACACACCTCCTTTTTGTGAGTCATGGGCTAACCCTGAACAAGCCTTTTTGCGGTTGGACTAGGCGGTACCTCGTTGTTCCTGTGAGTTGTCCTTTCAACCAATAAAAACATGACTCTGGGTTGATTTTTCTCCATGCGGTTTTGTCCTTTAGCCCGGTGACCCTTATTTGGTGCCCTTGGATTTGAACTCCCGTGGAGCTCCAAACCAATTGAAAACCCCAAGAGCAAAACTCACCAACAATTGGTCCAAAAAGGGATAAGTATTTCAATTGGTCTTGGGAAATAGCTAGATAGGGAGCGGGCCCCATCAAAAGGGCACTGGTGACATCTGGGCATGGGTCAGAACCGCAGGTTTCAGTCCATATGGACCCATTCCGAAATGGGCAACCCATTTCGGGGTTACCCTTTTTTTGACGCACCGTCATCTGGGTGTGGGTCAAAATGAAACCACCAGGGGACCGCCTGTTCTAGTCATGGGTTCCATTTGCCAGGGCAACCCATTTTGGGTGCCCATTTTTGACCCACCGCCTGGTGCCAAGCCACTCCAGCGGAAGGCTTCCTGAAGTACCTGGCGACGTCTCGGCCCTGGGCGCTGGCGTTGTCGCTGCTGCCCCCCGTGGCCTTCGAGCTGGGCGGCGACCTCGTGGCCGGGCTGGAGGGGCAGCAGGCGAGTCGGGTGGACGACTCGACGTGGCAGAATGGGGGGAGCTTGGGGTGATATGGGCCTGAGGTTTAATGGGCCTGAGGTTTACGGCGCCTTTTGGTGGACATCTTTTGGGTATGGGTCAAGACTAAATCCCTTCATTCCTTCATTTGGGTGTGTCTTGTTGAAGGTTAGACCCCTTAAAATGGTGGGCTTCCTTCTGGTGTCCCCTTAAACCAACCAAAAGAGGTTCCCAAAGAAAGACAGCCCCATTTGTTTTTGTTGACAGCCATGTAAGGGATTCATGTCCACTTTTGAGGGTCAGTAAGACTACAGCCAGATGCTCATTCTAAGGAATTCGGGTTTGTGTCACAGGGGAGCCTCAAAAGGGCAACTGTCTCCTTTTGGTTTCCTCAAGTCATTCCCTATGGAATGGGTTGGCGCTTTAACCTTGAAAGCTTTTTGGAAAACTTATCTTTCAACCTGCGCAAAGGTAAACATGTGGAACCCTTCCTTTGGTTCCCCGAACGGCTGCCAAAAGGGATACCCTCAGAAAGACACACACACACACACAGTGGTCATCAGAAGGAGTTCGTCTTGCAAATTGTGGGATCTCGGTTGAATTGATGTTGTATGTTTGTCGGTTCAATAATGACACATTGTGAACATGCGTTTGTTTTGGGCAAAAGACGAGGTGCAATGGTTTGCACGTTTGCCTCAGTCATGAGTCATCATGAGCTCGCCAGTTAAGATTGCTATCAAGCACTGAAATGGTCATGATGTTGCAAGCAACATGCTGTTTTGGTTGTTGTTGATTGCCTTCACTGTCCTGCTCAAAATTCTGGTGCCTGCTGTCGTTTTCCCAAATCGCCGGCCTCAAACGGCGTGGTGGTTTTGCCTCCAGCTGCTGAAAGGGTGCGGATTTCCAAGGGTGCTATTGTTTCGACAGATAGACGTAGATATCCAGGGATTTAAGTCGATGGGATCCCAAAATCTAGACCTGCATCCAACCGCAAAGCAAAAAGACAAATACAAGGGAGAGAGCGATTCGCCCCGCGTACAACTGGCAAGCCATCAGAAACGAAAATCATCCCTTCGGAGTATGAGCCAGAATCTGACCATATGCGTATGTCTTGTTAGGGAACCGCACAAATTGATGGGGTGTTTCTCCTTTTCTTGTGTGTTCTCTTCGAAACCAACAGAAAGGGCACCCTTCAAACATGACGAACCACTCCTATGCTTTTTGGTGTACCCCAGGCCAGTGTATCGAGCCAAGCGAGTGCAGGTGGGCGTGGTTTGGAGCAATGCTGCGTGGCCAAAGGGACTCGAGCTGCGATCGATCGATGTCCCCCGCTTGGGCTCAGCTGCCGGCCCTCCTTGTGACCATAACTCAAACGGAAGTGGCTGTGGGTCAAAACCTGGGAAACCCCTGGTGAACATCAGCATAGGTGGTACATGGGTGTTCATCCGCCCCAAGTGAGTTTCAACCAAAGGGACACCACAAGGGAATGGATATGGTTCCTCCCACCCATTGAAAGCCGGCACCTGACGTTTCGGGGTCCTGGATAAGACCATATTCCTTTTCAAGGACCAGGTCCCTGTCAGGTTCCATATTAATTGGTCGGAGGGTGATTCATTTGTTATTGTGCAGGCCCCCCTATTGAATTCCCAGTTGGGTCCCCTTCGAAAAGTAGAAAACAGCAAACAGCAAGTGACAATAAGGAAATCAATGTTGAGGCCGGGATTTTTTTTTTTTTTTTTTTAAATGGTGCGTGGTCCAACTTACCAGTCTATAGTCCATTTAGGGATTCTGGCCAGGGGGGACGAGCCCTAAATTTCAGCCAAGCCGGGGGACGGAGCCCTCCATGTAATTTTGCTCATCTTGGCGATTCCCAGCCATGCAACTCCGACTTTCAGATTTGGAGTTAAGATATGTTTTTGGTATCCCACATGTTTGTTATAGCGAAGGATCAAAGAATCACTAAGGAAAGTTTATGCATCACCTTTCGGTTGCCAGTTTAAAATGTGGTGATGTTGGAAGGGGCAATGCAGGAACACCCTGCAAGTTTAGGTGAGGAACGGTCCCCCTAGAATTTCGTGCGGCAAGTTTCCGCCTTGTTGAACAATTAAATGGGTGTCTTCTTGTTTGGGGACCCCCTGCCCCCCCCCCCCCCCACAAATGGTGGTTGTCTTGTTGGTGCCCCTAGACCACCACAAAAAGAGGCACCCTCAAAAATAGGCAGACCAAGTCCTGCCATGGCTAGGTCTTGATGGAAGTTTGGGGCGGACGGTGTTTTTGATTTGACATCAAATTAGCTGTTTGCAATTTTGATTTCATCGTTGTGGGATTCCAAACAACAAAAAGCACCCAGCCGGCTCCGTTTGTTGAATTTCACGCCTGGGGCTGGACACAAATCTTCCTGAGAGCCTGGCGTTTTTGCTTTGATTCCTGCCTGGCATTTCTTCTGGGTGTTTGAGCTGGTGGGCTCTCAAAGCTCTCCACCCGCCAATCCAACCACAAATCTTCGGGGAAACTGCTTTGAGGAGAGAAGAAATGTGAAATCACCCCCCCCCCCCCGAAATCGGACCCAAACCTCCAAACTGCTCCACTCCACCAAGTGCAATCGTGAAGTGTTACCCAGCCGATCTAAAGAGAGCCAGTTGCAACCCACATTTCTTGCTCTCCATTTGAGGCGGGGGTGAGTTACCACGACTACTCCCTCCAAGAGAGTTGCCTCATGCTGGCGGCGGACACGGTGCTGCTCTTTCTGCTCTTCCTCTACTTGGACCAAGTGATGCCCAGGGAGGTCCGGACCTCCCAACCTCGGGACCTCAAAACCTCGGGACCTCGGGACGACCTGCGATCTTCCCCAGAATTGGCCCCCCTTGGTTCTTTGCTTTTTGGTTTGTTGTTGTGTTTTGTGTTTTTTTTGGGGGGGGCGGGGTTTTGTTTATTTTCCACTAGCCAGGCAACACAAAACACATATTATTATTTTTGCTGGGGCCCCAATTCCAGGCAAGAGATGGGATCATTGCTTGGGGCTCCCGAGGGGCTTAAGGTTCGATTGACCCAGGAATAATGAGCCCGTCCCATGATTAGCGGGGGGTTCCCTCCAAAAGTGGTCTGAATCCCCACTAAAAGGGGACACCCCCAGTCAACGTTGACCCCGGACTCATCAACCTGGCGAAACAATTGAGGCGGGTGGTTCTGCCAAAAGTGATCCGGATCTCTAACACTGGCAGGCACCTCCCAACAATTTCCAGCAGGGGTTGATTCTTTGAGGGAAAAGAACACCCTGATGTGCTTGCTTGAAACAAGGAGAAGCCCCACTGAAGGAACAAGAAGCGTCCACGCCTCCCTGGACACGTTTGGTTGAAAAGGTTTGAACCAAGTCCACATAAGTTGGAAGCTGGTGAACAAATAGGGAGCATCACCCCACACAAACCTTGAACCCCCCCCTTTCGCCTGGATGTCTAGACGTCAACAACCCCCACACCTCCCATGACCCGACTTGAAAAAGGAGAAGCCCTGGAGGTCAAAATTGGTGCCATGTCTGCTCTTCTGGTTCCTTGTTTCGCCCGCACGCCTACGGGCGGATGCCGCCAAAAAACGTGGCAAGGGAAGATTCGGACCTTGCCGTAACCAACGCCATGGTCTTGTCGTTGAATATGTTTGTGAATTTGAGGGAGGCCGAATGGCTTAATGCTAATCCCGGATTAATAACCCCCTGGTTGATTCATAGTTCACGGTGTTCAGACACAGGCGTACAAAAGAGTTTGGTCCATCTCCCCATAAGACCGGATAAAAGGATTCCTCCCTCTGATTCCCTCCATCTGAGACTTGAAAGGCCCTGCTTGAAAGTGAGTCTCCCTTTGGTGGGGTGGGGTGTTAACGGGAAAAGTCAGAAGGGCTATTTCTATTAGTTCGCCCCGTTCATCATGGCTCTTAGGTTTTTAAGTACCCCACCCCTTTCGTTTTTATTGAACGGCCCTATCCCACGATCAACAAGCGCTTCCGTGGCCCGGTGTGGTCTTCTGCCTTTGGGCCCAGGTGGGCCTGCAGAGGCCCTGGTATTTCCCACTGCAGATCTCCTTCTGGGTGGCCGAGAGCTCAGAATCAGCGAGGGAAACGTTGGTGTGGGGAGCGCGGGCCTGTCTTTTTTTTTGAGGCCACGGGCATGTACTCAAGTTCCGCCTTTGCCCAGGCGTCGCCCCCTAGTTTCTTTTACATGGAGACCAAAAAGGGGGGTAAAGAAGTTGGTTGTGTTGGTTCCATGTTTGTGGGCAGAGCATTTGGGTTAGCTTCCACCTTGCGGAAGCAAGAATCATCAGCCCGGCCGGTTTGGGGCTAGTGGTGCGCAGCCCTCAAACATGGCGACATGGCTACCAGGCCTTCCTAAAGAACAATCACCTCATTCGACAACCATCCCCCATCCAGTTCATTGGATTGTTGGCCATTTCAGTAGATGGTTCTAATACCTGGCTTCATGGCGTTTATGGTCAGGCCACACACCCCATGTTACTTGACCCAGTCATTGGGGTTGTCACCAACAACTACGGCTTTTCGGAGCCCCCCCCCCAAGGCTTGGGCCTTTTGAAGGAGATACCAAGGCCCAAACCCCCCCCTTCCAAAAAAAAGAAAGAAAGAAGGACACATGCCCTGGTGGTAGATATCCCCAACAGCAACCCGGAAAGAAAAGCCTTCCCGGACCCCTCCCCAGCTGGCTTGCGCTTGGGAAGCCCAGGGCCACAAGGAATCCGTGGAGGCTCCACCTGAGCCCACCTCCCCCGAGCGCAGCGAGGCGCATGCGTGGCTCTTTTTTTTCTTTTGTGCCAAGCCGAAACGGCGTCCGAACCTCGCAGACTGGTTTCCTAGGAGGCGTTGTTAAGTTCTTTGGGGGGAAACAGGGGGGGGGGGGTTAGGGGAGGGGGTTGGAGGATTTGATAAGTCTCATTCTGGGGAAGAAAAAAGTAGTAAGGTCCCAGATTTCTCCGGGGCATTCCATTTGTCAAATTGGCTCCCCTCGTTGCCATGCACCTCGAACCAGCAAGATTGCAATTGGGAATGCATCACATTGACGACTTAACTGGAGAAGCATGGTTGTGGAGAATGTGGTAGGGCCACTCTTTGTGATATCACGGGAATCTCAAAGTCACATTCACGGCGATGACCCATATTGGAATCACAGACATGGTGATTCTTCAATGCCTAAACGGAAAAGGGTTCTGAGATGTTCCCGACAAATTGTGGTTTTCCTTGTGGTTTCCCGTTAAGCTAACCTGAAAAGGATGCCAACTCAGCCACACCCAAGCACAAGAGTTGGCTCTGCCTGTTTCAACTGAGGTTGTAGAACCTCCCAATTAAACCCCTTAGTAGACCCCAAAGCGAATGGGTGAAACGAGCGCTCGCTTGTCCTCAAGCACGTTTAAACCAGGTGCTTGGCCCCTTCCGATTCCCAAGCTCCTTCGGATTCCCGTTTTGAGCCCGAGTTGCGATACCCGCCTTTCAAAGGGATGACAGACTTGCAAGCAAAACTTTGAGTGGCAGGGATACCCTTTGGCAACAGGAGTAGGTCTCCTCTTGAAACTTCAAGCCGCAACAGAACCCTCACAAGCTCGTTCCGGGTCTCTTTGGTCGCCACGAAGCTTATGTTGTTACCCTTTGGATACTATTTGTTCCTAGGCTCTCTTCTTCAGAACGTTTTGTTTCTTCTTTTTTAATATAAATATATATATATATATATATGTATATATATATATGTATATATTCGCCATTAACTAGATGCGAATCATACTGTGAGCATCTTATTTTTTGGGGTACCATGGGTTGGGTCAGGGTTCAACCTTCCAGCTTTAGCAGAATGAGACAACACGACGCCAGTTTGTATCTTACGTGTTTGTGTGTTCCTTTGCCCAGAAACACATGTCCGTAATTACCCCCCCAGAATGGCACTTAGAAAAAAAAGACATTCTACCTGTTTGAAGAAGAATCAAAAATCATCGATGGTTTTTGAAGAACCCCAACCAAGCAACCATCAATAGTTTGAAAGAACCCAACCACCATCAGCTGTTTGAAGGAACGCAACCCAACAAGTGTCAATTGTTTGAAAGAACCCATACACCGTCAATTCTTTGCAGGACCCCAACCAGAAAACATGAATTTTGAAGGAGCCCCAAAAAGATATGCAAAGGATTCTTTAAATGACCCCCACCCAAAACCAAGCCATTCTGGTTCGGTATCCCTCCGTCATGGCGGATTCCAGGTGCATGCGTTGGTGGAGCACGACACTGGGGAGGCACCGGGAATGTGCATGAATCTCATGTTATGGCGCTCTCACCTGGGGGTAAGCTAGCTGACGCTGATTCTGGGCAAACTATAGTGACGTCAATAGCTGGGGTTGCGACGTCACCCAAAGTGGGTCCCTTGTCTTCGGCTAGTGAATTCTTATGATCTGCCCAGATTTTACCGCACGCTAATCCGGGAGTAAGATGAGCTCGCCGTGATGCCATTTGCTTGGGATCGAATTGTGATTCCCACAGATATCTTTACAGGCATGTTAGGGGAGCAAACAGCTCTGCACTTGGGGCGCTAATCAAGTGGAATTTTCACCTGAAACCGCCCACCTTGAAACCACACCAAACCCACCCCCAAACAAGCACTAAACCACCCCCCACCCCGACCTAACGCAACCCTGACAAACAAACCCTAAGCCAGAAGTAAACAAACCCGGCACCCACCCTAAGCCTAAACCTACCCTGAACCCACCCGAAGCCAGCCCTGGATTGACCCTAACCCCCCCCACGTAAAAGCCAGGGCGCCCTGGTTTCCCAACGTCCTTTTGGGGAAGCCATTCGTTTGGTCCGAGGCTCATAGGAACAACCTGTTGCTTATTTAGCCCACATTACATTGTGGGACGAAAAGTTTGGTGGGCAAACAACAGGATCGAATACTTTGGGGCCAATCCATAAGGGTTTCCTCCAATTACAATTTGATTGGGCAGACTGAATAAGGAGAATCTGAAGATATCATTCTTGCTGACAGAGGTGGGCCAAGACTCAATCAGTGAGACTTTCATTGGGTTCGTGATGTTTTGAGGGTACCCTGATTTGGGGTGGTAATGGGAAACCAAATGGACAACCACCTATTTTGGGGCAACAAATAGTTCAAGGATTTCTGCCGAATTGGCGAGCTCACCGATCCGGGGGAGAATTCTAACAACGGCAAGAGCTTGGGCTGAAGCGGGGTTCACCTTTGCAGGCGGCTGCAATGATGCCCAGACCTCAGCGACGGGTCCACGCGTCCGATCCGACAGTTCCTCGCTTTCCGGGGAGTAGGGCTAGAATGGTAGAAAAAAAAACACTCGTTTTTGAACCAGTGCTCCTTTCAAGAACCCTGGGTGTTTGGGGCGATTTTGGAGGGAAGTATCCCTGGAAAGAATGTGGAAGTCTCCCTATTGCAAAGGGGAAGAGTGTTTGTTTTTGGAACCCGTTTGTGACAGCCAGAAGAAATCATCAAATGCAGCAGGACCGAAATTCGGAACCCGTTGTTTTTGAACAACCCTCATTTCCGCTTTCCGCTTTTGAAGGCCCAAGGCAGGTGAGTGTTGCCCAATGTTGCAGGGAAACACAACTCAACCAAAGGCCAAGAGCAAGTGAATCCTCCGTGAAATGCACGGTCCGCTTGTTTTGTCCCTGTGAATACCATTTGGACATGCTATGCATAACCACGTAGGGCACCTTGTCGAGTGCAATTCTTGGTGTGCAATGACCATAGATACGTTCTAGAACTTGCGACAGACAAGATATAGAACCGGACGCTGCAAATGTCCTATGAATGTTACGCTCACTAGAATGTCCTTGACCCGAGTCAAATCGGGAGTGCAACTGGGGATGTTGGTCTTCGGCTGCTTTGCCTTGGTGAAACGCCAAAAAAATGTTTGAGAACACACATGAGCGAAGTTCTAAAACCCCTGCACTTGAAAGTAGTATTCGGGAGGAAATATCGTTTTCAAAATGTTGACTTTGCCCAGGTCGCGGAAGCGCCGCGCAAGGGTCGCGGAAGGGGTTTCTCATTTATGTACTCGCGGAAGCTTGGCGGAAGGGCTACGATTCACAAAAGCAAGGAGTTGTAGTTTTCCTTCACGCGCGGAAGCGAAAACAAACTTCAATCCCATTTCTCAATCCGCGGAAGCGACGCGGAAGCGATTCCCTCTTCAAACCTCTTGCGGAAGGAACCTTTCATGCCGCGCAAGCTCTGCGGAAGCCTTCGCGGAAGCGATTTGATATTTCTCTTCGGCCGCAACTGGGCTTAGAACACTGCTCACATGACATTTGAATGATTGTGAAACCGCGTGGGAAATCCAGTCTTCTGGGGGCAGAAATCCGTTGATTCTTCCCCCGCAGGTGCAAGAGAGGCGACTCATGCGGAACCTACAAAACTGGGAGTTTTGAATGACCACAGCAACATGAAAGGCGCGTTCCCGCAAACCATCGGAGTCTCGGGGGAGCTTGCCCAACCAATAGGTGCAGATATCTTCTCTTTCATATTGTCTTGTGTGGCTCTTCAATCATGATTGGATGGACTCCTGAGGTTGAAGAGCGGAGGCTGTCGCATTTGTGTTCATGAAGCTGTTGGGTTCTTTATATGGTTTTGGATAAGACTCCTTGCCAGGTGGAACAATTCTGACGCATGAGTCAAAGCTGAATTCCTGGCAGCCATTGTGCCAGGGCTCGCACGGGGCAGACAGTGGAGCTGTGCCGACTCTGCAAGCATTTCGGCAAGCTGCGGGCCGTGCAGAATCTGGACCTGGCCGGGAACACCCAGATCCAACCGGAAGCAAAAAGTCTACCACTGCCCTGGGGTTCAGTCACCGCCATTCAAACAATGGGGGTTATATTAAACCGCCGTTGTGTACCTCAACCATCAATCTGGGTAACCATGAAAACAACGGGGGTGAATTCCGGCGTTGTTTTCCTAAGGATTTCTTCATGCTCCAAATTGGGTCCTTGCCATCTTTCTTCCTTTCGCGAGCACCGAGTAGTCTCAGCTAAAGCATGGGGAGGCCCTCATAGGGATTCTCGACATGACGCCTTGGGGGTTCACTCGGGTTCGACATGGCTATTGCATTTTCCGATAACAGCCGCCTCGCATTCGGTGAATCTCCGCTGAAATGCCCAGAGAGAGTCTGTGCAGGCGTTTTCCCTCTCCAGCGAAATGGTCGCCCATTGTGCCAGATTTTTTTGGGTTTCTCTTCCAACATGGACAGGGTATTTGGCTCAAGCGAGCCCTTTCGAGGGCTGCCTCTTTTGCTTCCGGCTTTCCGGAAGCCAACGCAACGGAAGCCACCAGCTTTTATGGACCCCGGGCTCCTTTCAAGCGACCTCCTCAAAAAACGGGGACACAAAAAAACGCGGAACCAGGGAGAAATGGCGAAAGCTGGGGATGCTGGGGCTTTGTCGCCACCCCAACAAGCAGGTTTGTTTGGAGAACCCGGGTTATCGGCACACGTGGATCCGCAGTCCCTTCCCGGATATCCTCCCTCCATACATTTCGGATGGGGGATGGTGACAGATCACCTGCCCCGTGGACCCAGAAAGAAACGGAAGCAAACACCTTTTGGATCCTTGACTTAAAATGGACCAATCCCAGAATGCACGATCATCACAAGGAGAAACAAGTCGGCGAGGCCGGCAAAGGACAAGTGAAATCGACCACACCCTTTGTCGGGAAGTCCGCCCCCCCAGAATAAAAAGGAAGAATGGGGGGCCTCCCTGGGAGTTTGGAGAGGCCCGTTGAACATGTTGAGCTCCGAAGATTTGTTTGGAAAATGTAGGCTTCACTCGGGTTCGTTATGGCTGTCTTAGGGATCCACCTCGAAAGCGCTTGGTGGGCATGACCCCCACCTGCCCAGAGGCTCCGGATTCATCTAGGGCCCTCAAACAGCCAGGTTTTAAGACCCCCAAACACCTCCAGGGTGTCCCATGGAGGGGTCGGGGCTTCCGTTGAAAGCCGAAGCCGGGAGCCTTTGGGTAAATTAAATCCAACCGGCCCCCATGCCCCATGCGTCACTCAGGTGATGTACCAAGGGGAGATCTTTGCGCTGCTCGGGCACAACGGAGCAGGCTCGGGCCTCAGGCCTCGGGTCTTCGCTCACGGGTCCACCTAGAACTGAGTACCTGGACTTTGCACTTTTTGGGCAGACTGTTTAGCGGCAAAAGAAAGCTTTCTTTTCTTTTTTGTGCCCTCCACTCATTGGTAGTTTAATGTTGGAGAGGACATGTGCAGACAACCCACATATTTCCTCAATGATCAGGGGGGCGAGCGCCACTCTGCCCAATTTTTCTCTGACACGGTCATTGCTGATCCGGGCAAGGCTGCGGAAAGGTGAAGGGTCCGGAAGGCTGCCCGTTGGATCCTTTGAAAGGAAGGGATCTTGCGAGCTCCCCTTGACAGGGCACTCAGATTTGGTCGAAGAAGGTTGGTATGTATCAATGGGGGACCCGCCAAAAGGGATGATTTCAAACGGCACGCACCCAAATGGTCCATAGATGGAACATGATCCTCAGGAGCACTCGTGTCTTCTGAATCTTCACTCCTTCTGCGCTGTTCATAGCCAATCCTTAGGTGTTCATGGCCAGCCTCGTGCTTCCCAACATCAGGATTTGCCATGCGACGATCTCCAGGAAGTGAGCTCCAGGTCTCCTTGGAGCTACTTTCTTTGGCTCAGTTTTTTGACTGCCCCTTGCATACACGGGCGTGTCTTCTTTTAGGGAACCCCCCCAAAATGGTGGATGTGCTGTTGGTTTCCATGTAAACACCAACCAAAAAGGGGTACTCTCCGCAAAATGACAAGCCACCCGTAGGCTGAGATGGGAAGGCTTCTGGCCGGCGTCAAACCGATTCCTGCGAAAGATGGGCAAGGTCCGCGGATGGTTTTGTGGATTCCCCCGCCGTTGACTTCTTTGCCCCATCAACAGCGAGGCAAATCGCGCAACTGTGTCACAGCAACCCCGAAAACTCACCCTGGGAGAACCTATAGTCTTTGGTTCCTTGGTTTTCCTTTTCAGCAACCCAAAAACCGTCAAACAGCAAAGCCCCCAAAGCTTTCTAGTCATACCCTTCCAACCCGTGCGAAAAAGTCGTCTTGGGACAGTTTCGACGCTCAGGGAAGACGACCACGCTGGCCATGTGTCTGGGCACGAATGTCGCGATGACTTCTCGGGTTCGGTAAGTCGGTGTTTTTCATTTTGCTGGTGGTGTAAGGCCTTCTATCCCGAATCTCCAGGTGCCGCTTTTTCGTGGGCTGACGCAGTCAGTAGATACTTACAGGGAAAGCAAAGTATATTCAAGAGAGGCAAGTTTTTGGAGCAGGTATTCCTTGCAGATTGTTTTGTCGGGCTTGAAAGAGAATCTACGTAGGAAACTGCGGAACTTGGAGTTTGACGGATCCGGAACGCTTGGCTTGGCTCGTCCAACATTGCCTTCCCAGGACAGCTGCGGTTTGGTTTCCGTGCCTTCAAGTTGAAGTGTTTGAGTCAGCAGCGCTGAAACTAAGCAACCGGATGTCCTTGCATCCTTCGAAACTCGGTATGGCCTTACGAGCAGGGTTTGCCTTTTCATACGCTCATCTGTTTGTTTGGCACACTTCATGCCCAAAATCTGAGCTGTTGTTTTTGACACTTCCTGGTTTACCAAGTTTTGATTGTGACAACACGAACCCCACGTTGTGCGATTCCATTGGTAAGCCTCTCTAGTCCCCCGATCACGGAAGATGCTTCAGAGGGAAATCAATTTTCTTTTGGACTTGCTGGGGTTCCAAGTTGTTGGTGCCAACTGTTCATTGCCAGACTCACTTGTGCAAACAGGACAGATACGCCAGGCGCAATGCGGGGTGAGTCGTCTGGTGCAGTTGCTGAAGTAGCGTGGATTGAGCGGCCATGAGCCACTGCAACAGTCAGATTGTGGGCGATGGTTGCCTTGAGGGGCACGTCCTGAGGGGAGTTGGTCGAGTCAGATACCCCAAGGCTTGAATCAGGTACCTGGGTCAGCTACCTCGGATCAGGTACCGTGTTTTGGTGGAATCGAGACCTGGCTGGCAGTCGTTTCACGAAAGGAAAGGCTCGGTGGTTTCAGGAGGTGCCGGGTTGTTCCAGGAAAGCCCGGGTGGTTTCAGGAAAGGCTGTGTGTTGCATGAAAGACTGGGCGGTGTTTCAGGAAAGGTTTGGTGGTGTCAGGAAA